CGTGGACTAGGTCGATGTGTTAGAGGTAGAAGTGATGCCGCCTCTTCATAGGTATGTATTCATAGCGTGTGTTATTTATGTAGGCGCGAGCGGGCCTTCTGAGCTTTTCCAGCGCCATTTCCGAATTTTCTGTCGTTATTGCTCTTCATACTCTTCGTCGAACTTGTTGAGTTTATTGTCAGATTTTTAGATGCTCCAATACCGTATGGCCATGCATGAATTTTCTCGAGAATGCGATGGCTACGTGTCCGTAGGAGGCAATATTGATATCATGCCCGAGCGTAGATGTTGAGAGCTCCTTGAGGGGATTTGCCAGGAGCTTGTCTAGGAGTATCAAGCCGGTTCCGTCCGAGGGCTAATAAGAAGATCGACCTTTTTATGTGGTCCGCCATGAGAATGAAGGCATATTCAACAGGTAACTAAGTCCATATAAGATTAGTAAGAAATCTTTACCTACTCAAGGATAATGATAGTTTTGACGTGTCACTTCCAGCAACATTCTCGGTGCAACAAGGAGCTCACCGGGGAACACATACCAACATGTGGGATCGGGGGTTTCTAGCCTTCGCTCTTGGTTTGGCAAGCTTTCCCTTCTTAGCCCTTAAGCAATACAAAGAGGAATTGTGGCGTTGGCATCGATTCACAATGACGTTAAGCCACTTTAGATGAACGTCAGCGCTTAACGTTGCTGTTGCTGCTATGGCCAATTGTCTCTAGCCTAGGGTTTATAGCAGACACACGGTAACCCCAAAGCGTCGCAAGCTTCCGTCTAGACTCTGGTGTCTTCATATCCAGAGCGCAAATAGTTTAAATTTGGTATAGATCGTTGATATGTGGACTGCCGCGATCTTGTCACTCAAGGTTATGTACTGATGGCTGTCGACCTCGGTAAGATGAAATGTGCTGATATTCGCAAGCGCTAGAAATAGATGCCTGTTTCTATATATACCAGTAAGCACAGGCATGAACAGTTATGATAAAAGGGTGATAGAGGAACACAATGCCAACCTCATTTTCTAGCAGGGTATGTACTGTAAAGTGAGAGTTCGTGTGACGATAGCTCCGGAAGCGTGTTGGTTCAACTAGTGCTACACAGCTTTCAAGCTGGACGCACAGCGACAAGGAGCTGCTATGGCGGGAGTGGAAAAACTTCTGCCGATGCTCGTGAAGATAAGCATTGCTGTCTCGTATCATCTGGTGTACGGTTTGGTTGGTTACAAGTCTTCTAGTCCTGCAGGCGTCTTAGCTGTTCTTTCAGTGTCGGACTCGGGTAGGCTATGGCGGAGTCATCGGCGTCGTTCCGGAGACGCCTAGTGTCATCAGAACCGACACCCTCTGGAACGAAGACTAAGTGTCGTTGACAAGATGCCCCGAAGAATAAGTGGAACCTCTCAGGCGTGTATATAATTTGATGTTGATGGCCATATCGCAAGTCGCACAATAATAGACCTTGCTGGCTTTCCCCTCAGCAGAGGGTTTCCTCGACCGTGTTGCTTCTGCAGCGAATCCATTTAGCTACCCGCCAGCAGCGAGCCTCTCCCGCTCTTTGTAAGTTTCGGTCGCTAAACGCTTATGAAAGGCCGTGACCGATTGTAGACCTATGCCACAGGTCTTGCACTTGTGTTTTCTCCAGGCGATAGCACGAACACAAGCGCCAGCAGCGATTTCAAGGGCCCCTTCCTTGTTCCTGTGTCCCCAGACAAGCTTATCTTGAAGCCATTTGGAGAGGAAACCCTCTGGGCCCTGCGCCCGCTACTTCGCTCAGTGTCGTTCTTTTGGTTGGAGATTGGCACGTATGCGGCATTCTTGGAGATTGATGAGGATGATGGGGGAACGTAGTCCGCGGTTCTTCGGCACAGCCCGTCTTGTCAGAGTGTCTCTTATAATTCTGTTAAAAATTAGGAACGGGAATCCGGGATGAGTCGCGGCGACTGCTCCGTGGTCTAGTGTATTGGGGGAGACCAGCAGCTAAGGGGAGGACCGGAGTTCGGCCCATGGAGACACCATAGGAGATTCTGGAGATACCTGTTAGTAGCTAGCCTTAGAGCAGAATAGACAAAGGGCTTTACCTGTATATATACCGTAGCTCCTAGACAAGGGAGTCTAGAACTCCTCACGCAACGTCGTTATTTCCCTCCTCCTTAGTTCCGCCTCATGACAAGTCTGGCACGTCCTTGAGTTTTGAAATATATGACAAGAGACATACTTAGCTATCTATATCAGTGATCCATAAAATAAGAATATATCCATAGTAACATGTGTTGCGATGATGAGGTGTCCTAGTAGGTGCATCAAATATTATCAATCATGGTGTGAGGGTAGATGTAATGTGGGAGAAGATTAAAAGTAAGCGTGGAAGAAGTGGCAGGAGTTGAATGAGAGTTGAGAGGGAAGTGTTAGGAGGAATATAGCGAAGAATGACGATAACAACGCTAAGACTCTTAATGACAAGAGCATGAAGGTAGGTGTAAGAAGATAGCGACGTAGCAATGAAAGAACGACGACTTACATGCTCACTGCCCGTATGGAGATTCTGCATGAGTTAGAACCTTGAAGTCATAGGCTATTGGTCGTACTTTGTGGATTTTCAAATCCTGTCCATGTCAGTCCTCATCCAAATGAAATATGATGACTTCGAAACCCAATCTCTTTGACGCATCGATATTCACGACACTTATGGGCTGGAGTCACAATGTACTGAGTATATGGGGTTTACTAACCTAGTATCTTCGACTGAATCTAGGAGTCGGATTGTTTTCAAGAGCGGTCTGGGTAAATACTTTCTGCGGTAGTTGTGACTGTAATGTGGCGAAGGACTGTCGGAAGGGATATTATCAGTATGATGAGAACCCCATACATACTTAAGCCAGGATGTCTCTATCTATCATCAGCTCGCTACTTATCTAGGTGCACAAGCAAGTAAGCATGTATGTATGTAAATGAATAGAAGGCTAGGTAGACATGTAGCTGGGGTAAGAGTAATTGGTTGAGGGTAGAAGCAGGTAGTTGTAAGATAGGGGATAGGAAGGTGAAGTGTAAGAGGCCGACGACAACAACTTAAGCAAAAAGCAGCTTACCTGTGTAGCGGCATAATGTGAAAGATAGCATCGACCAAATTGCTATTGTTTCTAATTAATTCATCTTCCCTCTATTGCAAATTAGCATTGGTATGAGAGTAGCAAGATAGTAGGAAAGTGGGGGCAGAAGTAGATTGGTGGTGACATGAGAACGTAAGTGAACAGGGATGAGGATTGAAGTTATAAATGGAGAAAGCCAGAAAATAATGATTAGAGAGAAACATCGGGAGTAGGGTGGAAACAGGTCAATTGAAATATCACACACATGAAGGCGTGGGAAGTGAGCACGTAAGGATATCATGGAGAATATGACAACTGACCTTAGGCATTAAAGCTTATGAGGATTATATTGAAGTAGAAAGAGGTTACCTAGTGATGAGAAGATGCAGATGGATATGAAGGAGGAAAAGCTGTCAAGAGTCCTTCTAGGGCCAAGGGTTTAAATAGAAAACACTTGCGAGAGAGACCAGGCAACTGGCAGGCATATTTTTGAGCTCTTTCCTGCTTCAATGTTCGAAGGAAAACTTTGTTGGATGTTTGTCTCTGCTAACGCTGTCATCCAATGCTAGGCGATGTTATGGGATGGAATATGACTGACGTTTTAGGTCATAAGGTCAATATCAAACTTTGTTCAGATGAAAGAAACGATGAACGTTTATTTATATGATATGTCATATGATATGTCAAAGGTTAAAAAAAGTATGGACGTACTCAAATATTGGCTAAGGCAAACATACTACTTCATAGGATAATAATAATGTTAACTCTGAATCATCGACTGTATAGAACATGAAGGGAGTAGCGAAACCGTCAGATATGGTACCTGGTAGCTTATAGCACAAGCCCCTATATTGATCTTACTGGCCTGTCTTAACATTGTGCCGATATCAATCTACAAATCGTAGCAACATTCAAATAACCAGCCTGACATATTATCTGCTCTATAGCGAGAGTCTATTAGTATATGCAGTAATTGAACATGCTCTTTGAGAAGGCACAGCAAGGGCGAACTACCTTTGAGACGGAAATAATCGGCTTACCACGGTACCCTTGTGTTATGAGACTTCTTGGAGCTGATAGTTGATCCTTCAGGCAATGTTATCAGGTAAGCGTCGTCTCAACATAACTTCGGATGATTGATCGGCTTGATATCTCGATGTATTGTGGCGGACTATAACAGTGAATGGAGGGGGTCAAGAGTACTAGTCGAGATGGTGTTCCCCACCAACCAATATATGCCAATGTGATATTTCAAGAGCCTCTCTGGATAATGAGTTCTAACATATAGAATAGGTACCATTGAATAGTATAGAGGAAGTTTCACTGGTACTCGCAGTTAGGTTGAGGAGTTCAGGGTTCATCATGGAATAACCCCTATTTGTGTGTTTGAATATGTTGGCTTCCGAAGGGGAACTTTCATCCTTCACATAAAATAGACATTAGAAGTGTTAGGAATTAAGTAACACGAATTTTCAAGCTGTTATTCATCTAGAGATATCAACTGTTTGTGTCTTTGCCTAGCAAAGCACCTCATACTGGGCTATGAGAAGCCAAGTCGATGGATACGTATGTTGGTATGAAAGTGATGCCAAGGTAAGGGTCTGATCAATTATTGTTAGAATGTTGGGAAGGTAAAGACTCAGCCTATGGTTCCTGTAATCTAAACCATCTTTGTTTAGTCTGATTTATGCCATATACTAAGAATATCTGTGATGGATTCTTGCTGATCTGCTCGACGTTGAATTGTCCAACCCCACCCTTTCCTAAATAGGAAAATGGTGGTTGTGTTTTTGTAAGCTTCAAGTTGCGACAAGGGAGGTTCGAGAATTATAAGTATGAAGGAGAGGAAATAGTCAAGACAATGATATTGAACACTCTGTATTCAACAAAATATAAACCATTGAAGAAAAAACTTAATCAGATATGGCTTTCTTCCCGACTACTCGATCCGAAGTCCAAGCATGGCTGCAAAGGGTAAGTTGAACTTATTCCCCTATAGATGAACAGAGCTTATAGACTCGTTAGTTCCAATCAGTGAACGATTCACTCGATGCGTCTAGAGTAGGAGAGATATACGCGAAAGATGCAAAAGTGCAGTTTGGCAACCTGCCCTTGGTAGAGGGGCTGGATGAGCTAAAGAGCTTATTCGGCCGATCTTGGGAGAACTTGGAGTCAATGGTTCACGAAATCGAAAATTTCGGTACGTCTGAACTTTTAAAGTGCATTATCGAAGCTACAGGCGACTAATGGCTATGATGATAGATATGATCGAGAATAGGATCTATCAATCATGTCATATAACATGGCAAGTGAAGAACGATCCGGAGAAAGAAAAGGTCGTTGTCCCAGCTATGGCAGTTATCCACTTGGTAGAGTCTGGAGACGAAAAGGGGTTGGTTAAGCGTGCCGCTTATTATATGGATGGTGCTCCCTTGGCAGCAGTATACCAGAGACTGTCGTAGGAAATCGCATGGATGAAATATGTAAGGTAGAGGTGTACATAAGTACCTAGGTAGATATTAGGGGAATGAATTTCAATTGAGTGCTTGAACTTCTAATCTTATCTTATCGATATCGTGGTCTGCCAGCCTCATAGATTGATCGCCTCTGATTGGACACGGCGCGATCCAGTCCCACTCTATAGCATAGACCCCGCGAGGCTGCAAAAGGCCCATCTCAAATTTCAAACCATTCAACTCAGGTTATTCCATCATGAGCTGCAACTATACAAAGCATTGGTGAACCACAACACACCAAACCTCCCTAATTCCCGCAGACCAAACGCCTTTGCCAAATAACATGGCAACCTCAAGCTCCCTCACGCTCTCAAGCACCACCTTCGCCAAGCTCTCCCCGCACCCCTTCCTCCTCGCCAACCTCCAACCGCCCGACCCGACATCCACGCCCTCCGCGCGCACAAACGGGCGCCAGCCGCGCCAAGCCCGGCCCTACAGCGTCAACACATCCTCGCTCTCGCACGCGCACGGCAGCGCCGTCGTGCGCTCCGGCGACACCACTGTCATCTGCGGCGTGCGCGGCGAGACCCTGCTCACGAGCCAGATCCCGAACTTTCGCGCGCCCCAAGTCGATGCCGATGCCGATGCCGATGCGAGCAACGACGATGAGCTACGGGATTACGACTTGTTGGTCCCGAACGTAGAGCTAGCTACCGGATGCGCGCCTAATTTCCTGCCGGGCGTGCCGCCGACTACGCTGGCGCAGACGCTGAGCACGCGATTGTTCTCGCTGTTGCATAGCTCGAAGGTACTGAGTGCGGAGGATTTAAGGATATACTACGATCCTACCGCTGCTAGTTCGCGGGGCGAGGGGGATATGGATGAAGATGAGGATGAGGATGAAGCTAGTGCGATGAGGGAAGTGAAGGCGTACTGGGTGCTGTACATCGACGTGTTGTTCATTTCTTTCGACGGGAACCCGTTCGATGTCGCCTGGGCGGCTATACTGGCTGCTCTACGAGATACTAAGCTCCCGCGCGCGTACTGGGATGTGGATCGAGATATGGTGCTGTGTTCACGACCGACTGAGTCTAAGAAACCTACTCCGTTGAGTATACGCGGATTACCGGTGGCGTGCACGGCAGCGGTGTTTACGGCGAAGGAGAGACAGAAGAAAGGCGGCGGCAAGTACTGGATCCTCGTGGACCCGGATAGGCTGGAGGAGAGCTTGTGTGACGAGACTGTGACGATGGTGGTTGATGGCACAGAGGGAGAGATGAAGATTTTGGCGATATCGAAGAATGGTGGCACGGTTGTCGGACCGGCGCTGATGAGGGAGTTTGTTGATGTGGCTGGAGTACGATGGAAGGAGTTCCGCGCTGTCTTACAATAGAACATGGCCTTGTCACTTGAGATACCCGAATAATGGAATAAACGGACACAACATTGCATGAGCAACTTTAAGGTCTTATGATGAGATCTACTCAAGAAGCTCTCATCATATTCGTGATTCAATGCGAGATTAAAGCTGACCTAACGAGGATTTGACGTCTACATAGATCAATTCATTTGCGAACCACTCACGTTGCCCTCTATTCGGTATAGACGGAAGTACCCTTCACAGCAATTGTCTTTTTAGAATGTATTTTATTACATGAGAACTACCTTCATACTAAATAAAGCCAACAGATCCAAATCTCCTACCTAATGAAACCCAACCATCATGATTACAACCCCTATTCACTAACCATAAGAAGTGATCTGAATGTCGCGGGGTCACTATCCAAATAAGATGTATCAACCCTTCGAACCATCCTATCAGGCGTTATTCCAGGATAGTAGATACGGGACGACATTTTGGTCTTCCGCTCATTCAAAGCGAGCAGCCTACTGAAAGGCCACTCAAATACCAGCATCGTAGCGCTTCGTAAAAGTAGGACGCCGGATACTAGCGAGCGGTGGTTGTTGAAAAGAAGGAAAAAAAGAACTTCAAAATCGTGGCTTACAATTTTAGTCAAGTTCGTCCTTCCTTGTATGGCCCGTGCACAAAGATCGTCGGAACCTCGGCGGCCGTGGGATTAGATTAGGCTCCACACCTTTACACCCTAGCTCCCTTTCCTCTTCAACAATTTTTCGTCAAACGAACTTTTTATCTTTTCCCCTCCATCGTGGCATCCGCGTTCGCGATGGAATCGCTGGGAGAAGAGCCATGGGACGTGGTGATCTGCGGCACGGGCCTGCAGCAATCGCTACTGGCTCTGTAAGCAAAACATCTTCCTCTAGCAGAGTTTGGAATTGCGTCGGGGACCTTGATCTGACTGACCTAGCCTGCTTCCGCCATGAAGAGCGCTTTCGCGGTCGAAGAAACGGATCCTCCATGTTGACCCTAATGACTACTACGGCGAGTTTGAGGCTGCTTTCAGTCTGCAGGAAGCGGATAGTTGGGCTGCTGGAAATGGTGCGGTGCAAGGCTTGAATGCGAAAGATGATTCGGCGACGGATGAATCAAAGAAGCAGAGCATTTTCAGAAATGCCCTTGCCTGGACGCACCCCGAAGCTAAAGAGAAGGGTCTATCTTTTCCTCGAGCCTATTCGCTTGCCCTAGCACCACATATCATCCACACCTGCTCCAAATTGTTATCACAACTCGTATCATCAAGAGCGTACAGGCAAGTCGAATTCCTAGCAGTCGGTTCGTTCTTCGTCTACGACGCGGACGCCGGCGACAACGGCTCGAAGCTGGCTCGGATACCTAGTAGCCGCGAAGATGTCTTCTCCACGCAATCCATACCTGTCAAGTCCAAACGGTCGCTGATGAAGTTCCTCAAGTTCGTCATCGATTACGACTCCGAGGAGCAGAAGCCGGTTTGGCAGGGCCAGGAGCAAAAGCTGCTCTCCGAGTTCTTGGCTACCGAATTCAAGCTAGACGAGAATCTGCGAAAGTATATTCTCGCCCTGACTCTGACGTTAGATGGTCGCGTAAAAGTGATAGATGGCTTGGCCACGATCCATCGACACCTCACGTCTATGGGCCTATTTGGGCCTGGTTTCTGTGCTGTCTATCCTAAGTGGGGTGGTTCCTCGGAGATTGCACAAGTGGCATGTCGCGCTGGGGCAGTCGGCGGCGGCGTGTATATGCTTGATACGAAGGCAGATATCAATGATTCCAAAGATGATGAGATCACGCTCAAGTTATCTAACGACGTGTCTATCCGGACGACAAGGTTAGTTACTTTGCAAACCAAGGCTGCGCCTGATGCCCCAACGATTAGCCGACTCGTTGCGGTCGTCAGTTCTCCTTTAGAAGCATTATTCGAGGTCGTTGTCGAAGGCGCGCCAACCCCAGCAGTAGCTGTCGTCGCTTTCCCAGGTGATTCAACATCAACCACAGAGAGCAGTCCAATATATGCATTAGTGCATTCTAGCGAAACGGGAGAGTGTCCCACCGGTCAAAGTAAGTTCTTATGTCTTATATATCCCGAACTTCTTATAATTCACTCACGGTGTTATGATGATCCAACATAACGAATACTTATCTACATTGTCCGAGCTTCGCGCTGACGAACACAACCTCTGACAAACTGATCGCACCAAAACCTCACCCTTATTATTTACGGCACAGTTAACTACTTGGAATAGCTTAACTAACCAATTTATCTTATAGGTGTAATCTACTTGGCCACCCTAGCAACACCCCAGTCCACAACTCGCCTCAACTCGGCTCTAGACGCCCTGCTATCAACGGCTACTCCCGCAGATGCTCAGAAGCCCACCTGTTTGTATAAGTTATCATACGAGCAATCACTCAGCTCCAGAGAACCATCACGTGTAACCCGCGGCAAGACTTCCACCTTCGCGTTCCCATCTCCGTCTCTTAGCCTCGCATTCGACGACGGTTGCTTAGACGCTGTTCAGGACGCATGGAAACTGGTCATGGGAGACGATGGCCCGGAGAACGAGTACATGGTCTTCCAAGACCGTGAGGGCGTCGGTGATGATGATGAGGTTTACGAGTAACCATCCAGATAAAGTAAAATCGGTGGCTTAAGTTTGAGTACGAGTATGTACGCTCCATTAGTAGGTGCATAATTATTTAAATGAGCAATGTGACACGAGACTGATACCTTGAAACAATGCTTTTTCTCAAATAAACGAATAAATCAAAATGGACCATTTAGACGAGTTCAGCATTCGTGTGTGACAAACGAATAGTTGCAAAGGTTGTGTAGCATGGGTTGTCTACCTAGAGGCAGAAATCGTACAAAGGATCCGACAAAGACATACATGTATGTCAGTCAGGCTGCCACTTGGCTCGCCTATTAACTTCACTTCATCTCTTCCTGATCAGCTCTCCTCCCACATTATACCCGTTCCTCCGCCATATCCTCCGAATTAGGTAGCTCAAGCGAAGAGTTCGACTTGAAGCAATATTTCGTTTCATATCTCCCTCACGCATTCTCCCAGATGTTTTCTCACCATCGGCTCTAGGTCTCTAGATGAACGAACCCCCTTTCATGCCAAAAGGCTATGTAGGTAAATCCGTCCACCGAGCTGATCTAAGCGATCGAGGCAACTCCCTAGCTCCCCTATCCTTCCAACCTTCTCCAAAACCCAGCCGAAGCAAGTCTCTTCCCAGGCACCCAGATTCGCGCCCCAGTCCCTTAGACATCAACATCAACATCACCCATCTTAACCCCAACCCAAATCCCCCCAAACGCGACCTCCGGCTCGCTATCCTGCTGAACGTCAAGGCGCGCCTTCGTCGCCAGGCTCAGGACGTGGAAGAAGGCCTGGGAGGCGGTAGCGCGGTTCGTCTCGCGCGGCACGAACACGTCGTCGAACGCGACCCATCGGCGGTCGATATCGAAATCCTCGTCGAGCCTGCGCTCGCCGTTCTCGCGCACCGTGGCGTGCATGAACGAGAGGAAGTTCTGGCCCTCGATGTCGAGGGTCGGCCAGCTGTCTACCTTCTGTTCGCCTTGGCCTTGGCCGGAGGGTTGTTTCTGGGCTTGGGGCGAGAGGTGGAATTCGTCGAAGACGTCGTTGTCGGAGGGTAGGCCGCCAAGATCAAAACCGCCGTCGTCGAGGGAGGGGGCGTCGCTGAAGCGTACGATGTCTTGGAGGTTTCCGCGGCCGGCTAGGGGGCTGGATGGTATGCGGCCTTTTTGCGCGGAACCGCGGAGAGATGAGCCTGGCATGTGGGACGATCCTCGGTTCCAGGGCATGTTGAGGGCGGAGGATAGGTGGTCTGACATGGCCGCCTGTGCTTCTCGGCCGACCTCGGGAGAGTCGTGGATTTGTTGTCCGTCGTGGGCGAAGATGGCATCGCCTTCCAGGCTACGGCCCAACTGGACGTCGTCACCCTCGAGTCGCGGTCTGACTCGACGTCCTTGCTCCTCGTCATCTTCGATGGACTCGGACGCGGATCGGCGTCGGCCACGGGGTAAATCAGGGACCGTGAGTCCGGTAATCGCGGTAAATAACGAATCGCCCGAGAAATCGAGTGCAAGAGGATGAACCATTCCCGGAACACCGATGTTCTGGCCGATATTTCCCAGACCGAGACCAAATGTTAGGAGCATAGCATTCGCTTTGGCTTTCGCCGCTCCGGTCGCTCGTATCTTCGGGCCACCGCAGTTCTCCAAGTAGTCCTCCTGCCACTCGTTCATCGCGGCTCTTGAAACTTGCGTCTCTTCATCAGCATGCAACATACGAGGCTTTCGCTTTCGTCGGGAAGGAGCCTGATGTTGGCGATGATCATCGGATAGGAAGGCACTATGGTGTTCACTCGGTGGGTTTGCTACCACTATCTCGCCTGCCTGTTGTGCGTCATCCATCATGATAACTTCGCCCTGATCATCCACCGTTGGCTGTCTCTGTTGCTCTGCACCCACATGCTCTCGGATGTCGCCTTCCATCGCCGGGAAAGGGGGTAGGTCGAATTCGTCTTGTACAATAGCAGGTTCTGCTGATTCGATGATGTTTCCGTGCTCGTCTACATCCATTCCCCAGTCTCCCGCTCCTCCGAAAATGTCCTCCTCGGGAAGCATCCGGTGTTCTTCTGCCGGCTTCTGCGTGGATGAGAAACCCTGAAAGCCGAAGGGGGATCCTGCGGGACCTGGAGATGGTGAATCATGAAGGTCAAGGCGGATATCAAAGCCGTGCGCAGGGCTTTGCGAATGATGAGAGCTTGCCAGAATAGTGCTGTCAAGAGGAGACATTTGGGAAGATGTCTTCTGGGTTGCTTGACTGCTCGCTACCAGAGCGTCGAGGTCAAATTTGGGAAGTATCATGTCGGGAACAAAGTCGGGGTCGTTCAGAATCAGAAGGTTCTCTGGTCTAAAAAGAAGGTCAGATCGTCGCTATCAAATTTCCCTGCTATCATTTCCTTCTTACCTTGCTTGGCCTGCTTCTGGATCGAGCTGGTTTTCACCGAACTTAGTGAAGAACATGTGCATATGCGTGTGAATCTTCTGCAAGTCAGACAGCATGTAGCCGCATTGCTGGCTATAAACTCTTGATACGCCGTAAAGGAGCTGGCCCTGAAGACGCAGTGCCACCGGCGCGCCGGGCTCGATGATTTTTCCACATGCCTTCTGCACATCCACTTCTTGGATGGCCTTTCGGGTTACCTTCTTTCTTGCCCCTATTCCAGTTCCAACGGTGGCGACGAGCCTGGTGGATGTCAGCTTTAAATCCATACAGCACTTATCAAGGAAATAGACGAGACATCGGGATGAGTGTCGTAAATTACTTACCAAATGGTAGCGACGCCATATTGGCGGCTCATCAGAACTGCAGCCTCGCGTCAGCAATGATCACCTATTTGATAAGAAATTAGGGGTTAAAGGTAAGTACATACTCTCGTGGCTATAGAACATCGTGAAGCGGGCGATGCGACACGCCCTTTGATCATGCCGAATGGATTGAAAAAATGACTAAACCTAGAGATGAACCCGACTACTAGAATATAGTATCAATATTCTAGTCTTCGGTCTCCTATATTATTCTCTGTGGCGTCCTTGTCAATGCTATAGTCACTCCTGGGATGCGTGGGTGAAAAGGGGAAAAAAAGAAGGTGGAGGTCAAAGTTTTGAGAAGTATAAGATGAAATCAGGATTAGCCTGAGAAACTCGTTTTAGAACATAAGACATGATGCGTGTGAAGGAAGTTGCGTCGACATGGAAGGTGCAGTTTTGTCGGTTGGTAGGGAGTATAAGCACCTGTTGGGTACCTGAGAACGCATAGGATTTTATACTATGGCGTATGTACCTCGTTCACACCCACACAACTTGGGACTCCCGTGTAGAAAACCAACCAGTCTCGTCTCCAAGGTTGCCTCTGGGCTCTGTAGGTATGCCTTCGGACTTCGGTCGTTTGTATTTGTTCGCTGGCTTTCCATGCCTATGCATTTCAATATCAGTATTAAAGGGGTCGAAGCTCTTTTGCCTTATACACCTGGTAGCCTTAGGCGATATAAAAACTCGAGGAAGCAATTTCATCAACATCATACCCCCAATGATAAGACGATTTAAAGGACGCGTTGTCGGCTAGTGGTTAAAGTGGTTTAGAGGGCTATAATTCTATGACATTTAAAGTTCCTCAAATGCCGAATTTTGAAGCCTGTTGGTTTACCCCTATACTTGGGGTTCCATCACTCAGCTATACATCTTTGAGAAAACCATTCAAGTATTCAGAACAAAGCTCAGTCCTATTTCAAGTAAAGTTGTTGATAGTTTGTATCTCTATTTCAAAAGATTGGAAGGTAATCTTCTTTATTTGCCTAATCTCAGGGATCATTCCCTTCAATGACTATCAACATCGATTGACGGCTTTTATATCTATCACTCTTTTCTCCAACAGTTCAAATTAAAAATTAGATTCAGCCCCTTATAACTATTCACTCTATGAAAATAGGTAGTGAGTTGCTTTTACTGACCTCTGAATTATGTATTCAAGATATAAAGTAGTAATCAACTCATTACTAATACAGGTTAGTTAACTCTCCGACGGGATTCCCCGAAAGATCTGATAAGGGGTCCTTCGACACTAGAAACCCTTCGTACAACTACATGAAATCCCGCCTATTAAGGTAGCGTATAGTGCTACGTGCGGTATTTATAAGCCGCGTAGTTAAACTAATGGCAGTGTGGCATCCAGATCAGCCAATCACAACCTCGAACGATGACGAAGATCTCAGATATGCAAGCCAAGCCGTCATGAAAAAGAAACGTTCTAGAATGGATTGAGCGTGAACCCCTCCATCCCTAAGCTTCACACTTCTGATATCCCTTAAGCATCTTCTTGTCTTCCAAAACTTACTTTAGGAATGTAGAGCTAATGAATCCGTCATGTTGACTTCTTCTTATTCTGGCTCTAGTCGCACCCAAGCGCGGGTGATTTGAGGAACATACCTAGGTTTCTAGTGTACAAGCTAAATAGGTGACGCGCATACCAACGCCTGCGGCTTGCCGGCTCCACCGGTGTGCGAAAGAGGGCCGAAAAAATCGTACGGTTAACATACCTATCGAAGGGAGGAAATCAATAATTGCCGCAATTTTTGCCCCCGTATCGTCTGGCCTTAAAGCCTTACCTACCTAGCACCTAGCTCTTCCGTGTGCACCATGGATCCTCTGGTCGCAGCCGAGCTAACCAAGTGCGCCGACGACGGCGTCCCCTTCCGCGCGAAGGAGGGCCACGTCCACAGCACCTGGGCCAAGACCTTCCTGTCGCGGCCGGAGCTCTACTTGCAGCCGGAATCGCTACCCGAGATCGAGAAGATCGTGCGGCTAGCGCACACGTGCCGGCGCCGCATCACGACGACCGGGTGCGGGCACTCGCCCAGCTCGCTGACGTGCACCTCGTCGTGGCTCGTCAACCTGGACAAGTACAACCGCATCCTGTCCGTCGACGCGGCGACCCACGTCGTCGTCATGCAGTCCGGCATCCGGCTGTACGCGCTGTGCGAGGAGCTCGAGAAGCACGGGCTCGCGATGCCGAACCTGGGCAGCATCAACCAGCAGTCGATCGCGGGCGCCATATCCACGGGGACGCACGGCTCGAGCCTGCGCCACGGCCTCATGTCCGAGGACATCCTGTCGCTGCGCGTCACCGTCGCCGACGGCACGACGCGGTTCTGCTCCCCGGACGAAGACCCGGAGCTCTTCCGCGCCGCGCTCCTATCGCTCGGCGCGCTGGGCGTCATAACCGAGGTCGCGTTCCGCGCCGTGCCCGAGTTCACGCTGCGGTGGCGGCAGACCATCGACGCCGACGCCAAGATGCTCAGCGCCTGGGACTCGGGCCTCTGGACGCAGGCCGAGTTCGTACGCGTGTGGTGGTATCCGTACACGCGGCGCGCCGTGGTCTGGGCGGCCGAGAAGGACGACGATGAGCCGCTGCGCGACCCGCCGGACTCGTATTACGACCGCGCGCTCGGGTACTACGTGTACCATAACCTGCTGTACCTGGCGCAGTTCGCGCCGCGCGTGCTGCCGTGGGTCGAGTGGTTCGTGTTCGGGATGCAGTACGGGTTCGCGGACGGCTGCACGACGCGCGCCGTGCAGCCCAGCCGCAAGGCCCTGCTCATGAACTGCCTGTACTCGCAGTTCGTGAACGAGTGGGCCGTGCCGCTGGACAAGGGGCCCGAGGCCCTGCGCCGGCTGAGCAGTTGGCTGAACCGGCTCCCGCCGAGCGATCCGGACTACGTCGACCACGGCATCCCGTTCTCGGCTGAGGGGCTGTACGTCCATGCTCCGGTCGAGGTGAGGGTGTCTAATACGAGCCCGTCGAATCCGAAGTCTGCGGTTCCAAATACGAGGCCGTTTCTCGATCCGACGGCGGAGGATACGCCGACTTTGTATCTGAATGCTACGCTGTATAGGCCGTATCACACCGACCCCCCGTGCCGCGAGAGGTACTACGAGGCGTTTGAGTGGCTGATGCGGGATCTAGGTGGGAAACCGCACTGGGCGAAGAACTTTGAGACGGATGGCGCGGAGATCGAGAGCATGTACGGCGATAACTTGAGACGGTGGCGCAAGGTCCGGGACAATGTCGACCCGGACGGGATGTTCGTTGGGGCTTGGCATCGGCGGTACGTGCTTGAGAAAGGGTCTGTTTTACCGCTCGAGGAGGCGGGGGTTAAGGCAGAGAAGGATAGTACGGGAGGGGTTCTTTTCGAAGGCGTTGTTGGGACTACTCGGTAGGGATGGACTTTGGAAACGTTGATTTAGATTTATGGCCATCTTCCTCGGAGGTCTAGCATTACAATTGGTTAGGGTCGAATACCTATGGAATGCTTGAGCCTTCTAATTTCACAATCCCTCGATACATTCTATCATGCAAAATTTCTAGATGATGATGATACTGATACTGTCCTTTCTTCCTATAACCTTAGACTTCCTGAGTTTAGTCGACTCTATTCTCTACATGGCGCAAGGAGGTTAGTAGGATTACAATCGAGCAAAACAAACAGGTACATATCTACGCTTCCAACAAACATCCTTTGGCTGATAGGCCCAAACATAAGCCACCCGTGAAGGAAAAAAAGCAAAAAGTGCGCGGTCATTGTCACCTATCTGACTGTCTCTTTCCTTCGTTCTAATGGGCGCTATCTGGTTGACGCTACTACCACTTTGGGGTACTCTTTTTCCTCTTCTAGGATGTTCGCCCATTCTATACCGGAGTCCGTATTGGGATCTTTGTGTCTCTCTGGACATCTACCCGTCTTGGATCTCTACGGTCAGTCTTGTGGCTTCTTGTCCTTTCTCTGGGATTTTCGACCTTAATGGGCTTTTGCTTTCAATCTCTCTTGCTGCCCACTAGAATCGAACCATACACCGCTCCATTTTCTGGTAGACGGGTACGGCTGAGACAGCCGTGGCACAATGCAAGTTGCCGCGAGTTTAGTTCTCTGCGACTTTGATACGCTGTACTCGGGCCCCTTGACAGTTGCGCCATAGGTGATACTTACAATGTGGTTGCTTTTTATCATTTATATACTAGGTAGGTAGATGTTGGCTGTGCGAGAGTTTCCCCATCGCGAAGATGCCTTCCTATGACAGCTGTCGTTCACGGTGTCCCTATCTATCTAGGGATACGCTTACGTCCAAGTATTAACAGTACCCTAACATTACCCTTAGCGGGAAGTAATATTCACGTCTAGGTATATACACTTTGCTATGATATGCCGATCCTTGATATCCCATGAACCAGATACTATCCCCTAGTCTCATTGCGAAGAATACGCGACGATATCAGAGGGTGAGTTGATACTGCGAAAGATGACTCTTCTGCCTGGGAGTGAAGTCTTGTCGGCTTATGGTGTGAAGTGACATGCGGGTAAGCATCTATCCAGACAGTATGTGACTCAAACAGCCCCTTACGTCGGGTGCGTACATAACCTGGGGCAAGGTTATACCCGCTACTTGTCACCTAGGTAAGTAGCTATATGCACGTGAAATTAAGAAGCGGTGGAAAGACACGTACATGTCTGTTGGCTTAATATTAGGTACAGATGCCACTGGAATTATTAGTTCATCACAGTATAGCGACACGCTGAGGATCGATGTGATGTGATATGTCTAGTATATTGGAGGGAAGTACGTATATAATATTGTGAACATGCGTCGAGACACGGCTTGGGCCGTCATGACAGCTCAAGTGTCAATAACCAATCTCAAGTATAGCCACCTATCTAGGTAGGTACCTACATTGCTAGAAATTTTCCAAAGCTATCAACATTGTAGTAATTACAACGCGTGCTCTGTTAAATCATGGGGACCCAAAAACCCCGTTAGATTCTATCTTATGATTTGCTTTAGGCTGTCCCGCCCCGGATTACTGACTATATTGGATTTCTAGTAGATGCAGGAACAGATGAGCGAACCTAGAACCCACGTGAAAGCCCGAAAACAAGGCTGGCTAAGAACGAATAGTCAGATGACGTTGTCAGTTGAGGTGATGTGTTGCATTAATGTGGTTGGCCGATGATGGGGCGATGGGGCCAGCGACACACGGTTCCTACCAGCGTACCGATCGCGGCCCACGATGACTGTAAGATTTTAGGTATCCGAACCCGCAAAGAAGAGCACACGGTACTGGCATCTATAGGTACTTATATGGTATTGAAAACGAGTACGGATTGGCAATGTTTGGAAAACTATCTACAGAGTGTTACGGAGAAGAACTTCTCATTGTTGAGCATAAGATATGTACGTAAGTACTAGTAGTTGCCAAGATCGCGTCTAGAAATAAATAATGGCTCTTGAAACGCTTCGGACACGAGCACATGGGCGCGGGATGCAACCTGCTTAATGCCGCGTGCTTTTCCTGCAGAATTGTTAGAGCAGTCGGTTTTGTCCAGTCAAGCAAGGTTGACTTGTTAATTGCCAACACCAGATGAGCACTACTGTTGCTGACGTAGCATTCGATGTACCGTTTGCACACTGAGACCTGCAGGCTACCGGGCTGCGATTCACATCGTGGTGCCTGAATTATAAAAATTAATTGCGTGCAGCGGACTACTACCCGGCGTCTCGTCTGACTGCACGGCTGATTGGACGGGCGAGGAGCCGAGCGGCGAATGGGGGCTAAATACTGTGATGGAAGGCCTCGAGCCTTGTCCCTTAAGTGAATCAAGGGTGCATTGCAGCTTCAAGTAAAAATAACCTGCCTGTTGAGAACTAAGAGAATCGTTTCTATTGCAGACGGGGTAGCGATGAAGCTTCTCGTGGAAACGCAGATTTGCACTTCAAGCGAAAAGCACAGACGGGTTTTGGAGATCAGGCGGGATAAAAAATGCATCATGGCCGGGCTAGAATCATGCGTTCAGTTCGGTCGAGCCTCGATCTAAAAGGGCTCGAAGCTCGTTTGGTTGACTTGGAGGATGATAGCTATTGGGGAACACCCCGGCCCCGGGAAGCCGTGAGATTCCAAGTTGTATCGCAAACTTTTGACAAGTACCGATACTTCGCATTCTGCCTCCTGAAGATCGGCTGTGATAGCTTACTATTAGTGCACACGCACGTAAAAGAGAGATAAGGCGTCGTATGAGAGGAAGAGGTATCTGTTGCCCCTCACTTGCAGTCGTATTTGTGAATCCATGTTTGATTGACGACCTAGGTAAGTAAGAAGCAAAGTAAGAAGAAGCGAAGGGCGTGACGTGGAAACACGAAGTGAGGAATATCGGACGAGAGTCAATCTGTAAGCGCTCTGCAATGCGCAGAGGGGAGACAGGGATGGGATACGACGGGCAATCCCAGAGATCTCACAAATTCCGAGGCCAGCTGCATCCGTCGAAAGGCTCTAAGCCAACCGTGGACAACGTGCAGAACGTGGACGAGGGGGGCCGATTAGCTCTCTTGGATGGATCTGGAAAGGATCCGCCCAGGTGGGAGAGAGAGATTATCAGGCTTTTTCCTCTTCCCTTTTGGTCAGGGGCATTCCAAAAAAGAGAGGGGCTCTGGGGGCTTTTTCTTTTAGCCCCGGCCAATGCTGAGTCAGTGAAACTCCGTGCATCTGTTGGAAAGATTTCCAAAAAAGATCGCCAAAATATTCAGGAGTATGACATACTGTAAATAAGTTGACGATTCCTAGTAAATTTATTAGCAATAGTAGCAATGGAGCAGTGGGTATAATCCATCTTAACTGTGTGGTCCAACCGTATGTTATGCAATAGCCGCATTGGGCATTTGGTAGTGGATAAATACGATGAATTTCAACTTCGGTCGAAAACGAAACGATCGTTAGGATGACGATGACGACGATGGGATGAAACAAGTGGACGCAGACAAGGCAAGGGTTTGGCCCAGCACTATCTGGTCTACACTAATTCAAGCGACGTGATGCTTGGGGGAAAAGAAGAGAATTGGGAATAGCAACAGTCGATTTTGTCATAGTGTTGTACGAAGTATTCAAGTATCAATCAATATGTGCCCATGCAACTGCCAAGATTTATCAGCTACCTTATTGTTTGCGGAAGGACAATGACGACATAGATTGAATTGATTGAACCCAATTTACATAACGCTGCATTGTCCACGGCGTATCCATCATGGCTAACGGTGTAAGGGTGTACAATAATAATCTTTGCAAGTATCCATAGCACCCAAAGATATTGACATGTACCTAGAAACTTAATATCTTTTAAGCAATTAGCTCAGTAGATTGTTCTGTTTGTTGAATGCCCAGGTTAAGCTTAACGCCTTCCGATTTCTCTCAGGAGTTCAATTTACAGCTTCCTTCATTCAACAACTCCCCCTCAAAGTCTTACTAAAGACTAATTACAAGGTGGTGGCGGCCGCATTTCTAGCCTACCATTTACCACTTTACTAACTAATTCTACCCGCACTCGTTAATTCCACCCATCCCGTCCATTTTTCTTCTTCCACCTACCGAGCCTTTGTCTCACACCAACAACATCTACGTATTGGATCCTTTCGAGCATCAACAGCAATCCACAATTCGCAATTCACAGTTTGCATCTAGTCTGGTCCTAGTTGCTTGTGTAGTTACTATACTACTTTCTTTCCTTCTTGCCGTCGCATTCACAGCAGTTCATTCGGCCAATCCGATCAATGATTAACGATCAACCGGCCAGTCTTTCTAGCTTCTACAGTTTCTAGTGTTCTAGTGCCAGAATTAATCGGAGATACTCGGTCCTTTCCACCGATTCCACTGTTCAGCTGCCTACCTAACAGAAAAGAAAGACCAAAACACGATCACGGGCTACCAATCCTAGAGTCTAGAGAACGTTGAAAGGTACCATCCATCTCTTACTCGTACATGTACTGGTATACCCCTGGTCAATACAGCCGCCACTCAGGCCTGGTTTAGGCTGGTGTCCATCATCCCTGTCTCCCTTTTGCATGGATAAGGTCGGTTTGGTGGTTTTCGCGAGCGCCTAGGCCCGTCATTGATTTGGTATTGCCAACTCCGCAGCTTCTATCTCTGTCGGCTTTGTATCTTTCAACGCTCTTACGCTAAATCTCCAATTTCCTTCATTGTCTCTCGACTGTCTTGCCGAGTCCACCGAAGAAGGATTCGGCTTCTCCATATACCAACCAACTCACGAACCACCTTACGCATAGTTGAATGACCGCTCGATTATTGTCGTCACGTCTTTTTTATGGTATTTGAGAAATTGTCATGCTGATTAAACGTCTCAGTCCCGTTCTTGTCCTCGTGCCTACGCAAATACTCACAATACCTACCTACATACCTCTCTCTACTGCCGATAGTCAGCTGGTCTCAGGTTCTACTACATAGGTCTCACCACAAACCCGACGATAGCACGACACCGGTTCGATGAGCGGTACACCCACCTGCAGACGCCAATCTTAGCTTGAAATCATTTAATTTTTTTACTTTATTTTTTGTAATATCTATCCCATTCCACAGGACACACAAGAACGGGTTGCGGCGTCTTCAGGACCTCTTGGTCCACCAGCCGTCAAGCTGGAGTCGTGAGTGCGCCGATTCCTTGTGACACAATTCAACACCCCGGTCCCTTTGAGTTGCGTGAAGTTGGTAGTTCATGATAATATCTAGCCTTAGACTTATAGTCCGGCCATTCACCTCGCCATTTATCTTACTGGATAGCCCTTCCGCTAGCCTACCATACTGACATGACTTGGTTTAGCTTCATCCACGTCGCCGCTTGGTCGCAGCACCGGAGCCCAAGCCCCGGTCCTCAGCGTACCTTTGGCCACCTTCGATCTCTCTCAACCATGTCCCCGTCTGTGATTTCCCGGTCTAAGTCGCCGGTGAAATCTCAGTCTTCGTCGGACATAGCCACCGAAATGATGATCCCACCTACAAGTCCCAACTCTCGCAGTCTTCATCCCAGAAGAATGCCGTCGCAAAGCTCTTTAATGGTGGAGGATCAGGATCATAGTACCATCCCCGATCCCAGGATACGCATTACGAGTCCCGCCCCTGATGAGAACGTCCATCCCGATTTGGACCAGGAAGTCGCCACGCTTAGTACAAAGCTTATCAATGCCATCAACCACCAGACCAGTTTAGACGATACCCTTTCGGCAACGAGACAAGAGCTAGAGAATTCCCTAGAACGAATTCAAGAGCTCGAAGATTTGGTAGCGCAGCAGCGGGAAACGTTATCTGGCGATGTTTGGGTTAAGCGCAAAAGCGTTGAGGCTGAGAAGACCAAACTTCTCGCGCGCATTGCCGAGGAAAAGAGGTTGCGCGGCGAAGTAGAAAAGGACAAGAAGAAGATTGAACAAGAGTTGGAGACGCTGACGGTTTCTCTGTTTGAGGAAGCGAATAGGATGGTTATTACAGCCAAAGAGGATGCCAAAAAGGAACAGGAGGCGCTTCATCGAAAGAACGAACAATTGAAGGCGCAATTAACGGATGCTGAAAGTATCATGAAATCACAGCAAGAACAGTTGGCGCAACTGAAACTTGTCATGGAGCAATTGACGGTCGAGCGCGATAATCATAGTGGCACCGCGCCTTCATCGCCTGGATTTAGCAAGTTCGACTCGAGAGACGACGATACCCAAATTTCTGAGGATGCTTTGAATCTTGCAGCCGCAGAGTCAATACCTCCCACATACCCGACCAACCTTAATCACCTAATTCACCCGATCTTAAGAACAGATCTCCCTGCTTTTGACGACTTCGTGTCGCTTATCCAGACCTCCAAGAGGGCATCGAATAGCCGCGCTTCCTCGGGGTCGTATAGTGGACTCAACCCTCTTCTCGGCTTTGGTGGTTCTGGGCATGCCTCAGCCCCGTCCAACTCGTCAACGGTGTCACTGTCTACTATCAGCACACCGAGCGCAAATGTCTCTCCGCAAACCCCAAATACGCCTGCGTCAGCCCTTAGTGCCGGATCTGCCGCTTCTACTCCACTGCCGTCATTGAAAGATTCGAAATTTTACAAGAGGGTTTGCGTCGAAGATATTGAGCCTACCCTGCGCCTTGACATGGCACCGGGTCTTTCCTGGCTTGCCCGTCGGTCTGTGCTTCATGCTATGATCGATGGAACCCTTGTTGTCGAGCCAGTACCGACTACTAGTCCCTTCAAGGCCATCAGCAAGCCCCAGTTCTATCCTTGCTCGCTTTGTGGTGAGGCGCGTAAGGACACGCCTCATCTACGTAATCACCGGTTTAAAACGAGCGAGTCAGACTCTGCCCAACGGTATCCTCTTTGCAAATATTGCTTGGATCGCGTGAGATCGACTTGTGACTTTCTCGGGTTTTTACGGCTAGTCAAGGATGGGCTCTGGCGCGCCGATGATGCCGACTCCGAGCGAGCTGCCTGGGAAGAGTGTGTCCGGCTACGCGATCAAATGTTCTGGAGCCGCATTGGAGGTGGAGTGGTTCCGGTGATCAACCACGGGCATTCCCGTAGCGTTAGTGAAGAACCTACGCGGGATAACCAAGAAGCACACGGGACTTCAGCCGACGGAATTAAGGTAGAGGAGCCCATTGTGACTGTTCTCCCTTCTATCGAGTCCGCTGAACCCGAGCCGATACAAAAGGAGGAGGAACCGACCCAGGATGATAAGAAATCAGAGCAGACGATCATTCACACTGACATTTCTAGTACTGCCGATACTGAAGACTCAATTCAACCATCAGAGTCTACTAGTGCAGAAGCAGAAAAACACAAAGTCGACAGGCTCTCGTTGACGATTCCCGGTACTTTCAGCAAGGATGCGTCCGAGTAATTCTCCAAACAACAATTATACCCCCATCTAATATTTCTTCCTATTCGTTTCAGACGCACAAAAGTTCATTCTTTAGACGTTACATTATTTTTTCGCGCGTACATAGTTCGCAGCGCTGGACTTTAGACACTTGTGTATAATACCTAGTCACTAGAATCAGATGCGAGTGGCGACCCGGGGTGGATGGGTCGTGGTAATGGCATTGGTGCATTTAGCAGGCCGGTGTTTTCTGGAGTTCGTCGATTTGCCTACCTCGGATGAGGGCAGACGAAGTCCCGGGGCCGAGAGGGCTCGTCTCGGGGACTTTGGATCGGGTTGGGACCGAGGTTACAAGGCTGTAAGGTTGATAGTATATGGAACGCGTTTCGAGCTCGAGAGGGGGCTCACGACGCCAGGGCATAGCAAGTCTACGAGGACGGAGCTACGAAGGCCTGAAGCTCAAATCACATAATAGGAGGTTAGCAATATGAACAATGCGCCGACACGCGATTGCGCGACACATTTTTCAACGTCTACTTCCGCCTCTGGTGATATTTTCTTGCTATTTCAGTGTCATTTGTGCTACTTAGTATCCGAAATCATTTAGCAATTTGTAATTGCACCTACGGAAACTAGGAGTATTGCATACGAGCATTGCATACAACCAACTTGGAAGACTCCGACGTCGATATAAGTTCACCTGCGTATAACAATACTGACTCCCGCCTGGTTGGTCTCGGCATCACCGCCGCTACAGGTCATTTTGATCAGCACACTCGCCACTGCCCGGTCCTCCGGTATTTCAGTCGTGGCCTGACTTTCAGTATCTGGCTCGAACCTAGACGTCGTTTCTTACTCACTCGCCACACCTTGGCATCTAACTTTACCAATCAGCGAGTTACCCGGCGGGGACACGGCTTGCCGGAGGGGAGCGGGTGGTGGCTGTTATCCCGGATGGTGAGCTACAATGTAAATACGAACGAATTCGGCCGTCTGATGTTTAAGACACCGATCTCGGTTTGCATCGGACAGCTAGTCAGATGGACCCGCGATGCCGGAAAGACATATGGCCAGCACGGGGACCATCTAGGACTTATGGGCTCATTATCCCTTGCCTGCAGAGGCAACCTGGTTGAGAAGGTCCTGGCTGGGTTGGGTGACTGGATCGATCGAATCTGAAGCAAGGTCGCCGTCCTCACCGGTCTCGTCGTGGAGTAACAGCGTAGCAGCAGACACCCTCGAGGCACGGACGTCACAGGTGAAAGAACAAGGGGGTCTGGTGTCTGGTTTTTGATAGAGTAGCATCCGATTAGCGTCCGTCGGGGGGTTTTTCAATGTTGTTGGTTTCGGCATCACCAGCCACAGGATCCGACATTGGCTCGAACGTCTTTAGCTCGTTGGGGGCCTTTACACGCGGGATAGCACCAAACCCAAACCCAACAGACCGGTTTCCCAAGAATCTGGAATCGGGGGGCTCGGATACGTAAGCAAGCTAAAGTAGGTATAAGGTGCATGAGACTATCTGATGTGTCTCCAAAGTTTAGGCACCCTGATATCTGCAGTTACGGTTACGGTTACGGTTCTTGGATCCTTTCCCCAGGATTTAAGTCGGTAAAGGAGCTACAGATGAGTGGAAGCGAGGGCGGGCCGAAATCCTTGGGCCCCTGCAACCCACGCCGATTACCTGCTATGGAACGCAACTTACGGTATGGATGTAATTGAGACCTGCACCTTCTGCCGTACATTGATACCTGCATGTCAAGGTTTTGTCAAACAATTCAATTGCACATGCCAAGTGCGATCCAGATAGGAAGGCCTATCGATAAGTATAGAACTCGTGTTACAACGTTGTACTACCTACATCGATATGTACAGCAGGAACATTGCAACCATTCATCTTCTTCCGTAAACTTTTTGTCTCTCTTGTTTTTTGCCGCATATAATTGATTGACGACGCTGTGACGCTGGCACCATCCCGCCCATGCCCATCCTCGCCTATGTATCTCTAAACAGCTTGGGCTAAGCTGAGCTAGGCTAGGGCGGACCGGTGAGGTGGTATCCATCAGTGATGCCTGCGAGTTAACCCTCACCCAGCTCACGCTTCAACCACCCTCCAGGGCCCTTTTTACGCTTTTACTGCGTACGGCCAGGAGATCGACCAGGTTGATAGGTTATCCCCGTGAGGCTGTATGGTCTAGCCATTCTCGACATTTCCTATCTATCATTTTTCTATGACTTCAATTCGCTCTCCAACATTACCTGACTTTTTTAATGCTGTTTTCCACATATATTTTCAGATATAAGCGACATCGACACCAACTTCAAATGTTGCCACGGCGCTTTTATGACACGCAGTTCTCAATAGACTCCATTAATAAATACCCCAAACCCTGGGCTTGGTACGAGAACTAGGACTAGGAACAGGCTAGCTTCCGATAACTCGATCTCTTTTATGGGGAGGACAGAGGCTAGCTAGAGGATAGCTAGTTACACGACGGACCTAAATTCCTAAATTTGGGACTGCTGTGCGACTCAAGAGCCCATCTGCCCGAGGCCCTAAGATCCATAATGACTATAGCGTCAGATCCCAAGGACCCCAATACCAATACTACAAAGCCCGCTCATTCCAGGTCTCCACCACCGACCGCTAATCCAGATCCTAACGCACCGCCTACCAAACGACGTGCCCCCATAGCCTGCCGAAGGTACAACGTCCTCAAACCCGAAGACTAAGTGATCGCCACTGATCTCTAAATTCTATGTAGATGTCGGCGAATGCGAAGCAAATGTATTCATGACAAGGCGCCTCCTTGCAAGTCTTGTTTAGAGGCGAACGTGCCGGACGAATGGTAAAATAACCATCAACCCGAGTTATGCTAATGTCCCACGAACTTACACTATTCCAGTGTCTTTCCGTCCCGTGGCGAACTGGATCAGGACCGCTCGTTTCGACATCCACGCCAGAGATCCGATAGGAAAAGCAAAAGTGACGTTAAAGTCAAGAAAGAGTCGCCTGCTTCTCCAGGCCATATACGCAATGCTCTTTCTGACTGCAAGCTTGCCGAGTTTGAGAATGACTGGGATCTGCTTCCAGCTGTTGACATTGTCGTCGACGGTATCAATAATTTTACCCAGAACTTCTTCCAGTTAGGATTCATACCAAAAACGAAGTTCCCCGCACTTGTTAAAGAAAATCCTTCGTCTGTCAGCGTATTTCTCTTGTTAAGTATCCTCGCAATCTCAGCTAGATTCAACAAGTCTTTGATAGAAGCCTACGGTGATGGACTCAAGGCGGCGACCGAGTTCATGCATAGGGCTCAGGGCCTTGCTGTCCACGAACTCTATCAGCAACCTACTCTGGAGAGATGCCAAGCCTTTTACTTGCTGAGCATTGCTGAGCAGGGGAGTGGTAAATCAAACACGAGCTACGTAAGAGAATACCCCAAGTAAAATGTTGATGAACATAACTTTCTCACCCTGTATAAAGATCAGCGCAGGTATCGCTTTCAGAATGGCGGCTTTGATGCGGCTCCATCGTGAGGAGGCCTATAGTCCTATCACGCCGCAGTCACCTATAGAACATCGGATATTGGCAGAGTCTGCTAGGCGCACATTTGTAAGTTGATAGCTCCGTAATTTGGTATACCCAATTGAGCCGGTCCTCTTTTTTCTTGATATATCTCGACTCTGGTCAAAGGCTAATCACTACGTCTCGATCTTACAGTGGATGTTACATAGTATGTAAAACTGAAAAGGATAAGTTTCATTTCCTCTAATGGATTGCCCAGGCCAAGACAACCTTCACTCAGGCCCATATAAGCCATTGTCTCTCGCACCTGGAGATATCACCGCTCTCCTTCCGAGCGAGGAAGATGAATTCGAGAATGGCAAGATCCCTAAACAGCGGGCAGCTCTCGAGGGGACACCGCCGGCTATCCAGAACCCGAGTCTCACGATCCTTAGGCCTAGGTCTTTATTTGCATCTTTGATGCAGATACATAATCTATGGGGGATTATCGCTCGACGAGTTCTTCTCAACAAGAGATGCGGGCGGCCTCATGATAGTGGTAACGAATTTGCCAAGTTGAATAGGAAACTCCTAGAGTTCGAGCAAAACCTTCCCAGCGATCACACTTTTGGTAAAGTCCTGTTGCGCGGCTACAGGGATTACGGGGTGGACTTGGTAAAGGCAGACTCTTCCTGACTTCATCTGGAGCGTGTTATTAACATCGAGTCTTAGGCTTACCTTGGTCTTACAGGCTCTATCCGGCTCTGCCATATAGTCCTACGCAAAGAATACATGGAAGAGTATGTACTCCTTATCGAGTGTGGAATTTTGCTGAGACATTCTAGTATGATTCGCCATGCCCAGGGGAATCCTTCGAACCCCGAAGTGAAATTCTATAACAGCATGGCAGCAGAGTTGTTCTTCAACGTCAGAAAGTTATACTCTCAAATTGATGCTCATTACGAAAGTGGTATCGAAATTGGAAGAGTCGGTTCTCAGATGGCAGTAAGTGAATCTTACAGTCCCTTCAAGTAGGCTACCTAAGTTACTAATTGAATTTAGGGATTTATCATCTACGGTTGCGGGCTATTAGCCTCATATTTGTGCAAATTCCCTCAACGTAAGAACTACCTCTTGGTATGCACAGAACCTTACTGGGGGCCTTACTAATACCCCGACCAGTGGACGCCCATCATGCGGGACAAAACTTGGAGACCATACAAGCAGAAGGTCGCGCTATGTATATCCGCATCGTAACTATCCTCAGAGAGTGCCAAAAAGTATGGCCTCTTGCTGAGACCTGGTGCAATGGTCTAGAAAAATGGTACGAGGACTCGAATCCTAAACGGATATCGTTCCAGGCTGGCACCATGACAGACGGAGTATGTGACCCTATGAATACCAGAAAGAGGTGACAGCTGATGTCTAACTGAAATTAATCTCGTCTATAGAAAGAACCACAACCTCACGTCCTCAACGTCTTACATCCCCCAACGACCACGACATGCCTCCAGCAATCCGAATCCATCAACTTCGGCCCATTACGTTCAACGCCCCCGAGAGCACAAACAGAGGATCGAAGTCAGCCTAAAGCCGGAAAAGGCACGGAGCCGCACCGCCTCGCGCCGCTGCAACAGACACATCCCGGGCTAGTCCAACCCGTGTGTCTGCCCCCGCTTTCCCAAACGCCGTACGGAGCGCATCACCAACAGCCAGCGGCACCGCAATCCCAACACCATTCTCAACCTCCTCATGCTCCTCATCCTCCGCAACTTCAGAATTTCGTACAACCGCCATACGCGAATGCGAGTGCGAACCTCAGCCTCAACATGCTTGCCGAGGCTTCAAACCAGTCTCCGGGAACGGTCCCGTACAACCAACCACACCCGGCGGCTTACTACCCCGAGTACCCACCGCTGAACGATGGGTTCGATAATAACCTACAGATAATGGTTAATGGTGTCGAGGGACAGTGGTCCGGGACCGATGTTACGGGTGTGGCGTACGATGCCTTTGATATACCTAGCTATCTTCCTCAGAGTTAAGAAGGACCCTAAGCACGCTATCGCTGTTCAAATACGAGACATCCCGGGTTTACAACCAGAATACAGGCGCTTCCGGGGTGTACAAATATACGTCCTTATATCTACCTATACATATACATATATTTCCTTTGCACTCCAGAAAGCAAGCGATCTATACTTATTTTTATTTTTATTTTGTTTTATTTTTATGACTACTTGTTACATATCGGCCAAGATTATGGGACGGATGGTGCTATGGGTGGGATGGATGGAAGATGGGACGAGATTGATTTGGATATATGGATGGGTACAAACATTTAACTATATCGGCATATAGGAGTACACGCTGTTTAGGAGGAAATATCATGGTTGTTAGGTAGGATTTAGAATATAGGGGACTTTGACTTTGAGGCTATACAGAAAGTGCGTGATTAATTGTTCGTAAAGACTAAGGAATTATCGAATCTTTGCCCTTGTATCGATATCATCGTGTACTTGGGATGTAGCGGTGGTTCGTAAGTTGTTGACCATCGTGGGATTACATAGCTAGCAAGGTGAGTATTGGGAGGATTGAGATTTTGGTCAGAGCCTAATCAGACGTGTGGATATCTACCTAGGAGTGTGTCTATGTAGGTTCATGTCTATATGGATGTCTCATACTACTTTGCCAAAGAACTTTTGATGGAGAATCTGTGTGTATGAGTAGATTTGATGTACATGCTGATAGTAATATCTACATACATACTATCTACCTCCGTCGAAGCTACTCTGCATATTGTACTATGTAGGTAGGAAAAGCCATGGATCGCTCATATCCATGATTCCAAGGACTACTTAAGGTTGCTATTAGGGATAGGTACCACTACTCCACGTTAACGATCTTTCTCATTCCCATGCTTTTGTTTCCTCCCCCTTTCCCCTAAGCTTTCTTGATGCAAGTGACAACAAGTCCTATCCCTGGACCTTGGTGAATACCTTATATGATGCGAGACAGCTAGTCTAACTGGGCCAAACGCCATAGCAAGGGACACCTGAGAAGTAATCTGGCTAGTTATATGAAACGAAGCTGTTTACATCAGCACAATACTCACCTGGACGACACAAATAGGGGACGTTCGAAACACTCTTAGGAAACACTCTTAGATTCCAATCCTCACCGTACCACCATAGCACGAGATCTCTGGAACACCATCCACACAAAACCTATTCACGTACACATCTACTAAGTCACAACTCACGCACACTCATATGTATCACCATGAATCACATTCACGTAGGGTAGAAAGGGCCTTTATTTGTTAAATATCAGCGCAGCACTACCGACTTTATTCATTTAATCACAAACTCTCCGCCCGGGGAAAAAAAACGAGGCAAGGCAGTGAAATCTGAAATCCGAATTCGTAAAGAACCCAGCATCAGACCACTAACTCTCACCAAGTACCCGACGACGTTGATAATTTGTGATTTTCTCGTTATTTTGGGGGTGTTTGTCGAGTTCCGGATCAGTTCTTGTTGAAGACAAAAAAAGTCACCGAAATCTCGACGCCACATAGAAACCTGGGACGAACAGGTCAATGTGGAAACTTCCAATTGGGGGGGTTGGGATATTTTGTGCCTGTTCACTTGAACCAGACCAAAACCCCGGCGGCATGCTTTTGGGTCTGATACCCTTCGTATCTCCTGTCGTCCTCTATTCTCTTTTCCTCCACCTTCCTTACATGACTTCGTGGCCCCAAATCCGAAGTAAGGGGCGTACATGACGTGATCTTCTCTCTAAAGGGGACTAGAAATATCTCCGTTATGGCTTTGCAGTCCAAACCGAAGGAAAACTCAGCATGTCGTGGTGTATGGGGGCAATGATGTGATGTGATATGACTGGGGGAATTTCCATGGGTAGTTTAGTAGGCATGATGGGGATTGGATTACTAAGGTAGGGTATCTATGTACACATGATTTGGTGCTGTCAAAGGGGCTGTGGTTGGGGCTGGAAAGGGGAAAATCCTGGTGCTGGGATATAAGGATGCTGGGTTCCCCTGCGAACTTTGTGCGCAAGGCTAGGCCTAGGCCGGGCTTGCTTGCTCGTCGGGAGGATCGAGTGTCGGGGCGCGGGGCAGTGCATTTCTAAGAATGGGGACGTCGATAGCCGAGATAATCGGTTGGTGAGTTCAGGTTTGCTGCATCACAGACGTGGAACCTCCGAGCTGTCTCTTAACCTGTTCGCGGGCCCATCGTGCTGTGTCAAGCGTGCGAGGCTGGAACTCCCTATTCGTCTTGGTTTCCTTAATCATAGCAGTTAACCAATCTTGACGGAAGGCTTCAGCCAGCTCGCCATGTGGAAATGCATCCGCGAGGTCACTAATTGATTTGTTAGCTCTTCTTTCAACGATAAAATGGAGGACAATTGCTTACCCGATCACTCCCATAGACGACCGCATGAGAGACTCGCTGCGATTCATGTCTTGGGAAATGATGTTCAGCAGCTGGAAGATTGATTGCACATATGGCTGTAGAACTTGGTCTTTTCCACGGTTAGCACTCATATTACGACAAAGGATATCGGGTCACTCACTCTTGCCACTAATCTTCATGGCACCAATAATGCCACCCCAAGCATCCATAATACCTTCACGTAGGGAAATGACGTAGTCATAAAGCTCATAAGAGCCGTCAGGTGCGGCAGTAACAGTCGCAGCCTGTTGCAGGACTTGTGCGACGACCGAGAGGTATGTCTCGAAGTGACCGCCAATAGCGTTGGCAATATCGCCGAAGCATTGAAGGATTGCGGGCTTGAATTGGTTCGAAAGCGTCGTGCTCTGCAAGGGATCGTTAGTGGCTTGTTCAGTGAAATATGAAAATACTTAGGTACATAGAATAATAATACGTAGGATAGAAAAGATAGGAAAAAAAATATAACGACGATAGACTAACCCTTAGATTGTTCAAGAGATAATTCATGAAGTTGTCGCAGTACGGCTGGCTGCGTTCGCCCATCGATCGTGTAATATCGCTAACGAGACCAATAGCCATGGAGCAAAGACTAGGCTCTTCTTGGTTTGCAAGAGCGTTGTAAAGGAACGGCGTGAAAGCATCCATGTACTTGACGAAATCCTCCTCCATAGCGTTCGATAATCCACTGATCGTTGCAAAGATAGACTCGGGGACGCTGGACTTGGCACCCGCAGTGCTGAGGATCTGGAGCGAGACATGCATAATCCTGTCTCCCTGAGGCGAAATCTCCTTCTCTAATCGTTGGATGATCGCCTGCAGCACGGTGTTCAAACTAGTCTGCATCTCTTCTAATGCGATCTTGTCTTCTATGCTAACCACCTGACTCTGCATGGGAATGGTCTCCTCTAGGCGCTTGATAATCACGTCTGATAGCTGAGCAATTGCCGGGAAACTGTCTGTGGCCGCATGCTGGACGAAAGCGCTAAGAACCTCGTAAGACGTAGTGCGAACGGCAGTCTCAGATCCAGGCTGAGAAGTTACGGTGAGAAGAGTTTGGACACTCTGGTTGAAATGGGGGGTAAGAGGGTTCGAGGCGGCATCGAAGTCTCCAGAGAAGCGTTCGGCCAAGTTCATCAGCGCCCAGCAGCAAGATGCTGCCATCTTCACATCGTGAACACCTGCAAACAACGATCGGATCAGAGGGTCTAGGTGCTGCTGAGGGTCAATAGCTTGAGAGCAAGCCTCTGTAATACGGCCCAAAGCATAGGCAGTTGAATCCTTCACGAAAGTGGAAGCGTCTTCCATCATGCTGATCAAAATAGGAAGGGCCTGTTTGACGATAGGCTCGAGCACCTTTTCCTCAGGACCTTCCATAATCGCACCAAAAGCAGCCACTGCAGCTTCCCGGTAATGCCAGTCCTCCGATCGGAGATGCGTCTCGACAAACTGGATGACTGGAGGGATGATGTTCGGGCCAACAGCTTGAGCATAGAGCTGGAGACACTGGTATGCGGCACGTGCTAAGTTATATTCATCGTCCGTTGCATCCTCGTCTTGCTTGGTAAGGAGCGTGAGTAGAGTAGGCACCACCTCGTTAGTAGCGACGCGGGCGAAATTGTAGAAGGGGCGCATCTGGTCGGCACTGTCGACCTGTGTCTTTTGTTAGCAAATCTTCACTCATACATAATGCACAAATTATAACGTACCTGAGCGTTGTCCTCCTCAATGTTAATCTCTTCCTCACACACGGTACTCCAGAATTCAACAGCAAGCTTAGCAACATCCTCGTCCTCGTTCTTCATGCCTAGGATCGTGAGACCGAATAGAGCCTTCTCCATATAGTAGCGCATGTTCTCGTAGTAGAGAGCCATTATGCGGTTGAGACAGCCAAATGCGCCTTGTTGTATGCGCGCATCCTCGGCCTGGGTAGCCTCACAGACAACCTGCATGATGTAGTTTCGCTCTCCCTCGTGCTTAAAGTTGTTGCCAACGAATTCGAGAGAGTCTCCGAGGGCAGAAATGGCGGAGAGGCGCACTTCCGCATTCGTCTCTTCCTTTCGCGCGCCTTGAACTACTGCTGTCAGGATTGCGTTGGAGTGACCGATTAGGGCGGTTCGCAGCTCGGCATCCTGGCTTTCGCAGATGTAGCCTATACAAGTCAACGAAGCCTGCTTCTGATGAGGCGCGCCAGCGCTGACATTCTGGACCAGGACGTTTAGAAGATCCGGCCATTGGTTCCGCGGGAGTTCAATAGCCGCGATGGAAGCGATGACCTGAGCAGCAGCCTGGCCTGCCTGCGCGTTGTCAGAGGCGAGGGTCTGGACGGCAAGTTCCTTAACCCTAGTCTTGGTCTCTTGATCCGTCTGCTGGAGCCATTTGGCTTGTAGTTCTTGTTGACGGGCGAATTCGCGGGCGGAGAATGCGTTCTTCAAAGCGAGACCAGCAGCGACTCTGATGTTGCCCTGGGCATTTTCGTCCGCCAATGATTGTACTAGAGTCGCCAAGTACAGAGGCTAAAGGAGAGGGGGGAAATAGGTTAGCTGCTGTATATCAAGTTAGATATGAGAAGGATGCTAATAACAACTTACGAAGTTAGTCTCAGCAGCTTGGGTAAGCTGTTGCTCGGCGCCAGTTCGCGTAGCCGCGTCTAAGAGGGGAACGAAGGGTTAGCATCAAGCTCGGTAGGAAATGACGTGTGGGTAGCAGCAGGCGAGGCGCTTATGGGGGATCAGTAATTCCAGCACTTACCTGGCGACAGCGAGTTGCTGAGGACAGTGTTGATATCACTGTTATCAGCCATCTTGTCTGCGCAACAGACCTTTCCTGCTTTTTTGTTCTTTCAAGTAGGATCCAGGTCGGCGGAGTCCAATGTCAACAGGAGTAGAGTATTAAGCTGTAAGGAGAAATTTGATGAATGGGGGGGTTGCTTATGATGGATGGTCAAAAAGTGGAAGGAGTTGATAATAAGTCGGAAAAATAGTTCCTAGAAAGCACGGGAATGCCTCGTTCGGATCCTATTAAGACTGGTCGGAAATAGAAAAGGACGTTTTTGTCTAATGGTGGACGTTGAAGGAAAGTTTAGGAAAAGTCGAAGAGTCGAAAAAAAAAATGTAGAAAGTAGAAGGTAGAAAGTAGAACGGTAGAAGTTGATGGTGGGTAGTTGCAGCAGTGCGTAGTGCGCCAGTAGCGACCTTTTTTTTTCTGGCTCCCTAATGGTTCCCTAATGAACCTAACGAGGTAGGCGGAGTGATTCAGCGGGTCCCTTATTTATTTTGTTGACAATCACGAGCCTGCAACCCCCAGAGTACTAGGGTAACCGTAGTGTAAACCTTAACGACCAATTTGTTAGAAAAACGGCTAACGGTAGAAAAATAAAGATAGAAAAGGAGGGGTCGATTGTCACACAGATTCTTATTTTTCAGCTTCCTTTGTTTGCGAATAGGTGAATGAAAAAGGAGTAACCGTACCTTGAGTCTAGCTGGAGTAAATGAACGTGCTATGCATGTGCATGTGTTGTAGCAGTACCGAGTAGGTAGAATGAGGTTTAGGAAAAGGTAACTAAAATACCTAGGTGAGAGGTAGTCAAGCTAGAGGTGGGTTGGGTACGCTTGACTCAGTGACAGGAACATTCTATTCATTTCTCGAGAAAGTATAGGTCAAGACTGCATTTGTCCAATATCAAATTGAAGGTTTGACAAAAAAGAGGTGCGCACGGTGCCCAAGAAACGGTGAGACACCTGACATGTACATATCGTATATCGGATCATATATGCATAGGTACATAATCTACATGCATATCTAATTAAATTCTATTAACTGCACTACCCAGACGATACCAGCAATACCAGACAGCAGCGGTGCCCCACGTAACCTAAAATCTCACGCGGCTTGTGGGTGGACATGATTCGCCCAAGCAGCAATAACCTTCAATCTAGAAGACGCTACAAGCAGACCTGCAGTTGCGGCAACTCAGTCCGTGCCTTCCTAGGTACACGATTTTACATGATTTACAGGGCACGCATGCACCTGATTCCTCTGATTCCTCCATTTAGTGTCCCATCTGGGGCATGCACTGTCCGTAATCACCCTTCTAAGCCAATCAATTCGCTAAAGACATAACCACTTCGACATGTTTGCGAAATCGGAATGCGGACTGTCAGTTCTTCCCGTCATGCTTCCCCGCATCCGTCCCGCCAAGATTTTAGCTACTTCGTTATCCCTTAGCGAATGAGCTGTGCCACTCGATCCCCTATCCCCCTATTCTCGACATGCTAATAATGGCTTTGACTCTTGAGGTGCACAAAAAAAGGGGGACGATGGTCGATCATCAGCCACAAATCCCATATATGAATGCATATCTTAATATTCACCAAGCATTACTATTGATTGATTGATTGATTTTATCAAATGTGGGAATTTTGTTCGATTCTCCATCCTCCATGCTTTTGGATGCCGATGGGATAAGCTAAAACCTATGGTTTGCCTATCTGTTGTCATAAATCAAGCGCCTCGTTTTATTGCAGAACGCACACCGACAATTGAGCCCTAGTTAAGCAAGACCTATACCGGACAGCAGTATTACCAACCCAGACTGCCCAGATAAGGTCAAGGTATTCCGAAATAATGGACTATATGTTTTTATAACACCTTATCGCCCCCGTAATGCGGTCTTGTCATATTTTATACCGATTTACATCCCATTGGCCTTAGCTTCCAAAGCCTGTATTGTCTTAGATGGGTCATCTTGAGCCTTGGTGCTCCCGTTCGCGGTGGACGGTATCTTTAACCCGCCGGCATTAAGGTCGAACCTTTCCGCAAAGCTACCTTTTGGCATATGTTTCGAGACGACAGGGCTTCCGGGTCGACTTAGGATAAACTATTTGAAGTACTTTATTAGCTAAATTTTGATTCATGTTGTCGTGCGTGGGATACTCACGTTACTAGCCGCACCCAAAAGAGCTATGAGAGAGCTCTGCACCACATCTTCATGGATACCAACACCCCAGACTTTCTGTGACGTACCGGTGGCCGTGCATTCTATGTACGTAGCTGCCTTGACTTCTCGGCCGCCTCCTATGGCGTGCTCCTTGTAGTCGGCAACATCTAGATCGATCCCCACACCCTTCAGAGCATTAGCCAGGGATGAGATTGGACCATTGCCCCGGCCTCGAAGCTGGTACTCTTGGCCGTCGATGGCAACAACACCTTCAAAGACACGTGCTAGATTTCTAGTGTCCTGTACACCATTAGCTCCCGGTGGAGCAGGGGATGATGATCGATCGAACGAGATAGAGTAGTCGAGAATCTGGAATCGAGGGTGCTCTTGGAGAAAGTATGTGCGCTCGAATAGGTCAGTAATTTCGGCTGACAGGAGTTCTCTACCAAGCTCGTCTGCCTTCTTTTGCACCACTTTGCTAAACGCAATTTGTAAGCCTCTAGGTAGATCAAGCTTGAGTTTGCGCAAGACGATCCAAGCAGCACCACCTTTTCCGCTTTGCGAATTGACCCGGATGACAGCCTCGTATGTACGACCAATGTCCGCCGGGTCGAGAGGAAGATATGGTATTTGCCAATGATCGTCGTATCCTTTGCCATCTTGATCCCGTTGCATAAATCCTTTCTTGATGGCGTCCTGGTGCGAACCACTGAAGGCACACACGACAAGGGATCCACCATACGGTGCTCTAGGATGGACTGGGATTTTGTTGCAGATCTCAACCGTGTCGACGACCCGATTAAGATCGGAGAAGTCAACATTCGGATGTATCCCTTGCGTGTAGAGATTCAAGGCCAGAGTGACTAGGTCAACATTACCAGTCCGTTCTCCGTTTCCGAAGAGACATCCCTCTACACGGTCAGCACCCGCCATCTGTGCCAACTCAGCAGCTGCGACCGCGCATCCTCTGTCATTGTGTGGGTGGAGCGAGACACATATCTTCTCTCTCTCGGTGATATTAGTGCAAAAGTACTCGATCTGATCAGCGTAGACGTTTGGCGTCGACATTTCGACCGTTGCGGGAAGGTTGAAGATGATAGGGTTCTCGACCGTCGGCCCCCACGCAGCTTTGACAGCTTCACAGACTTTAATGACAAATTCGGGACTGGAATCCGAGAAGGTCTCGGGGCTGAATTCGAAAGCCCATTCCGTACCAGCGTGTTCAGGGTCATCTTTGGTGATAGAGCGAGCATACTTGGCGCACGCCACCGCTCTCTCCAAGCTCTCCTCTTCAGTGAAACCGAATACAATGCGCCGGAAACACTCGCTTGTTGCTAGGTAGATGTGTAGGATAGCCTTCTTGGCACCCTTGAGGGAGTCAACAGTACGGCGGATGAGGTCTTCACGGCATGGCGCAAGGACTTGTAACCAGACGTCATCAGGTACGGCGCCAGGGGTCTCGACTAAGCGCCTCGTGAAGTCGAAATCGGTTTGCGACGCGGAAGGGAAGGATACTTCAATCTCCTTGTAGCCAAGGTCAACCAGCATCTTGAAGAACCTCCATTTTTCGTCGCCATTCTGCATAGAATATTATTAGACCATACCAATTAGATCGGGAAATACCTATATACGAACCATTGGGTCAACCAAGCTCTGGTTGCCATCTCGCAAGTCAGTTGCCAACCATCTTGGGGCTTTATCGACTGATTTAGACGGCCATTGGCGATTTGGCAGGTTAAGAGGCTGGAACTTCTTGTATTTCTTGGAGGGATCTTTGAGCCTGTAGCACGAATTGGGTGTTAGTTGGGTGCACTTCTGGCCATAGATTGGGCCCAATGGGGATATTTATATATATTGATTGTTTTAGATTTCCAACAGTTACGTGCAACTTACATCGGCATGGTCGATGCACAACGCCGGGTGGGCTTGAGGCTTGTGGGATTAAAGCTTGTGGTGAGGGATCGAAGGTATGACGCAGAGGCACGTAGAATACGATGAAGAAAGTGTCACGGTTGCAAATTGTTAATTGCAAAAACAATAATGGTATGTGAAGGAAGGGTCTTTGACGTTCTTTGTTCCCCAGAACTTAAAATCCTTATTTATCTTTCCTAGTCCCTGCCCATGAGTCAGAATTCATAGGGGCGCGACTGACGACCTCGGAATCTATTTCTTTAATAAAAATTTCATCCCGTGTCTAAACGAAGCGTACTTGCACGAAGGTGGGGTGTCCCTACCTCAATGCAAGGTAACCCCGCAGTCGGGTGACTTGACCCCTCGTAGGATGCATCTACATGCATCTAAAAGCATAGCAGGGCACTTTCCACTACAGGCACTACAGCCACCACAGCACAATATAGTACCCCTCTTACTGTACACGTACGTAACCCCGGACGCCACTACCAACCTATCGAGGCCTGTGTCATACCTAACCCAGCAATTGTCAGCAGCATTTTCACCACTTCCTCCACTTCCACCACTTTCACGCTTGATACACTTCCATCACTTACATATAGCACTCAGCATAAATCTGTACGAGACGGCATGATATCAGAGCCCAATAAATATCCGTCGTCTCTATGTTGTGCTTCCACACCCTAATTTACTATATGTACGTTTGTATGCAAGAGCGTTGATGCGAAACGTGAGAGAACATGGACATTCCTTAGAAGTAAAGTTGGATTTGACGGTCAATTTATTGAGACCCGTACCTAATAGCTACTGCCTTAACTGATTGCTCAGTTAGGTGACCTATGTGCATGAAATATGTCCCGCTTCATAGTGCGGCTTATGAATGTACCTTACGTCCTTCAGAATCCCCGACTCAAGAATTAGGATTCTGCGTACGCATGACCCCTTTAGATACCGACGACGTTGGCTCGGTATATGACACCATAAAAAACCAAAATGCCCGCTTTAACTCCTTTTAACTCCTGGCTGCGAAGAAAATGCATGAAATTGCCTCCGCCCCTAGAACCGTAATAATTCGACGACGACCCATTCATGGATTCCATAAGAGATATGTAGTTCGTTGGAAGGGTCCGCTGACTGATTGATGGATAGATCACCATGTGAAACTTTCTTCGATAAAGTCCACCACCGAAGTGCCATCTTGTACTTCGCGAACCGCTTGTCGAACATCGTCTGCTAGAGCGCCCGGGCCACAAACTGTGACGCACATAGCACCGACTTGTTCTTCGACCTCTTTCTGAACCAGTGTCGCAATCTTAGGACGACCTGGAAACATCTGGACCGTGCTAGAGCCCGAGTGGATTTCCCGAGCATTCTTAGGCCTGGTCACGAACAATCTTATTGAGAGGATCTCTCGTCGTCTGGGGATTCGTAGTATCTCGTCCATCCAAGGTCGCACCCACTCCAGTGCCTCCGTGTCACGCATAATCCATACGAGTGTAATTCGTCTTGTCGCAACTGTACCATCGTTGAACCCCTGAACTAATGGCTTCAGGTAAGAAATTTGATGGGTGATACCGGTAGCGCCAGCGAAGAGTAGAACGTGGCCGTACGAGTTCAATGAGTGGTGTCCAGCGTAAGGGCCTTCAATCGCAGCTCTAAGACGAATAGATGGCGCTCCTCCGCTAAGCGCTTTATTGTAAAGTGCCCGAGTAAAACCGGTCTGAGCTCCGATAACGAACGATACGGATGTTGTTCCTTCTTTTAACTGAGACTCGGTCACGGCTTTCTCACTCAGCGTTGCCCTATCAATGCTGGGGTGGTGCTCGACCCATGCGACGGAGAATGGGTGGTTTTCCCAAAACCGGATCTGTGTGAAGCGGATATAGGCATGCGATCCCGGCTTGACGTCCATGTAACGAGGGAGGTGCATCGTCACTCGAGTAGTATCGCCAGGCATGGGTTCCACCACAGCTTCTGTGAAGCCGCCCCTTTTCGACCAGTTGTAATAGCCCAGACGGAATGCTCGTGCCGTGCGCTCCAATACCCAACTCACAAAAATTGCCACCACCCACGATTTCTGAGGAAGGCCTCCAGGAAGTTCGGCAAAGTCGCAGTGAAGGTACGTCATGAGGAGTGCGAGCAATCCTAGAACAATATGGAAGTTCAGGAACGTCTCGTAGAAAGCATGTCTAAGTGGTGACATGGCAAGGATGAGGAGAACCGTCATCGCTATTGTCCCGACGAAGCCGGACGCAAGGAAGTCGTTGCGGATTAGCTTATAACCTGCTCCGCCCCAACCACTAGCGGCGACTTCAACATAGGCCCAAGCAACGGTGTGGATGATAGCCTCGATAACGACGGTGCGACCCATCCATCGGTGGATAAGATTGTAAGTGTCGAAACTTACACGTAATAGGCTGATCAAGGGGTTGTTTCGTCCTGCCATGATTAGAAGAGGGACCATGTTGACGAGCGACAACGTGCCCGAACGACCTCGGATCTCAGCTGCCAGCGAATAACCGTTTGGCTGATTCCAATCCTCGTAGAACATGTAGGCGACGTTGCTAAGTAAGTAGATGGCTAGGACGACCGAGTGGAGTCGAGACGGCAAGGTGCCAATGGAGACTGCTGAGGATATCTTTATTTCTCTGTTGTGGCGTTTCTTCCACAAGGGTGCATAGAGGAGGTTCTTCTTGAAGGCTGGCATCCAACTCCATTGCGTCTTCTTCCAGTAAGTTTGCTGAGCGGGTGAAGATGACATAGCCGAGACATGTCGGATTTGAGACCATCCGATGACGGCAAGGCGAATGGCAAGTAGGATGAGTGCCATGACCCCTAATGTCCACCATAACGAATCCCTGAACATCAAGTTACCTTCCTGATCAACTCCATTTAGCGCCGTAGAGAATGGACTAATCGTAGATGAGGGCGTAGCCACAGCATTTGTTGCTGTGGGTGTGTCTCGAGGTGCGAGACTGGCTGTGCAGTTGGACGGCGGGCAGAGTGCGTCGGCGATCCGGCGCCGTATGAACGACATGATGTTAACGTACTGGCTAGCAGTGTACGGTGTATGTGCAGAATAAAAAATGTCGAAAAAGAATACTAATCGCCTGAAACGAGGGACGGAAGGGCGGACAAGGAGAATCTATAGTCGAGGACAGACGATTCACCCTATGATCCAGAACCCTCGAAGGCAAAGAACGTTATTGATGTATGCTCCTTATCAATGCATTGTGATCGAGAACAATCAAGATACCGGGGTTTTTGGTGATCCGCTTCTTTGTTCAAGTCGAGAATCTTTGTCCTTAGTGTGGCCACAGCGTGGTGGTTGTCCACTGATTTGACGGAGTAGATGGGGATGGTAACAAAGGAGCGGTTGAGGACGAAGACCGGCAGTATGATGAACCTCGAGGAATATAATACTATTTTTGTCCCCTTTGTCGGCGTGAAGGATATCCTTGATATGGCCTTAGTTTTAACGGTTGATGAGGCCGGTAAGCCGATAAGTTGAATATTTCCAAAGGGGGAAAGTGTGGGGTATTAAGCGCGTCGTGATATATTGGCCTACCTAAAATATAGGTATCGTGATGGTTCGGTAGATGGTTAGACGCGCGACGGGATTTATCAAAATGGAATGGTCCTCCGGTAAAATAAGATAGACGGGGAGTGTACGAGAGTGAATAAGTAAATGAGTGAGCGACCAAATTTGAACGGGTGATGAGATGCGTAAATCGTAAAAGATCAAAGTTGTAATCGTATGTTTAACCGCGTCCAGAATATTTGATGGAGAAAAACGAATGTAAGGATGTTTGCGAGATGTATGAGTCGAAGTTGGGAAGTTGCGAGAGTAGAGTGACAAAAGTGGTGAGGGTATCTTGGTGTTCTTAGTGTTCAAGGTTGCGGGTACTGGCAGATTATGATGATCACTCTGTGCACTTGGACCAGCTGCCAACTTTTTGTACCCTTGAATAAACCGGTCGTCAACGACCTTTTTGAGAATAGTGGAATAGTGCTATGTTCCTACTATGTAGATTTATACTCATCAAGAGTAGAACAAAAAAATAAAATAAGATAAAAGCGCCGAGCACAACATATGTGATGGCGATCATCAAAGGCAGATCACCGAAGTTTATACACAAAGATGCATCGTGACTTACATAGGATATGTACCCCTGAGATGGCCCGATTTCCCAGTTCCGCTTTCCCGCCCTTCGGATACGAAGGTACTAGTAGACTACTTTGTCATCCGTGGCTTGTTAATCGTCTTGAATCACGCTATGATCCTAAGATAATCAATTCAGAACGATAGCAATCCTGCCAGTGAATTCCATGCCCATATCTAATCTTGATGTGGAAGTTCTAAAGCTCAAACGCCGGTGGGTGAATTTACAAGTTTACGTTCCTAATCGCGATAATTCGTCCCAAATGATTTGTCCACAAGCGCCCCAAGATCTGCGCCGAGACCCACTTTCCCGAAAAAATTAAGAAGCAGGGGTAATGTCCAGATTTGATAGGATCAAGGGGTTCTACACTTAGCCACAACGTTACCGAGCGGTCAGTAGAGCGCCGTATCTGATTGGCCGGTTGTTTTGCCATCGGGAGGCCTTAGGGGCCCGTACAGGCCCTTACCTGCTGAAAATGGCCGATTTAAGGGGCTGGAAAGGCTGACAGCTCCCCCTGGGCCGCCTGGCCGTACCTGGCTGTACTACCTAGGTCCATCGCACCACTAACCATGCGCTAATCATGCACTAATTCTAGCCGGGTTAGCTTGAACTTGAACTAAGAAATTCGCCAATAGGTTTTCGCCAATAGGGGGAGGCGAATAATAGCCTTTGATTTATTTTATCCAAATTGTTCATGCAGCTCATGACATCAAGGAGTCTTTGATTCTCGGGTGTCTCCGAAAACACGACGACCACCCGGGTCAGCCTTCTACGATACGTATGCGTCTACGTATATTGAAACATTAAACCACCGAAACATCGAAACATCTAGGTCTGGGGTAGCCTACATAGTAATTCGTCCGAATGTGTTTCCATCGGATGTTTTCCCGTACCTGCCTTGTAGGTGGGGTTCTAGTTCTTCCGACTCATATATTAGAATATATGATGGCGGGACATGACTCCCCTTTTACTCTCGGGTTAGATGATGTCGTACCACCTCCGAGAAAGACCGTGGCTAACATCCAGTCCTTCTTATTACCTACCTAGGTAGGTGATCTAGATCCCAAGGGTTGTCTCAAAGATGTCAGAAGTCACAGGTCGAAGGGTTTTGATAATAGGTGAATGAAGAAGAGAAGTTATACATTCCCTAGTTCCTAGCTTTTATCTTAAAGTGACAGGAAGAGAGGAATATTGCGTCGTACGACGAATCGATTATACGGGGGGATGTTCATTCTGGGGATCTTTTGACTACCTTCTGAACTAGAATAAAGTTGATCCGAATGAGTACGATGACATTATCCCTAGAATCCGGGCGTCCCCGGTTGATGTCCGTCGGCAGATGTACGCCACTTATTTACCAAGGAGTGTTGGGATATCTCAGATCTCTCCCAAACGTCTTACTGCCGGGAAATCCCCTATATGATGCAGAATCTTGCTCAAGCGGTTATCGTGAGGCTGAAACCGTGATACCAAACTCTCATACCGCAATTCTTGTCATGCAGCTGAATGTCTTAGCTATACCGAGTTCTCGTGGCCGTGGGTTACCAAATACTACGTGACGTGGGTTTGTTAATCCTTTGTCAGGGTTGTAAACGCACAAACATCGTGCCGGGACGGTGGTAGCGAGATCTCCATATTTCTCTTTGTAGGATTAGGGCGATTATAACGGTGACAAATCTACTATATCTTGGCTACTTAGTCTTATATCGTGGGATCAAAATCTGGATTTCGAGGATATACTATAGTCGCATAATACCTACCTAGGTAGGTATGTAGTATACGATTCTAAGTCTTATACCATCATCAACCACATACTCCTTTAGGAGCAACAATCTGACGATATTTCCAGGGCTATAATCTATTTCGATCTGAAACATCGTCAATACCAAAATTAGATATTGATGGCTCCATAAGCTATGAATGCTTACTTTTGTTTTATTGATAAAGGCCAAGCTCATATTGGATAATAATAATTATTTACATCATACCAAAGCTTCGACGTCGCTGTTCTACATAGATAGGGATATATATGCATTTAGATACATAAAGCCTCATATACGCATATAATATCTATTTAAGTGCGTGATTGTAGATACTAGAGTATTCAAGTGGGGCTGGTCACTTCGCACTCTACGCGTTTGTGGATTGGGGAACAGCATTCTCTACACGGAAAGAATGATGGCAAGGTTTGTCATCGACTTCCGATCTTGTTCCTGAAGTAAAGGAAACCACGGGTATTAGAATATTAGAAGGCAACTTTGATGAACTTTGGCGCTACTTGACTTTTTTGCAGTCTCAATTTCCCCAAACAAAACCATCAGTATGACATCAACCCGCCAGCTATGGCCATTCATAAACTGAGTGCGTCTATGAATGTCATGTCGGTGATAACAAATATCCGAGAATAAATCAACCAAATCTCATCACCCATACCCATAGGATAAGATATCCACGGCATCATGTCTCGGTTTCTTAACCCGGCTAAAATTGGGCTCCTCGCTCTCATCGATCTATACACAAACAAGGCCGTCCCAACGGCTTCCACCGTGGAGGTACTCTCCTTCATTACTTCTCATTTGATTGACACCGCTCCGACTTCTTCTGACACCGAAAGTCGATGGAAGCGCGCTGAAAGTACCGTCAGCATAGTGATCTCTATTGCAGACTTTGAAAAGGTCTTGGCACCGCACACTGCCGCTTCTGGCATACCTGGTCGGACTTTATGGTATGCATTTTTAGAAAGGTTATGGAAGATCGACTCGCTGGATGCCTTACATGAATTCTTTGAACGTTGTTCAGACTTGTTAGCAAAGACGAAAGACGAGCTCCGCCGAGACGAACAAGAGGGCTTGCCAATTCCAGGGCCAGAAGTCATATTGCTTTCCCGCAACTCACCATTTGGCGCATTTGTACGCCGCTCTCAACTTGAATTCACAAGGCTGCGTTTTCACGATGCTTTCGAACTGTGGAAGGACTTCGTCAAATATCGTCAAACCACGGCTGCCTATTATCGGAAGAAGACACCGTCATTCCAAAGACTCAGTTTCGATCATGTTCTATTAGCTGGGGAGAACGAATGGGGTCCAGGTGTGGAAGGCATTGCCTCCGTGGCCTACGGAGATATGCTCAGGGACGATCTTAGTTCTACCTTGCCCGTGAGCACCGATGATATCGAGAAACTCTTAGAATTCCAGATCGAACAGATGCAGAAATACGGCAATCGAATACCCATAGAGATACAACGTCAATTCCAGGACCTGTTAAACGATAGCTTTATGATACCAAGCTTGTCTCACTATCTAAGCTATTTGGATGCCTGGAGAGCGGGCGACTATTCAACCTCCTTTGATTACTTGCATCGATACTTCGACTACACAATGCAGAATAGGGACAGGTCCTTCTACCAATATGCACTGATGAACCTGGCGGTGTTGCAAGCCGACTTTGGGTGCTACAAAGAAGCAATATCCGCGATGTTGGAGACTGTCTCCACCGCTAGAGAAAATCGGGATATGACATGCTTGAATTTTGCCCTCAATTGGCTTTTCCACTTTGGCCGGGCCCATCCCGAAGTGACCAAGGAACTGGAGTCAAATAGCATGCTAGGCACTGGCAAAGAGTCTCTAGCATTTCTTCGAAGTAGGGCAAAGGAGACGGGCATGTGGTCACTATGGAGTTCTGCACTCATGAGCGAGGCAAAGATGTGTCTCTCGAACGGCGAAAGTGTAGCCACGGCCATCGAGCATCTTGTCAGGAGCTCTCAAATCTTGGTTGAACGTAACATGAAGAATATGATCGGCTCCCAACTGTCCATCAACATAGCATTATGGGACAGGTTAGGGATCGCTTATCTGTCGATGACTACCTGCGAAGTATTCCTTCGATGCCATGCACGTCATTCGATCTTCGACGATGAGTTAAAGGTAACAAGTCGCCAAGCCTCAATCTTAACCCTCAAAGGGAAGTACGACGAGGCACTTGGAATCTTGGAAGGCATGGACGCTAATTCCCTCCGAGCCTGGAAACCAAGTCAGTATTGGCACAAGTTCCGGGGTATTATCAAATTAAGAAGAGATCTCCATCGGAACAATCTCGATGGAGCAGAGCTGCTGATTTCACAGCTTCTCCAGTCTAAGAATGAAGATCTAGAACCTGATCTTGCGTTCGTGGTCGATAGTCTCCACGTGGAGTGTCTCGTACGTAGAGGCATTCTCGACCAGGCTTTCGTCAAAGTGGAAAAGATGATATCAGAGCTTCGTGATGAGAATAAAGATATTGCCCTACGTATTCGGCTTCTCCTTCTTAAGGCAGAGCTCCTCGACAAATGTGGCCGACCGCAGAAAGGATTTACTATTGCTGTGCGAGCAGCGAATGTGGCCTGGCGCGCTCGTCTTATCCCTTATCTCTGGCCAGCTATTGGGGCCATTGCAAATATCCTAACATCACTCGGTGAATTCGAACCGGCTATCCAATTGCTCAATGCGATACTGCCCCGCAGTCTCGAGTGCGAGAATTCAGCAATGACCGCGAAACTGTACTCGCACCTCGGCGACGCAAATATGGGCATGGCAGGCAAGATGCCTCCAAAATCAAACAAGAGAAGAGAGTTCATGACGAAGGCGGTGGAAGCGATCGAGAAAGCTTTCAACCATTACTCAAGCGTCGAGGATATTAATAAACAGTGCGAGATGATGGCTAAGAAAGCTACAATCATGAAGGTCTCAGGGGACAACGTGCTTGCTAATGACTACGCGGCTGCGTACCTCTCCATACGGAGAGATGCTGAACGAATGAATATATGATTGGAGGGTTTAACTAGTTTATTAGCACAATTGATGATTAACAACGAATAAGTTATGTTTGCGTTTTCTCCTATACTGTCCAGCAGCTGAACTTACACAGTTAGTGTTGTTGGCTGTAGCTCTTCTAAGATAAAGGCTTTAGGTTATGACCCTTACGAGGAAGGCCACCAGAGAATGTACAAAATTGATCCTGGATCATATATTCCCATTTTCATACGTTATGTTACTAAATGATATGAAATTGCAATGAAAATCAATGTTTCTCAATTACTAATCACAAATACACGGTTCACTTCTCTAATCCATATCCTATAGTTCATAGGTAAACTTGCCGTACAACAACTCTCAACTCTTCCTCGGAACCAAAGCCAAGTTGTATAATTTCCCGAGTCGACATCAGGTCAGTCTTAAACCCAAGACCTCTCTATTTTGACATACTTACCAATCTAGGCCATAGGCTGCTACACGCACGTACAAATCACCATGTGTCTCTACATCCAGACCCGAGCCTGGTGTTCGGCCGGCAACCACTTCTTCGGCGAAAACTCCGGAGTACGGCACCCATGCGCCACGGCCCGGTTCGTGCCCCCGAACCAGATGTTCAGGGAGGGCGGATGGATTTGCGACACCTTCGTGTGTCCGCCTCATATCAAGGATCCGATCGTGGATATATGTGATGAGTGCCTGGCTAAAAGGATGGCGGGGATGGAGTTAGAGGGCGGCGGGAAGATGGGTAAGGGAGGAGAAGGGGGTCAGGGGGGAGAGGGGAATGGTGGGAGGAGGGCTTCTTTTCCATGAGTTAGCACCGGAGCCGGGTACCTTTCAAGGGGCTTAAACAATGAGACGTTTTTCAGTATTGATCTTGATATCTACATCGCAGCCAACCTATGCTTTGTCATGCCGTCTTTTTGACGCCCGTCTTAAGTCTTCCGTTTTGAAGATATGTCCTTTCGTAGCTCCGTTATCTTTCCACACGTTGATCCAATCCATACTGCCATTGAAATCGTAATGTCTCAATATGTATCTACTACCATATAGGAAGCCTATGCTCTCCTTATCATGTAGCCAGCAAACCTGATCGTTCGTCTGCCAACTGCTCAGACGTCAAAGACCCTTGTAAAATATGACTCATTTCTCATTCCAGTTAATATGCCTCCCCCTCTTATCCTTCAACTGGCCCTCCTTGACCACCTGCTCCGCATCCGCCTTATCCTTCTCGTGCTGGTCCACCTCGCTCATATCGTTGGTGGCCCAGATGCGCTCGATGGACAGGTCGAAGGGGCCAGGGACGCGGTCGGTCAGGCTGACGCCGATGCTGCGGACCTTCTGGCGCAGCATCTCGGTCTGGGGCTCGACGACGTAGCCGCCGTTGGTGCGGACGAAGTCGTTCCACTTGATGAGCACGGTCTCCCACTCGCCGGGCCGCTTGGCGAAGAGGCGGTGCTGGTGCAGGTCGGTGGGGATGACGGACTCGGTCTGCACGTTGACGAAGTACGCGCGCCCGTCCGACTTCACCCGCATCCCGAGGTACGTGTACGAGTCGATGTCGATCAGCGTCCGCCCGAAGATCGTCGGCGGCTTGTCTAGCGTCCGCCACGCCGCGTACCCGGACCGCTGCACGTCCGGCCGGTGCGCCGGCAGCGCGTTCGATATGCTGCCGTGGAAGCGCGCGTGCGCCGGCACGTTGCCGGCGGGGGACGGCGGGACCCAGTCGAAGGCGGCTTTGGACGAGCCGCCGATGTCCCGGTCCCAGAAGCACTTGCAGTCTTCGAGGGACTCGGGCGTGTGGAAGGTTTGCAGGGAGAGCGGGCCGGAGGGGCCTTTTACGCCTTCGAGTTTAAGTGCTGTGTGGGATGTTTAGCATGGTGGCATATATACTAGGTACTATATGGTTTAGGAGGCAAATGCGTAGGTACCTATATTCGACAGGCGCTTGAACTCATCGAGGCTGCGGCTCCAGAACCCTTTGGACAGACATGCTGTCGTTGCGCGCATCTTGGATAGAGTGCGCAAAGTTTATGCGGGGTCAATTAGGGGTAGAATAATGAGCCAAAAGGCCCAGGAACCAGATTTGACATCAGCAGCACAGATTTTCGGAAATCTGCACCTCTGGGACGAAGTTGTCGAGTGGTAGCTGGGTGGCGTTGAATCGAGGTCTGATTAGAAATGGGAAGCTTTCGTCATGAAAAGCTTCTGGATGCGTTAGGTAGCTAACCCATAATTATGATAGAGGGGTAATGTAGGTATAGAAATTCGATATGCAGGTAAGAGAAGTACGTAGTAACGTCTGCCACGCGTTATGTGGCGTCCAAGACTTAAGCCCCACCAATGCAGTTCGGGAAAAGCTCGGTTCCAGACGTTATTGAGAGACATGGGTTGGCTTATCGTGAATGTCTCCAATCTCCAAGAAATGACCAAGACTTGGAAGCTTCCAAGAGCCCAAGCTGCGTCAGCCTTCAGCCTCGGATTGATCTCTAGCTTAATTCCACTGAGTGGGAGCTCGGATTTCTAGGTCGCTGACGTTGCGTAGACATATTCGAAATACTTGTATATCAACACATTCCGATACTAATTCACATCATTCCTGACTCGTGTTTCTGCTATTATACCCAACACTGCCAATACCCTATTAGCTGTCTCCTTAGGACCGGATGGGTGAGATGTGCTGTGCATGAGAGGAGCTACAAGTCGACCTCGAAACTTCATCTCATCATTTACTCACCTGCTTAGGCTGTAGAGAAGCAGAGTTATAGAATCACTTCTTAAAGTCAAACTACCAGCAACTTATCCACCATGGCTACCATTCGTAGTCTCGATCATACAAAGTGCGTCTTAAACCCTTTGCGAACTTCCTACTCTCCGGAGTGCATCTACATCCACGACTTGTACCTATCTACAACATGGCTGCCGTACCTATTTGCGCAATACCCACTAACTACCAATATTACAGGTCGGAAGCCGAGCTCGCCATCAATATTAGAAAAGCTACCAACGCGGAAGAGACGGCACCGAAACGAAAACATGTGCGAAGCTGCATCGTTTACACATGGGACCACAAGTCCTCCCAGTCCTTCTGGGCTGGCATGAAAGTGTATGTGGAAAGAGGATAGCATATACCTTCGCTATGCAAGGGCTGACTGGGTATATTGTTTAGGCAACCGATTCTTGCAGATGAAGTGCAGACTTTCAAGGCCTTGATCACCATCCACAGAGTCCTGCAAGAGGGGCATCCCCAGACACTGAGAGAGGCTATGGCAAACCGACCATGGATCGAGAGTCTGAACAGAGGTCTCGCCGGCGAGGGCGTCCGTGGATATGGCCCCCTGATTCGGGAATACGTCTATTTCCTCTCTGCGAAGTTGTCCTTCCACCAGCAACATCCCGAGTTCAACGGCACGTTCGAGTACGAGGAATACGTTAGCTTGAAGGCGATTAACGATCCCAACGAAGGCTACGAGACTATTACCGACCTCATGTCCCTCCAAGACAAGATCGAGCAGTTCCAGAAGCTGATATTCTCTCACTTCCGAAATATAGGCAACAACGAGTGCAGAATTTCGGCTATTGTACCTCTAGTACAGGAGAGTTACGGAATTTACAAGTTCATCACTAGCATGCTACGAGCTATGCATTCAAGTATGCCGATTGTGAAACCCCAGTAGGACTTTTGACTAATATTCTGCGTAGCAACTGGTGACAACGACGCCCTGGAGCCTCTAAGGCAACGTTACGATGCGCAACACTACCGACTAGTCAAATTCTATTACGAATGCTCGAACCTGCGTTACCTGACTAGCTTGATCACCATCCCGAAACTACCCCAAGACCCTCCTAATTTACTGGCGGAAGATGAGAATGCGCCCGCGCTACCAGCTCGGCCAAAGCAGGAGATCGAGCGTCAGCCGACGCCTGTGCGCCAACCCAAGACTGAGGAACCTGACGAGATCGCCGAGTTCTGGCAGGGCGAGATTGACCGCCAGAACAAGGAGTACGAAGAACAGCAAAGGGTGTTACAGGAACGGCAGGCAGCAGCTCTTCGCGCTCAACAGGAAGCACAACTTCAAGCTCAGCGAGACTTTGAAGAACAGCAGAGACGTCTGGCGGAGCAACAACGAATGGAACAAGAGGCGCTGATAGCCCAACAAGCTCAATGGCAGACGCAAGGACGACTGGCGGAACTTGAGCAGGAGAACTTGAACGCAAGAGCGCAGTATGAACGCGATCAGCTAATGTTGCAACAATACGATCAGCGGGTTAAGGCGCTCGAAGGCGAGTTGGCGCAAATCCAGAACAACTTTGGTCAGCAGATTACTAGCAAGGACGACCAGATTCGGGCGTTGCAGGAGCAGGTCAACACGTGGCGAACGAAGTACGAAGCTTTGGCGAAGCTCTACTCACAACTGCGACACGAGCATCTTGATCTCCTTCAGAAATTCAAGACTGTTCAACTGAAGGCAGCATCAGCCCAGGAAGCCATCGAAAGACGCGAGAAGCTCGAGCGTGAAATCAAGACCAAGAACCTTGAGTTGGCAGATATGATTCGGGAACGAGACCGAGCGCTCCACGATAAGGATAGGCTGACCGGTAGCAATAAGGATGAGCTTGAGAAGCTTAAGCGAGAATTGCGCATGGCGAATGACAGGGCCGACAACCTGGAGCGAAGCAAGGGTAACGAGTTGTCCACTATGCTTGCCAAATACAACAGAGAGATGGCGGACTTGGAAGAGGCTCTGCGAACCAAGTCGCGCGCATTGGAGGAGGCCCAAGCCAAAGTACGAGACGGTAGCTCAGACCTTGAGCAATTGCTCCGTGATAAGGAGGAAGAGCTTGAGGTTTACAAGGCTGGCATGGACCAGACCTTGATCGAGCTGAACGAGCTCAAACAGAACCAAGGCGATACGGACCAGGTGATAGACGGCCAGATCGATGCTCTGATAATGGCGAACCTCGACAAGATCAACGACATCATCGACTCGGTACTACAATCAGGAGTTGCTCGAGTAGATGATGCACTGTATGAATTGGATTCGACGATGCAGGCTGGTAACCAGAACGCTTCGCCGACATACGTGTTATCACAAGTTGAAAAGGCCGTATCAAGCGCAACTGAGTTTGCTACTGCCTTCAGCAACTTTATTGCTGATGGACCCAACGCTACTCATGCGGAGCTGATCAAGGCGACCAACGTCTTTTCAGGGGCTATAGCAGATGTGTGCAGCAACACGAAGGGTTTGAACCGCCTTGCTTCTGATGAGAAGAAGGCCGATCAACTCATGAACGGTGCACGCAATGCCGCACAATCCACCGTCAAGCACTTCCGCAGTCTCCAAAGCTTCCGATTGGAGGGCATGGACCCCCTCCAAAAGACTGACGTTCTGGTTAACGGCAGTAGTGATGTTCGTCTAAATCTACAAAGGTTGACCAACCTCGTCGAATCCTTCGCCCCCGGTTTCGGTCGAATCACAAACAACAAGGGCGATCTCGGCGACCTCGTCGACTCCGAACTTAGCAAGGCGGCAGACGCCATCGCCGCGGCGGCCGCTCGCCTCGCCAAGCTCAAGAACAAGCCCCGCGACGGATACTCGACGTACGAACTCAAGGTGCACGACTCGATCCTCGACGCGGCGCAGGCGGTTACCAACGCGATCGCGCAGCTGATCAAGGCGGCGACGGTGACGCAGCAGGAGATCGTGCAGGCGGGGCGGGGGACGTCGTCGCGGACGGCGTTCTACAAGAAGAACAACCGGTGGACGGAGGGGCTGATATCGGCGGCGAAGGCGGTGGCGACGTCGACGAACACGCTGATCGAGACGGCGGACGGGGTGGTGTCGGGGCGCAACAGCCCGGAGCAGCTGATCGTGGCGTCGAACGACGTGGCGGCGTCGACGGCGCAGCTGGTGGCGGCGAGCCGGGTCAAGGCGGGCTTCATGAGCAAGAGCCAGGAGCAGCTGGAGCAGGCGAGCCGGGCGGTCGGGGCCGCGTGCCGCGCGCTCGTGCGCCAGGTGCAGGCCATGATCAAGGAGCGCGGCGCGGGCGAGGACGAGGGCGCGGACTACGCGAAGATGAACCCGCACGAGTTCAAGGTGCGGGAGATGGAGCAGCAGGTATGTGTTTTCTTTTCTTTTTTTTTCCTTTGGTTTTTTTTTCCCCCTCCCCTTTTATCACCTTTTTTTTTTTGGGGGGGGGGGGGGGGGTTGGTTCTGTTCCTGGGTGAATGAGGTAGAGGCTAACTAAGAACGCGTGCGCAGGTCGAGATTCTGCAGCTGGAGAACGCGCTGGCTTCGGCGAGACACAGGTTAGGCGAGATGCGCAAGATCTCGTACCAGGAGGACTAAGGGGGGTGGGGGCGGAGAGATGTTGGAAAGGGGTAGGGGAGGTGACCTTCTGTGCTACTGTGTTAAGGTTATCTTCTCGATAGTTGACCGATTAAGCGGAGGTTATGCTAGTAGGTGAGCAGGTGAAGTGGCTGAGTAGGCACGCACGTGGTGGAGGGGCCGATTTCTATACCTAGGTACTGTACAAAATTGCTGCGCATCACTTCGGGAAGGTAGGAGAGTTGTCGTCTAGCTTGCTTAGGGTTAGGTAATTTGATATTGGCGATTGTTGGTGATGTTTTCTTTCTTAGATTTTGTTTTACCTTCGGGTTTGCTGGTGATGGTGTGCTTGGGTGCTTTGAAGGAGCGTGATGTCTTCGTGGTGTTTATTTTATTGTGGTAAACTAGTGGGGATTAAGGGGTGCGTGTTCAGGTGTGGTAAGTATAGTAGCGTCTTAAGTGCTGGAGAGATGTTTCTTCTATTACCCCTATTTACGAACCATCTAGGAGTAGTTTGATCCTACTTAACTTATATGACCGCTGCATCTTCTTGTTTTCTGAACTCGATGAGTGTCGATTATTTGATCACATTTCATTCAGAATCACCACCTCCGTCCAGGGTGACGGGGATTGGTATCTATGCCGTTAACAAAACGAGATGACAGCTCTGGTAACAAAAGAGATCATACTAGTCGCCACCAACGCCTTCAAACTACCTAACCAACATCTGATTCTTCGAGAGGTATCGTATATTATGCTTCTCAAGAAATCCTAGCTGTGTCGTAACATAACCACATCCTTCAACCCACATGACTGAATTGTATCTCACGGAGTCCTAACACGGTGTTGCCCCCAAGCACCAATCTTCAGAGGGTGGCGTCGCGTCTCGATCTGCTTGCTTTCAGGTGAAAGGATGAAATCGGAGATCCTAGCTACAGTCAGCAATTGATCAATCCCCAGCTAATACCATTGCCCTTTAGAGAGTGTATTCAAATTTACCTAGTAGATGATAACTTCTTCTTTTGGGCTCTGCGAAAGCCAGTCTTCGAACTTTTCCACAATGTCGCTGCCCCAGACCGTTATACACGCAGATCCCGCTCTTTCGAACCCCCCCGAAGTGTGCGGTTTGGATACCCGTGTCCTGTTGCACTCAAGTGAAGAATAATGGATGAGTAATAAACCGGAATACACTTTGTTCCTGTCCTTGTATAACGGCAAGTAATAAAATGGCCCTCGAAACGGACTAGGAAGTGGTTTTCCAATATCAACATAGACTTCCGATCGGTGCGTGAACGGAAATGGCGCGAAATCTAAGTCGACAAGTGTGGGTATAAACTGATGTTGAAATTGTACCTGGACTGGCTTCATGTGACCAAATAGCGTGATCCATCCATCCCGCATAGAGGCATAGGAGTCATTCTTAGAAACGGAAATCAACTTTATATCTCTTAACTCCGCCAGGTCTGCGTCGTCTTCTATTCTTGGAAGACCGATCTCGGCGCATAAGCTTGCCCAGGACCACGAAGGGGCGATGTACACGTCGGGAAGGCTCGCCTCGTCATTCAATCGCACCCACCAACAGAGCCACCGAATAAAGTTTGACTGCCAAAGCCCCGCATAATATTGGCCGAGTTGGGTGTCGGGTTGCTTGCTCGCCAATTCATGAAGGGCCTGGGCCAGACCGGATATGCCTGGTAGTTTATCTTTGTCGTAAGTGAATTTCCGCTTTGAATATGCCCTGACAATTCCCCCCCAACTTTCTGTAACAGACTTAACATCTAGCAACGGCCTCGACAGCCAATGTCTTTTGCCAGTTGGAAACTTCTCATAAGCCTCTAGCTGCCGACATTCCCAATGCACCTGGTCCCTACCAAAGTGAATGACCCGCGTAGACAAAAGCCATTCTTGGAAGGCCCAGCCTCTGTCCGCGAGATAGCCTAATTTGAGGTCACTCTCGTAGTATGGGTTTTCGGGTGCAATTATGATATTGTTGCCCCGTAAGAGTGGACATGATTTCAGTCTTAAAAGCATGACTCGCATAGCTTTCCGCTCCTTGATACAGCCACTCTCTTCGTCCGGAGCGCAGCTTGCGGCGATAGTACACGATGATTGCGTGTACACCATCGCCATTGTCGATGCTTCTCTATGCCAATCCTCGTCGCAGTCTTGTATGATGCACAACCGATCGATCCACACATACTCGAACCCCATGCGATGAGCGATGTCGCAGACATCACGGAGTGTTTTGGGAAGTTCGTGCATAGATTGCTTTTGCCTCATTTCACCAAGGGTGTCCGCGTTCAGCATGTAGGCCTGCTCGTTAGAGCCCCATCGGTAGCTGATAGCAACGTATTCCACGTCTTCCTGCAAATCTTCCTTTACACTAAACATTCTCCCTTCGTCTTCAATCTTGACTAGTCTTGTGGGACGTATTCCTTTTCGTCCTCCTTTTCGTTCTCCTCGTATCAGTGGTCGACAATTGGGATGGTTGCGCTGACAAGATTTCAACCATTCATCTATCTGTAACAACGTTGCCGATGAGCCGGTAGACCTATCTAGATATAAACTAGCATTGTCGCCATAGACTATCCAGTCCTTATCATTCATAGAATCTGTTCCTTAGCCCTGAAGTGTTTGAATCATTATGGAAGACATAGAGCGAATATAATACCAACATACCTAGGTACGTACCGTTACGTATCTGGAGTTCGAGATAGCATGGATCTCTGTACATTGAAGGCATGTCCATATCTAATCTGAGAATTCGGACACTCGTGAAATCGTCACACAAGCACACACTCAATTTACTTTTGAACCAATCGGCGCCTCGTGCAACAGAGTTGCTACTGGCAAGATCTCCGCAGAGGTGGTCCCAAAATAGATGGCATAATCGACAAACCCCTTCCGAGCTGTGACAGCAGGCAATGAGCTGGGAAATGGACGTATGGAATGGAATCCAAAACTTTGGGTATAGTGTTGGCTGGAACATTCCCCCCAGAAATTCAACCGAGTCGCAAGCCTCTGGTGGCTTCTGCATCAATTTCTTGCAAGGTTCGCAGAGCGTGATTGGAGGACTCAGGCCAGACTCTTCCCCGACGATCTCGAACCCATCTTTGTATGCTAGTGACTGAAGTTTCGGATAGACTTGGATAAGTTGATCCTTGTCTAAAAGCGCTTGTAGAAATCCTCCGACTTTGTTGACGAGCCGTCGTTTGGCGGGGAAAGAGTCTTTGGTTAAGGGGAAGACGTCGGCAGGGTAGAGCTGGAGTAGTTGATTGTCGTCCAAAAGCGCCTGTAGAAGCCCACTGACATTGTTGTCAGATTGCTCAGTGGGAAGAAAGTCCTTGGCTACAAATAGTAGTAAGTCATCCATGATGATATTAGGAGCAGTACAGAACGAGTTGCGAGATCCAGTGTTGCGGGATATTCCTCAGCCACATGAGTTTCAAAACCGGAGATCGGGCGACAATATCGATCCGCCAGCTCACTCACCGAGGTGATTGGGCGTGTACGTATTGAGAAAGAAATCGTCAAGCGCCGTCAAGTGATACCCCTCCTAGGGTAAAGAAGATGACTTATGCTATGTTTGAAGAATTCTACAAAGGTAGCACCATACGACTTCGATAGAGTGAGGAGAATATGGTCATAGATGTGTAATTAGGTACCTAGGTATTGATTTGGGCAGCAGCCGAGGGTGATAGGAAGGTAGGCAATGAAGAAAAGATGTTTATGGAAAAGGCTCCCTCTTATGTATCCAAGATGCATAGCCACAGGGCAGTGATATCACCATATGTAGCCCTGTTATTGGGTAATGGCGATGTTGTAGTATGAGGAGCTCCAAGCCTAAGAACCTATCTGTAGGTACCTAGGTAGGTACCGGCAGACCAGCCACCGAGCAGCCGATACATTTCTCAAGCCTTCTGTTACACAAAAAGCGTAGAATGGCTGAACAATTATCAAGTCATGCCGCCTAGGTGTCCCTGCAAAAAAAAAGGAGCTCCTTCAGTGTTATTTAACACATATCTCATCGAAACTAAACTGTATCGTCTTTAGGGGGAGAAAAATAGCTCTAATATAATGAAGATTTCATGCATCGTAATTCATCCCAAGTGTATGACAGTTCAATATACCCCTTAAATGGCCCCTCCCGTAAATTCCCTACGGGAATTGTCTCAGCGTAGATTCGCTGGTATACACCGACTTCCAAGCAAATTAATCAACTCAACTTCGTAGGACCTATTTCATTCTAACCGAAGCCGCCATGTGTTGAATTGATTGATGAAGTTGATTAAGTATGGAGTTACAAGCCCGCTGTTAAGAGCTGGTAGAAGTTCCAGCGCTGTCCCTAACAAATATGCCACCTCGAGAAGTGTGGTCAGACGTGTGGCTGGCGAAAACCCCTTTTCTCTTGACCCCTCAGACCCCTTAGAAATAGGGTAAATAAGAGGTTGCCTAGGTAATCCACCAATTCCACTAACTCTACGAGAGCTTTTGGTATGTCGACTAAGTCGTTCCGAGCCCTGTCTCGTCCTACACGTCTATTGACTAGACTGAGCACCAGGGCTCTCCTCGGAACGACGAGATTCCGAGTCAACAGATGTCGTTGAAGATCCACTCGTTCGGATACCTGCGTCCTCAATTGCTTCTCGAAGTACGTCAAGACTTCTTTCGCGGCCGTTAGACGACGCTACCTCCAATGGCGTGGTATTTTGCGCGACCATATGCACGTCTGCCCCCTTCCGAATCAACGCTCTCACCATTTCCGGCTTGTCGTGATGGGAGAGGCAGAAATGTAAAGGGGGGATCCCATCCCGCGTCTTGCCATTCGGGTCTGCGTCGGCCTCGAGGAGCAACTCCAAAATAGAAGGGCTCCGATCCCCGATGCTGACGTGAAGCGGCAGCAGACCGTCTTCAGGATACATTCGGTCCACTTGTCCACCATGAGCTACAAGAATATTAGCCATGTCATATTTTCCATGGATAACTGCCTGCTGTAACGGAGTCAGACCCTCCCAGTCCGTTTGCTCAACATCGTCTATGGCGTCCATCAATGCTGCTAGATTTTCCGAATCATCGCTTACGATGGTAGCATGAAGTATCTCTCCCATGAAACTTCCCACAATGGTGGTGACTTCATCATCGTAGTGATTGCTACGGTCGAGGTTCGGCTGTATATTGACAAAACAACAAGACATGTTTGATTCGGCACCGACACTGTCCGATGTTGTCCGTGGTGAGATTGATAGCTCCAAGTACTGACGGCCTGGGTCATGGTGTACAATACTGATGTCCTTGCCTTTGCCTTTTCGGTCGTATGTGCTAGTCTCGTCCTCCCCGCCGCAATAGAGTGGCGGTTTCTCGTGCACGATTCTCATGTTCGTTTTGTCAATGAAATAGATCACTTCTAGCAATCCCCTGATCCTTAGCAGTGTCCAATTTGGTGGCAGCCGCCACATTTCGCGCACGCGGAACGCAGCATCTTGCCTGTCGGCTTCATTTCGATTTAGGTCATTCCGTTTTAGAAGGAAGGATTCCATGTCCGCTTTAGTAGATATATAATCATCCTTCGAAAATGCATCCTTGAGTACTTCATCAAATTCAGGAAAGGGTTGTTTTTGTGTTTCTCCTAGGTCATTTCCAGATAAGTTCATAAGTAAATCATCTAAGAGGCCACCTATCATGTTATGAAAACTTGGTTCAGTATCCAACGGTCGTTGCATTGAGCTACCGCCACCACTTGATGAGATTGGTTGGGGCCAGTCTCCATGGAAATGACGGCGCTTGAAGAGGGCAGCCGACGAAAATTTGTGAGGTACTAGGTGCTCTCGGGCGAATGAACCCATGGTCTCTATAGCCCGTCGGTAGTTTGCCGCGGGACTGCTGTCTGCGTATTTCCGTAATAAGCATATAGTCGAATTTATATCCTTCCTCCATTTTTGCATTTCTAGGCTACCTGCCGCTTTGATACCTTCTGGACAGGATGTACCGAAGTAAAGATAGGCGAAGTCGAGCGCGGACATTCCTTGCGTAGCACTCCGGGCATTTGCATCAGCCCCCCGACTTAGAAGAACTTTCACGGCTTCAATGTGCCCGTATGTAGCTGCAATTTGAATCACCTTCATCCCTTGTATACTAGGCTCATTGATTCTAACCCGAAATATGTCGAGGTCAAGCAAGAAATTGAGAAGCTCCGCCTCGCGAATCTGATCCAATAGGCTAGGAGGCCTGGGTCGACCGAATAAGTATGCCCAGATCGGTATATCATTCGGGCCATAAAAGTGTATTCCATTGTGCTTCGCAAGCCATCGAAAACCATCCATGTGGTCGATGTGGCCATTGATAACCTAGTGTAGAATCAGGGAACGAAACATAGAATCTCCGGCAGAATTTCGAGAGACTAGTTTGGCTAGATCGTTAGGGCACTGAGACGCAATGAAGTCTGCGACAGTCAAGTGGCTCTTACGAAGTGCCTCAAAAAGTGGAGTGAAGTAGTCGCCCCTAAGTCTAGACGTTGTTACTTCAATGCCGCTGTCAAGGAGCACGCGGATCAAATCCGTGTTGGGTTGCATGAGACATGCATGATGAAGCAAAGTGTACCCTGGCTCAAGCTCCTCAAATGCCAGGTGTGGGAAACTTCCTATTAGGAGTTCGAGGCATTGGGGAGAATTGCACTCAATACACATAGCCAATGCTCGAGGTAGAACCTTTCTCCCTACCCAAGTGTGCCCGGGATCCCTTATACAATCAAGGATAGCAGAATGAGAGCCATTTTGTTGAAGATGGTGAAGAAACAACTTGAGTCCGATAAAGTCGTCCCATTTGAGTGTATTGAAGAAAGGGCAGCCATGCCCAACTCCCTGAGTTGGATCTGCACCTTCCTCGAGGAGAATTTGTAGGCATTTCTCGTAATTAGAATCAAACTTGCTACCATGTATCGCCCGCCGCTCATACTCTGTGGGACCATCGCGAGACATCGTAACGATGAGCAGTTCCTGAAGAGAGGACTCATTGATCTCCCAAGGGTTGGCACCATCAAAACACATTGTTGGATTTTCCCGGAGTAAGGCAAGCAAAACTTCGCCCATGTCGTGCTGTAGATACCTGAAACTCAGGGATAGAACCGTTGAAAAATCAGGTATGGGAGTTTCAGCCTCAACATGAAGACAGAAAATAGCCATGGCTAGCATCTCCTTCCCATGGATTATGGCTGACGATAGAGAGGAGTAAGACGCAGGCGACGGAACACAAATTCGTTCCAATGGCTCACAGCCAAGAATAGGCGATTTGCACGGGAGTAGACTGTTCAACATGGCTCCCCTCTCAAAAGAGACCCTTGCAAGTGGCCTGGCTTCATTGTCTACCAAGTGCGGCAACTCATGTAAGAAGCTCGGTAGGATTTCGTCCAGGTCTGGTGTTACAATGTTGCCATCAAGAATCTTTTCTATTTCCGTGATAAATCCTGCCTCCAAGGCTTGCCGCGTAGTGATTTCTGGTTCTTCAACAGGACGTGTTACGCGATGTGTCGTGAATATATGGAGGGGAAACGTATGTTCTGACCCTTCTTTCAGAATCTCGTTGTTTAGATGCCTCGCTTGGATAATTTCTCGTATAATTCTGAAGTGGTCTGGCCAATCTGTAGAAAGCCGTTGCAATGCCGAGTTCGAATGGGAAAGGGCAAGTAGTGAGAGATACAGCCGCACAGGAATTCTATTAGTTGTCCCTCTATCCATTAAAGCAGCGAAATGAATGGCCCTCTTATACCCGCAGAGTGCAGAGATACGCATCCATTCGGACGCTTCCTCTAGGTCGCGCCATCTGCCTTCGATGGAGTGTACATGTGCTAGAAACCAAGCCAGATTCTGTAATTGTGCGTTCTTGACGAGATCAGCTGTCTTAGTATTAGATCCGAGAGCAGCTGACGTAAATATACGCTCAGTAGCGTCGTGTAAGCATTCGATGAACTGATCATGAGAAAGGTCGTTCAAACCGTGTTCTGGGATGTCCAGGTTCTCATTTGTGATATTGCCAACCAACGAACTCCCTGCATTTTTGAGGACGGTTGAATGCTGCTCAAAGATGAATTCTCTGATGAGTGCGACTTGATGCTTCATAGCGATATTCTAATGCAAGTTTGGTAAGTCCGGATCAAGTAAAGAGTTCGAAGTTATGTCACTTACCATACCAGATCCAAAGCTTTTTCGATCCGTTGGGCATTCTTGAGTGGAACGGTTCCCTGTCACGTTGTCTTCCTGTCTTCATACAAGTTAGCCACAACGTCCTCTCTTGAGGACATTAACATATACCTACCGTATATCTCGGCCTATCCTATCTCCAAAAGAAACCAAGAGTTGAACTAAGTCTTCAATTTTTGGTCGCTGCCAAAAGTAGGGATGCAGTGTTGGTGTCAAAATATCAAGCAGTTCGGACCTATCGAGTGCTCCTGTCCCCGTGTTGAAATTCTCCATAATGCCGTTGAAGAGTTGAATACACCCATTCGGAGAACTTTTGATTCCGAATAGAGTAGATTCTGTAAGTAAACCACCCGGATATATATTGGTGTACCATGAGAGAATACAAGAACTGGATGGTTCCATATTGGCCTCGCCGTCTAGCCTTGCCCATAAACTAGCTACGGTGAGTCCAAATGAAAACACATCCGCCTTCTCCCAATCGATGTCGTGGTCTTTGTTCACCACCTCTGGTGCACTCCACAAGGGAGTGAAATGAACTGGTTCACCAGGAGAGCTGCCCCCAAAGTCAATTAACTTAGCCGTAAGTTGGCGGCAAGGATCGTTATGGGCCTTGATAAGCACGTTATCCGGCTTCAGGTCCCCATGGACAAGCCCGGCGCGATGAATAGCTCTAAGTCCAAGCGCAATGTCAAGTGTAATGTGTCGCTTCTGTATAGGTGTAGGCCCAGGGTTCGCCTCTCGTATGATAAAGTCCAAAGAGCCATGTTCCCCTAGCTCCATAGCCATGATGGGGAAACGACTTTCTTCCTGCCATCCGATGAATAGTAGCTGTATAATGTTGGGATGGCCACGAAGGGCTGGGTGGCAGAAGGATCGAATCTCGCGTAAAATAGCTTGGTAGACTTCACATCTATAACTCCTAGCCGCTTTCGAGCCAGAAGCGTTATCGTAACCGTGTGGTCTAAATGTCTTCAGTGCAATAGTGGATCCTTGCGGCACGATGTGGTTGGTTTCGTAAGTTGTAACGTGTCGGATCACGTCTGATGTCAATCCGCTGCCGAGGGAGAATATACCATGTAAAGGTTGTGTCTTCTTGACAGGATCGACACCAAGCTTATCGAACTCGATAGATGGGATGTGGTGTTGGATCAACGCTTCGACAATCTCAATGAAGATGGAGTAGTCCGGCGGATTGGCAAGCGCATTGTCAAAGTCTTTGATCTGACTCCACAGAGAAGAAAACAAGACATTCTCTCTTGAAGACTGTTCTCCAGGTTCGGCGGACGAATCCAACCGTTCAGAACGAATCGTTACCGAAGACATTAGTGGCGATGGTGTAGAATCTGGAAAGAAAACTTCTTTTGGAAACGAAAACAGTGGTGAAATTTGCTTTATGGTTGTGTGAGATCGAGTCACGTATTTACCATGAGGCTGGCCACCTCAGGAAACTCGGACAGTGGCTGCAAGTGATAGGTAGGAAATGACATTGCCTTCGTGATTTGTAGCCATTCGTGTTCAGTTACCCGAGCCTGCTGCCCAATTCCTATAACGTGACGTCAACATATTGGTATCGGGAAGACTTGTAAAGGGATGTGCGATTTTGAACGATGTAACATGATATGTGCTGCGATGGGATTCGTCGGTTGAAATACACTGCCCTGCCATAGCCTCAGTTCTTACTATCTATCCTCTTCTACCAGCTTTGCTGACCATCTTCACTTACTATCTTCACCTATTGTAGTTAATTTTTCCCATTCAATATGGCCGAAGCAGCTGGGCTCGCTGCTGGCGCAGTCGGTATTGCTATAGCCTTTAAGGGGGCCGTCGACACGGCCCTCTTCATCGGATCCTTCTTCGATAACGGAAAAAGGGAGTACGGCTCTGTCGCCCTCGCTTACCACATACAAAAAGTTCGGCTGGAACTCTGGGGTAACCAATGTAAAGTTACGGACACTGATGACGGCATGCTTCGCGAAAAGCCACTATTCATTAAGGATGCAGTCGTCCGTATCCTAGGACAAATCGAGAAACTGAACGGAGAGGTCAACTTCCTGGCAAATAAGTACGGCATCGTCACATCTATGACCGACGTACCCGACACCGATCTCAATAGGAACCTGCATCCGGGTAGTGATTTGGTCAAAAATATCGCAAAAGAGGGTTCAAGGGAGCCAAAGCTCAAGTCAGTAGTCGGCTGGGTAATCAGAGCGAAGTCTGACTTCAAGGAGAAGGTTGATGAAATTCGAAACCTCATCACACACCTACAAGAGATCACCCTCCAGCCAAGGGAAATCCAACTCCTGAACAATAGCCTGGAGGGTCCTGTCCTGGCACCAATCCGCCGTGAAGATTTTCCTGAATTATTGGTTGAACTGGACACGGGCACTCGTCAGTCACTGGCCCTCTCAGCTCATGCTAAATTGCTCCAGTCAAGGATTTGCCTGAATTCCACGGGTTCGGTGACCTACATCGGCCAGCAGCAAATAGTGCCTGTTCGGGGTTCGCCAGGGCCGGACAACATCTATTCCCTCAAGCGCCATGATGGACAGAGTCTCACAGTCCGGATTGAATGGAATAAGTTGAGTGCTGGTCCCGACACACAGCAGTATATCGACCGCATCAATTCGCTGGGATACATCCTCGAACGAGTTAGTGAGCCAGCACTGCGATTGCCGCCATGTTATGGTGTTTATGATGATATGGAATACGAGATAAAACATAAAATGAAGAGTCGGGTATGTTTTTGGGCTTCCTAGCCCTAGCCCAGGATATATGTCCAAATATCAGGAGGATGTATATGACGGCGACCTCCTTAGCCACCCGCCCATTTCACTGAGCGATCGAATAAAGCAAAAAGGTCCCATACCACTTCTGGGGGAACGTTTTCAACTCGCATACACCCTTGCTTGTGCTTTCAGTCGTTTTCACGCAGCAGGATGGTTGCACAAGGGATTCCACAGTGGCAGCATTATCTTCTTCCATAAGCGCGGTGGACAAGGTGTCGATGTGACTGAGCCTTTCGTCACCGGCTTCCAATACTCTCGCCCACAAGGCGCAAGCTCTCTATCCTTCAGCCCGCTCGACAACAAAGGCCTAGGATATTACTACCACCCTGATGCACATAAGGGCTCCACTAGGAGGCTAGACCTCTATAGCTTAGGGGTCGTCTTGTATGAACTTGGCCGATGGGGATTGCTTGCCGATCGAAAAGAACAGCTTGGCAACCGGACACAGTGGCGGAAGTATTTGTTGACGAGGGGCTTCAAGGATCTTGGGTGGAGAATGGGGGACAAGTATCAGAGTGTTGTCAAAACATTGCTTGATTGCGATCTACCACCCGACGATGCTGACCATGAGTACTTTGCGCAGAAATATTTGGAAAAAGTTATGAGGCCCTTGAGCAGCTGCAGTGCTTGATTAGCTGGATTGATGACGTAGATCAGGTGACTTCCAGATGACCCTTCCTTGTCACGTGTCTCGCGTGTCGGGGATGTGTTGCGTTGCCTCTTTTGGGACAAGAGCATTGGGAAGAATTCTGTCATTTGTACCTAAAGCCATAGATTTCCTTTCTTCGGTCAGTTGAATCTTTTGACCTTTGCATAGGTATTAGGTGATGAAGGATGTTCGACGGACCATTAAGAATGAAACAGAGGAGAAAAGATGTAGTCTGAGAAGATGTTCGAATCATTGGATAATTATATTTGTTAGAAATTCACACTAGCATCCAGCTTGGGCATCATTTAATATGCGTTGGTATGAAAGGTTAATACAACCTCGAATCTCACCCTGCTTGCGATCCATTCCAATCGCTACTCCATATAAATGTCCCACAACGCCACTGTGTCCCCTTTTCCTTCTCCCCTGATGGCCCAATCGGCCGGGGGCAAATGAAGAACGACCTGCCTAAAACGAAGTTAACCTCAGAATACATATCTCGCGGAGCGTTGGGAAAGTTACAGGTCGTGTCAGCTTACCTCGGTTAACGCCTGGCTTCTTGGTCACTAAACTAATACAGTCCTCCCCATGTTCACATCTAGGCATGACTCTTTTGCCGAGTAGCTTGGACCAAGATTCCTTGGACTCGATGGGATCGAATACCCTTCCGGGACTAACTGGCTCAGAAGTATCTTTCGCCTCGTCCGTGATACTGGATTCTATCGACGCCTCAACATCTGAAATGCCGTCAAGCCCTCCTATTGACTTGGGATCTTCTTTCATTTCAGGAGTCGTGCTTGGACTTGCTGTAGTTTTAGGTTTGAAGAACCCCATTAGGCTGCTCTGTCCCTTTGAGGATGGTTCTTTGGTCAATGTTGCTTTCGTCTTCTTTTGTGGTCTATTGGCGGATGTAACACCGGATGGTGTGCGCTTGAGGCCACCCGCCCTGGGTTTAGCTGGCGAAGGTGCTGAAGTTACCGACTCTGGTTGTGAAGCTGGTGTGCTGGCTGGTTCTTCATTTGCCGATGGTTCAATTTTGGCCGGTTCTTGGCTAGGGTTTCCTGATGACTCACTGACTGGCGGCAATGTCGATTTTGGCGCTACGGGCTTCTTGAAGAACATATCCTTGATGCTTCGTCGGCGATCAAACTCTGGAATAAGCTTTGCCGACAATGGTAGAAGGTCTTTCGTAGTCCAATCCCTAAGCCGAACTCCGTCCTTGAAAACTCCGGGAGGATTCATGATATCTCTAATATGCACTTCTTTCCCATCAATATTCACAATATCCTTCAATGTCGCATAGACAGGACAGTGATCGGAGCCCATGAGCCCCTCTTGAATATTTGCGTCCTCAAACCAAGCCTTCATATCGTTACTACAGAGAACATAGTCGATTCGACTGCCGACGTTGGCAGGCCGTGTATTCTTTTTGGTATCCCAGCAGGTGAACATTCCCTCGCGAGTAGGGTGGAAGAGTCGACCGAGGTCCCATAGTACCGCCTCCTCCCTATTTTCATCCCTTAGACCGCGTACGTGTCCTTCGAATACAAGCTGGTTAAATAGACGCCGAGACGGGGCGGAGAAGAAATCTTCAATAGTCATTCCTTCTTTTCTTAGCCGTTCAATGAGGTTAGAGGTATCAAGCGATGAGCGTATAACGTTGAGATCGCCTGTCAAGACGACTCTCTTGCCCATGGCTATCAGGTTACGTATCCGAACGTCCAACGCGTCAAGAAAGCCTAGTCTGAAATCATCTCGAGTCCCATCACTATTTGCTGGGCTGTAAGTTCCGATAAGAACAAAAGCGGGAAACTCAAGAATGACACATCGCCCCTCAGAATCAAGCGCCACCTCGTCAGCTAGACCTGCTAGTTGACCCGGTCTCGGATAGCCCCCTATTTGCTGATCGGGAGAAAGATCTCGGAATTTGGTCGAAGAATTTGGCGGACATAAAACTCCGATTATTCCCTCTTCTGCTCTGATTGGCATACATACTGAATTTCGTGTGTAGATTGCTACACCGGCGTATCCTATGCTTCTCATTAAAATCTGACACTGGAAGTGCTAGACATAGTTGTCATACCTTTCTTATGCTTAGGGAGACTAAAGTAGACATCCCAGCCAGGTACCAATACCATGTCATCCTGAAGATCTTTGCGCTGGATCTTAGTCTCCTGCATGACAACTATGTCTGCCTCAAGGATATCGAACATGGCTTCGAAAGTCCTCTTTTCTCGCCATGGTTGATATCCGAACGGATTTCTATTATAATAAGTTAGAACTTATAATTTTTGCTGTAGTAAACGGGACACATACCGAATGCCGTTTACTACATACAGAGTTAGTAAATCTGGATACATCATGGAACACCTCGACGAAACTCACCATTCCACGAAGTGATGCGGACCCCCATATCGCAGAAACGTGTCTAGAGATCTAAAGGAGCTTTAATGAAGTTGAAAGTACACTGTCCATTTATCCTTGGGCTCATGTCAATTGCCATATCACCGTCGTTCGATACGCGCTGGGATAGCATGAGATGCACTTCCATTCGGAGGGGCGGATTCACTATAAAAGAAAGTGAAAGTGGTTGAGTTGTGCTGCATTAACAGTGTAAACATGCATAAATTAGAACTCCTCCTTTTATCCGATAAAGCAAACGTTATTTTCATAAGATTTCCGCTACTTCCATTTTTATATATTAACAAGCACACGCAAACAGAAAGGAAGTCGCGACGCAGTAACTTTAGAAAAACAGGTAAAACTTTCTGTAAAAAACAGGTAAATCCATTTTTAGACTAGTTCAAAGCTATGACACTAATTTTATTGGTTGCCCTTAGCTCCACAAAAGGCCCACCTTTATTTCATTATTCATTAGCTGGAAAATGTAAATTCGAATTACTTAAGCAACATTATATAAGCCGAAAAATAGCCCCGCGCCTAAGTCACTAACACTTTAATAAAATTTAAATAGGTTTTATTCAAAGGAGCTTTTATAATTAAAATATATATAATTTTGAAGCTCTTAATTCAACAAATCTAACGGTATGATTTTTATCCTATTGCATTAGCTTTACCATGTATTATTAATGTTTAAAGTGAGCTAGCAATACCTAGTAATAGCACGTGATATCCCTTAACTCTAACGTATATGCTTACTTAGTTATATGAATTTTTTATAATATCTTAGTCATTATACGTCTGATACAAGTGCAACCAAGATCAATCGATTCCTCTCATTAATCTCTATCTAATGGTATATATTTCATTTTTTAAGTAAGAACTCTTTATTGTTGCAAAAAAGCTGCGCGCGCTGTCTCCAGCTTAGAAGCTGATTGGTTTAAAGTGGTGTTGCGCTAGTCTAAAAATGGATTTACCTGTTTTTTAGAGAAAGTTTTACCTGTTTTTCTAAAGTTACTGGTCGCGACGTCCCGTCCCGGTCAAAGCGCCAAAGTGACCCGAGATCCCGTGACCCACGTCATGATTTCATACCCCATGCAGCCCATGCCATTTCAAATTACATAATCACCTTCCCGCCATATCCCCGCAGATTTACCGAGGCCCTCAGTCAACTCTTCACTAGCTCTAGTCAAGCCAAACCAAAAACTCAGCCAATCAAATTAGACCTGACCTCATTCGACAATCCAATCCGTCCCGTCGAAATCAGACCACCGAACCTGACAGAAAGAAACCTTAGCCAAGTACATAAACCTTCACGACGACGACGACAGGAAAAAGAAAGCTCCCCTCTGAAAACAAAACCAAGCGACGACGACGACAACGACGACGATGTTCCAGCGACAGATCCTCCGCGCGACGCCGCGCCTGTCGGCCCAGCTGCGCTCCCCCGTCCTCCGATCGACGCTGCAGCGCCGCCTCGCCTCGACCGAGGCCAAGACCACCGAGAACGCCTTCGTCAAGGAGAGGCAGGCCGTCAAGGAGCACGCTTCTGCCACGACTGGTGAGTCGAATTACGTGGGGATGTCCTGGGAGAGGGGTTGGATCGCTGACCGTTCGCAGAGCTCTGGCGCAAGATTTCCATCTAGTAAGGAGCCGCCCGTTCCCCTGCCCCGATATGCGTTCCTTAGCAAATATCGACCTACATGAGAACGATGTGGTTTGGGACGTGTGCTGTATTAGTCCGAAATTATGGACTAGATGGAGATGGATCGCAAGAGACCCAGAAAAGCTAACAAAATACCTCAACTCCCCAGCGCCGTCATCCCGGCCCTAGTCCTCGCCAGCGTCAACGCCTACAACCTGTGGAACGAGCACTGGGAGCACTGGTCCCACATGCCGCCTCTAGAGGAGCGCGTCGAGTACCCCTACCAGAACATCCGCACCAAGAACTTCCCCTGGGGCGACGGCGACAAGACCCTATTGTACGGCTTCCCTTCCCTTCCTTCCCCTTCCCCTTTCCGTTACTCGCTACTGACAACAGATGAACAGCTGGAACAACAACGTAAACTACCACAACAAGGACAAGACCACCTAAGATTCCGCAAATTCCGATGCTAGTATAGGTTATGGTTCTGCGAGGATAAGGTAGTACTGGTAGTAGGAGCAGATAGGAAACTTGGACATAATAGAATAAAGCAGGTCGCCCTTGACAGGCAAGACGAGATTGTGGTATCTCGAATGTTGTAGATATGCCATTCCCTTTGTTAATCAAAACATCATATCAATCCAATCATGTCCATATTTGCAACATACCTACACTCATACGTACATGTCCACGCCTTCTGCTCTCAACTCTATTCGCCTAAGTCTCTCCATTTCACGTAATATTGTTGATATGACTACCTTTGCTCGATCGGCTTGAATCGCGAAAAACGGCGTTGACGTATATCCATTCATATGTACAGGCGAAGAAAAAGTAGAGGGAGGTAGCAGTTACTTATTCGCTACACTACACTACGCTACACTACACAGTACACGATGCAAACGCAAAGCGCGAAGCCAAACTCAGAAGTCCCGATCCCGAACAACGTACCTAGTTAGTACCTAGTATCTAAAAGTAACCCTCCCTCGACGGTAACAGTAAAGCCCTCCCCCCCCAAACACCCCTTAAAACCCACCGACCCAGTTGTTTGCAAATGTATTGTATAGTAGGTACCGAGCTTACCCAAAAATTCCCTTAAAAAAATACCCCCTCGCCGAGACTAGAAAAGAGACGTGATGTAGATTTTCGTCTCTCAACCAGGATAAAAAAATACCTACATAATAATAACAGCGGATAATGGGGTAGGGTGTCAAGCATGCTAATAATCCCTAGTAAGACCGCATGCCCTGCTGGCTAGCGCGGTATGAATGTAATGTGTACAATTAACTCCGTCCGTCCTTCCGCATGCTCGACTGGAAATTTGATAGGTATCTCTGTGTATATGCGATGTGACGCATTCGACTTGCTTCATCGGATGCTTCGCCGAGTCTTGTTTCGGTGGGGTTTAAACCTCATTTCGCGGGCTCGATGGTTTCCGGGCCTGGATTATCTACCCAATTCGTAAACCCGTCTTCATCTTCTTCCTCCTCTTGCTGTTCAACCTGTTCGTGGCCATGATGCTCGCTCTCCATTTCGACTTCTGTTGCTCTCCTAGGCGGCAAAACCGGCGGCGTCTCGCTTGTCGTCGAAGTCACCTCTCCATACATTTCCACATCCACCTCCATATCGATCAAATCCTCACTGCCACCATTCGTGCTGACATCCCTATCTGTAGCTCCATCCAACTCCTCAGCATCCTCAACCCAGGGCCTCATGTAAGCGGGAGAATCCTCGATCTCGTTATCAATGCCATTCCCGTTATCCTGTTCCCCTTCTATGATTCGTATAGAAGGGCTATTCGGTTCCGAGTCCGCATCCGGTGCTTCGACAATTAGGACATTATCCTCGTAGCTACCATCGGGACCGGTTATGTGAATCTGAGATACCCGCCTGCGCCTCGACGGCAACGGAGGTGGTGGTACGGGTCTGCGTTCAACTTTAGTATCGCTCAAGTTCCCCGTGCTCTGGCGTGATATCGCAGGAGGAGGAGCGATAGGTTTCCGCTTCGGCATGCCCATCGGTCCGGCCTTCTTGCCAGGTCCGGGTAGCGGTGTTCCGGGGGGCGGCAAGGGCTGACCGCGGCCCATAGGCTGGTTCAAGTCAACCGGGGGATCTGACGGTCGCCGCCCGTTGACGCCATTTCTTTCCGTCTGCCTCTGTATAGCGTTGAGGCCCCAGCGCTTGGCGGTTGCGGCCGCATTAGATACGGCAGCCAGGGTGTTCCGCTTACCTTCGGGAGTTACCCCGTTAGTAGAACCCGCCGGCGAAGGATTTTCTTTTCGCGAAAAGAAGCCCCTTCCTATGGAGCTATTGCCACTTTTGATTGAATTTCTGCTGGAGAGCGCAGGCGAGGCTGGGGCAGCAGCGTCACTTTCTGCGCTCCCTACAGAGGAGGAAGTATGCCGTCTACTTGGCACGGTAGGAGTGTGTTCATCCTCACGACCTTCGGGGACTGCTCCAGATGACGAATTGGCAGAACCGTTAGCCGGTTGGGCAATCGACGACGTTTTTGCGGGTGATCCAACAGGTGTATGTGCAGGTGAATTATTCTTAGACCTAGCGGATAAACTCGCCATTGTACTAAGTGCATCATCGCGATCCGGAGGACTCGATGAAGGTCTGAAGGTATCCGCGTGCACGGGGTCCGTGCCAACAATGGGGCTGGATATCGATATGGAACTTGACCGAGCGGGACGCAATACCTCAGATGCGGAGCTTCGCGGGCTCTTTATATCAAGAGCTGTTGTTGATGCGGACGCGGACGCGGATGTGGACGCAGATACGCTCGGGCTATTGTCATTTGGTAAACTCTTCTTCGAGTTGAGTCTTCTGCCCCAGAATCCTTGTGGCTGAGTTGTCTGAGTTGCCTGAGTCATCTCTAGAACAGGCACACTATGGCTCTTCTCAAGCGAAGGCAACTCAGGGGGTGTAGCGGTGCCTGTCTCCTCGATCTGGCTAACCTCATCCACATGCCCGAGCTGAGCAGCGATAGCTTCGTGATCAGGTGATCTTTCAACGGCGTCATCGCCTTCGAATATCCCGCCACGCCATTGTTTATGTTCGGTATTAAAGAATGGGATATCATCCCAAAACGGCAATACCAATGTCTCGGCTATCACCTCCTTAATCCTATTTTCAATTTGTCGAAGGATAACCGTGTACGTAATCTGCCTCGAGCTCACAATAGGCTCGATGCTCATCTCAATCTTTGGCATGGACTGGAAAGAGAACCACATGCGATTGCTGGGAGGTGGTTTTATCTTGAATAACATGTGTCCTTCAAGCTTCCTTAACACCACTGCGAGTATGATATTGACCTCTCTCGTCTTGAACCGAGCGCCCAAGTCGATACGGACTGTAGCAGCGACTTCCAATCTGAAATTGCCAGTATACTTAACATCGGCCTCCATTCCACATTCACCTTCGACGCTAAAGTCTTTCAATTTGGGATTCATGAAATACGGTGCTGCGTCGCCGGTGTCGATGCTCTGTATCCTTAAACTCGAGAGAAATGACGGTCGATTAACGCGAGATATCTTCTTCGTGATCCTCTCCCTAATGAAGTTTTGGATATCCTTAGTCTTGTAGATACCGAGGAATATCCTCCCAATAAAAGCATTCAGCCATCGCGTCTGCAGGTGATCCTCGGTAGAGTGTAGTTTTTGAACCAACGATATAATGTTCTTGACGTCGAACTTCTGGGGCTTTGGGGCTAGGTTCTGGCCAGTAAAGGACTGCTCCTGGTTTCTAAGTAACGAAAAGTAGAAATCCTCCTTGGCAGAGCAGTTCTCGGAGAACAAATAGAACGGCTTCGACACCTGTGCATCAGGTGTAATATCTTTCCCGTCCGTCTTCCTGCTCAAGCACAACGCATTCCGCTTAATGAACAATTCGCCCTCGGGTGTGGGATCCCCTCCAGAGTATATGCTGACGTCGTGGTAGGCGAGAGAAATAACGTGCCGGACCTCGAGCTGCTCGTCGTCGTCGAATAGCATCAAGTGACCGTGTCTATCATCGATAGGACGTTAGCTACTGTATTCCCCGAAACCTGTGTCACACGCCGCTAACAACGCACCTGAGTACGACATAGAACACATTTCCAGCCTTCTTGGGTCGCTGGCTAACGCTCTTATTATCATCGAGAGGGTTGGGGGTCGGCTTCCTGTCGAATATGCTCCTGTACATGGACTGGTACACGCTTTGACTCGGCGCGGCAACGGTCGTCGATCCCACAGGGGTAGAACGTTCGATCGGTTTGGCATTGATGCCCATCGGGGTGTATTCACGACATACGGCGAAGTAGCCCGCTGCTACATCGGACTCGGCGAGGAGGCGTTGTCTCGACTCTTCCTTCTGAGCTTCTCGGAGGGCGGTTGTGTCGTCGCCAGGTTGAACGATGTTGTCAGCGTCGTTGGCGTCATCTCGAAGGGAGTCACCGTCTCGAACGGGGAACATGTAATGCGCATGCAGCAGCACAGCAGCTAGGACTAGAGGAATGAAAGTGACACCACCAAAGAGGTAGGTCAACAAGAAACCGGACCAAGTCATACCCATAGCTGCTCCAGCTTCGGCTGCTTACAAGGGTCAGCAGGATGCGGAACTGCTAACCTTTGCGGCGGCCGAATTTCGAAGACCATGGATAATGGCTTATTCTTCCCTCCCGCCGAGAAATAAAAAAGAGGACACCAAAGTAATGAGAACAAACACAAGAAGTGGAATTGGAAGACGTGTAAATTATTCCTATGTAAAGAGTATGAAGGTATTATGCAGAGTTGGGGGATACGAATATGAACAATGATAAGATAAAGAACATCTGCGCCGGTTAATGAAGCTTAAGCTCCAACGTATTGCTGTATTGCATGCATGCTAATGGATGTACCTAGGGAAGCTTAATAGCGGCACCAGTCGGTTAAGAAGGCCAACTTAGAGCTCGTCATAGTGGAAGGAGCCACGTGGGGTTTTTATAGCGCTTTCGTTCGCGGGGACGTGTTGGTACGGTAACACCCCTGTAATTAACTGTGGCTGAAATAACCCCTTTCAATCAACATACGACCCAGACTCTCACAAGTAATAAAGCAGACCATCTTAGCAATTTATATGTTTATAGCCTTATTAATTCATGTCTCTTAATCATTAAACTTGTTCAGATAGGAAAACCCCAAGAGTGTGAGGACGAAGAAATGGAACTCTGTATGCTCAGCTCCTTAACTCCTATCGTAGTATCCATCGTAGTCCTTATTCTGAACTCCATGCAATGCCATGCTATACCCTCATAATAGAGTCTGGATGAATGCATCTTCAATTCATAGACAACCTTTCCCTACCACCCTAACTCCTCCCTCTCAACCTCCCCATCTAAGAGCTGCTTCACAGCCGGCTCAACCACGCTCCGCTCCGTCCTATACCTAGCCTCCTGCTTCATCCGTGTATAAAACACGGGACAATCCTTGCTATCGCACAGCACCTCATCCAGCGGCGCCAGCCCCGCGCAGCTCTGGCATATCTTATTCACGTCCGCCAGCTTCCTCATCTCGGCATTAAGCTGCATCTGCAGCTTGATCAGCGAAGCCGGCGCGTTGCGGCGACACCTCGCGCACGCCGAGGACCCCTCGCCGCGCCTGTTCGTCCGCGACCCGCAGACGACGCACGCGGCGGCCCTCATGTACGACTCGAGCGTCTTCTTCGCCGCGGGGTTCTTCCCCGCGGGGTCGACGCGGCGGATCCGCTGCACCTTGGGCATCTCGTCGTACCACTGCCGCACGTTGGCGCCCATCAGGTTGAAGATGCGCTCCAGCGGCGGGATCAGGTTCTTCGAGATGTAGTACTCCGCGTCCAACTGCAGGTGCGAGTTGCTCAGCAGCTCCTCGGGCGCCACGCACCTATCGATGAGCCGCGCTCCGGGCGCTCCCGAGACGACTACGTACGGCACGCGTTCGCCGTACTGCGGTTCAGCCCGGGCGTCTTCGAGCATTTTCTTCGTGCTGATCAGGGCGCCGGGTGGGGGTGGGCCTCGGTCGCTGTAAGTACCTAGCCTGACTTCCCTTGCGAAGCAGAAATCTTGCATCGAGACGGCCCCGCGCATGATCTTCTCGCATTGCTTTTGGAAATACGATTTAACTTGGCTGAGATCGGCGGTCTCGAAGAGGAGTTTAAGCGCCTTCTCCTCTATCATCTGCTCCGCCGGCGTCCCGTCCCTCCTGACCGTCTCAATACCCTTGGCGTCAAAGTCGGGTTTTATTTGGTCCTTGCTCTCGTACTTGTAACCGACGTAGCGCTTCTTTGCGAGTAGCACACACGGGTGATAGACTTTCTCAAACTTGAGCTTTATTGGCCGAGGATTCATATCGGTGATGGCTTTAGAAATCTCATTACCGATGTCGAAAGCTTGGTCTTTGGTCCTGCCTGGCAGATAGATAAACAAACTGTCGGTATCGCCGTAGACAACTTCTGCTTTCCACTTATCTACTGAATGGATGAGGGCTATCGCTCTCTCAAGAGTCTCGCGCCCAGTTTGCACAATACTGTCCGCGATTTCAGAGCAAGGCATGCGGCCCGAAAAGGACGCGGACGTGTATCCATACGTAACATTTGCTAGTAGCTTTAAGGCGAGCTGCCGATTGTTTAGGAGCTGCTGCAAAGTTTTGTCGTTTTTATCTTGTTTCATTCCGCTCTTTACCATCACTCGTGTTTCCAGGATTTCCGTCAGCATCTTTGCGAGTAATGACTTTCTAATCTCTGGTTTACAGTACATCATACCATTAGGCGATATGTTGATGTAGTCTTTGAGAAGCTCCAAAAGTCCTTGCTGCCGCTGATAATCCGTGAAGCCCATCTTGTTCGTGCCTCGCCAATTGACGATTCGGCCGAGAAATGTCGAGTAGCAGTAATTATAGGCGATCATGACGCTAGGGTAAAGACTCTGGAAGTCAAGAACTATCAACGGACTGTTGTAAAACGCGCTTTGGGGCTCCATGACAAGAGGCAAGCATTCAAGCGCATTCTGTGCTCCAACTTGTTTCCTATCTGGAGACACTAATACGAAGTTCTCCGGCTTCGCAATCCTGAACATGATTGACTCGACCTTGAACTGAGATCCTCGAGAGAAGACAGAGAAAAAGTCCACGCCCAAAAGTCGTGCCTGTTCACTCGTTCGTGGGATAAGTTCATTCGCCTCGAGTATCTCTATGTCGAGTTTCGTCCGGGTCAAGCAGTATCGAAGGAGCTTGCTCAGGTCCCGGTGCTTGCCCCCAACGTACCATTCCGTCAACGTATGCCAGGGGTAATGTGGAATCCGTCGGTGCAATAAATGCCAAACGACATTCTCCATTGTGTACTGAAGTAGATTAAGCTCCGATCGCATAGCTCGCCAGATATTAATCATGTGTCTGCCCGTGACTCGAATCGTGGAAGTGGTGTTGAAGCCCCATCGATCAGCCTCCTTTCCGAAACGCCCAAACGACTGGCTCTTCATTCGTGAAAACTCATCACACAGATTATAATCGTATTTCAATCTTGCTCGCTCGATCAGGTATCCCCATGAACTGCCATGAACCTCGTATCCTGTAAGAATATCTGGATCATGCGTCCTGACAATCTCGACCATCCTAACCATTAAGTCGAGTTCCGACGTCTCTTCAATGATCTCAGTCCGGATCGGGCTCTCTTTCTGCAATCTTCGCGCTAGTAATCCATCTTCAGAGAGTACAATAATGCCAGACTGTACTGAGAGCGATGCACTATCGCCTGTGGCAAAGTTCTCATCTGACTTAGAACACCAGAAAATGCATTGAACCTCGTCCTCTTCCGGGTTAGGAAATAGCTTGCCCCGGGTGTTAACATGTATCTCCAAACTCATCGTGCTCATATACTGCGCTTCATGCTTGACACTCGTCGATTTCTTCTTCTGGGAGTATTTGAATCCATGCGTATTTTTTGGAGTCGGACCATCGATTTGGGACATGTATGGCTTGAGTTCGGGGTCACGGATCTTCATTCTGGGCTCTTGCGAGTCATCCACTGTACTCCGAATTTTTGTCCACCAACTTTGTACTTCATCAAAGCTAGGTGGAGGTTCCGCAATTTCCCAACTCCTCAACGAACATTCCTGACGTAATTTGTTATAAACGCGCTCATCTCTATCAGTATCATAAGACATCTCAGATTTCAACCCATAATTGACCGGGGATTCCCCTGTCGGGTCGAAGTCAGGGAGGTAAGGAAGAGTATTGCCTTCGAGACGAAACTCCTGGCCGGCGTATTCCCGTACTCTTTGGGGTACATCTTTCTCATTGCTGTAGAAGGCATCTTGGTATATGACATTAGGGCGACCTAGACTATCCATAGTTGACAGAACTTCGCCCATTGAGGGTGGAGGTTCATCAAAAATGAAGAAATGTGTTTGAGGTCGAGGGATGCAGCCAATATCAAGGGGTTTTCTCGTGTCATTTTCCTTCGTGCTATTCGAAGCCGAACTATCAGGCTCTAGCCTTTCCGTATGCAATGTCGAATCCTCACTAGTTTCTCCTGTCGTTGTCCATGGCTCAAATGTGACATGCTTTACGGGCTCTCCGCCTTCACTCTTCTGAGAATTGGTTTGCTGACTTAGGCGGAACTTTGTGCTAGGATCGTTGGGGTTTTTGACAACTGGAAATTTCAGGGCCTGGTTCCCGGACCCCCTAGGACCGTTTTTCGATTTTGGTTGCGTGGTCTGCGGAGGTTTCGTCCGTGTTACTTGGTCCACTGGCCTTCCTGGAGCGGTTGTCGGCATCTTCGCATTCATGCTATTGACATCCGTAGTATCAAGGAAGCCTACACGTCGACGTTTGGATACCTGTTCTCTTAATAACGACGAAGACCGTTTCATAGCTCCATTTAGATGAGTATGTTGTGAATCCCGAGGAACCTTGCTTACTAGTCCCTGTTCCCTCGCAGCATCGAGCAAGGCTTCAGAAACGGGTATGTGAGGTCGACGTGCTAGACGTAAGCAACTGACGTGCACTCCATTGACCAGTACTCCTGGAGGATTTTCCTTATCTGATCCGCTACTCATGTCTGGCAATTTGTGCTGGTTGGACTGATCTGGCGAATTACCAGAACTCCTTCCAATGCTATGGTTCGGCGGTTTTCTCATGGTTAATGGTCCTTCGCTATTTGGTTCCCTGAGGTTTGGGGCTTGAGGTTTCTTTTCTAGGTCCATATTAGAGACCTTTTGTTCATCCGAGTCTTCTGGGAAGATACCATCATCGTCCAGTTCAATATCACGGATACGGTCATCATCCACGAAAATGCTACTGGTGGGGTTCTCGTCGTTTTCAAAACGTTGGCTTGTTACACCAAGAGCAGAGTCCAGATTTCCAGGATAGAGGTCTTCGACCGATTGCAAAGTAGTTTTCACAGTCGCTTCCAAAGGTAGGATCGATACAAAAGAATCGAAATTGATCTTACTGCCGTCTCTTTGATCCTGTTCCTGCCTGATCAACCCCTGGATCTGGTCCCTGTACTCTTCCTCATGTATCCATCCAGGAGGTTGCGAATGACGTGGATCCGCAGACATAGATACTAGTTCTTCTGGAGAGAACGGGCTACTTCCTGGTGTTCGACCTAACATCCTTCTTTTCCGGCGTTTCGTCTCGTCTTTCCACAGGCCAGCCATACTGTGAACTAGTTTCATATCGGAGGATAAAGGATGTTTCCTTTCAACGAAGTCGTGATGAAGCTGCCTCTCCTTAATCTCATGTCGATTAAGGATATCTTGAACACATATATCCACTTCAATAGAACAATGACTAGCGCGAGGAAGATCCGCATCGTCCGTGATGAAGGTCCTCGATACTGATTGACTGTGCCATATGTGAGGTAGTTCTAAGCCGTCTTCGTAATTAGGCACTGGAGCTCTGAAGAAGACCTTCTGGGTTTCGATGTACCCGCATCCGTAAAGGTTGTAATCAGTCATGAACTGCAGTAAGTATTGTAGATGGACCTCATAAGGTTGGAATTTCCGCTTCATGATGACGCCCTGTTGAAATAATTCGGCAAGCCGAGTCATGACTAAAGGGTTAAGCATGTAAATTTTGAGATAGAAGCGGTAGCCGACGTGAAACCCGTAAAATGGTATCCCCTTGACAAGAGTAATCCTCGCCACATACTTGCTCTTGCCGTCGTAGGCATTGCGACGGTAGCTTACAGCCAGGGCATGGTCGATGGATAGATGAAGCCGATATATGTAAGCACCCACTAAGATGCCGAGTCAGAATGATGGCTTCACCCAGTTTGTATATATGCCTTACCATCGTCGGGGAGCAAACTCCCGTCATACTCGATATACAGGTACGGGAAGGCACCATGGATATGAGCGCATACCTTCTGGCCTGTTTCTGTCGATCCGAATACCCTGATGACTGGAACCCTGGGCTCCTTACTCAATTGGGACGGGTGAATATCATTGCGAAGTTGAGGGTCATATTTGGTAGGGATAGCTTGATAATGGTCTATGCAATTCAGCCGCACGCGGAAAACGTCCATGGCGACTTAAACATAGTAGCGCCGGCGCGACTGGAGAGTGCATGGAGAAAGAATGCCTACCAAAGGACTAAGCATAAGCCTGGCTGAAGCATAAATACCACATAGTACTAAGATAGTACTAAGAATGAAAGAAAGCTTTGCCCTCGAACGTTGTCCCTCATTAAAAGACAAACGCGTCGGTTAAGTACCTAGATGATGTAGAGATAGCGATCGCGACGCGCTATCATGTGCTATTGTTAAAATGACGTTGATTACTGATTAGTGAATCAATACGCTTACATGAATAATTATATGGTTGTCCACTTTATTTATTAAACTAAACACATTAATAACCAGCCAACAGCCCCTATTCAATTAGGTACCAGTAACGCTGAATCAACTTCCAGATACTCTAGAAGGACAGCTGAAGCCATAGAAGCCTCGCAGCCATTTATGCAAGAGTACCTACCTGAGTTGTAGCTTTATGACCTAAGCAGCTAAGCTATGACTAAATACATGGAAATGGCTCTTCCTTAAAAATCACAATTCATTCTGTAGGGTTTCAGAAAACACATGCATATGTTAATATCGCCTCGATTTCAAAGAAGACATGCCTCCTATCTTAAACTTATACACTATTTAAGCGGAACTCGAACCTTCCTCTCAATTCAATAATTCCCACTCATAATTAGGTACATCTATAGTTCGAACGTTCGATACACGCCATACGAGCCCACGTTTTGATGTCCCTCGTGGCATTTTATAATAAAAATTTCGCCAAGGAATCCTGACTCAAAATCTGACTTGGTCATCATCTTCAAAGCTCCCGGATTGGATCTCGATGTTCCCGTTCGGCATGCAAGGGTAGGATTGACTCCAATTCTGCAACCCTACTGGTGAATCCTACGAAAGTCTTCAAATAGCATCCGGCCAAGCGTCGGATTGTATGGTAAGAGCAAAGGGAACTATGGGGTAGGACTATGCAGGATTCAACAGCCTTATCTGCAAGCCGAGACACTCGTATATGATCAACATGGAAAATGCCCTACCTACCAGCAACCCCGTATTCGTACGTCACCTAAGACACACCTGCTATTTAGAAACTTCCCCTCCCAAAATAACTCAACGAATCTTCAAAGAGATTTCTATCTGAGTAGTATCGTCGAATATGAAATACTTAGGTATTTACAAGGGGCTTGATCTGCTGCCTTGACAACTCGACGAATGCGCCTCCTCCCCACCCCCTCCCCTCCCCTCCCGGATTAAGACCTACTATAGCCCACGAACTTGTAGACCTTGCATCGTCTGATGTTTTCGAGATACTCTCAGTGACCGACAATATGAATCAATCCGATTACACGCAGATTCCAGCGGTCCCGCCGCCTGCAGGCCAGACGTCCAACTTCGTGGATCCCCCCTCACAAGAAGCCACCATGATCGCAGTTAGCACCGTCATGATGGCTCTGACTCTCGCCTTCGTTTCCCTGCGCCTATATACAAGCTTTCGTGTAACTCGAAAGCCTGGCCTTGAAGACTGTGCGTTTTCCCACGCCCCCTTAGCATGACGTGAATGGTGGGTAACTTATCAAATTTAGGGCTATGCATCGTGGCATTGGTCTTGTCTTTCGGTCATATCAGTGGCGTCCTACTTCGTAAGTGACACGACAACAGTCCAACTAGACCAATGATTAACTCAGCCGCAGTAAGTCATAAAACACGACACATGTGGGATGTGCCGCTGAGCTGGTTCTTGGACGACTACTGGAAAGTAAGCCACCGGGTCCACGCATTCATCAAGTCATCCTCTCACAACAAGCCCCCCTTTAGATACGGCTTTTCGCGAACCTGTTCCAGTCATTCGCGTACTTCTCCTCGAGGCTGCCTATCCTCATGCTGTACCTCCGCATCTTCGGTGAGACGAGGGGCTTCCGGATAGCTTGCTACGTGTGCCTCGCCCTAGTCTTCGCCGTGTCCCTAGTCGCGATCCCTTTGCTCTCGTATTACTGCGCGCCGTTTCCCAGCGAGGGATGGCACTCGCTCGCCGTCTTCGCCCGGTGCAAGAATATCCTGAACTGGGCCATCATACAAGGGGGGTTGGATATCTTTCTCGACCTCTACATCTTCATCTTGCCCCTGCCTATCGTTCTTAGGTTGCATATGCCAAAAAGGCAGAAGTTAGGCGTTTTAGCTGTGTTTTTGACGGGTTTCTTGTAAGTCGCGCTTTGCGTCCGATGCCTGCGTTTGGCGGCATTGGGGCTGACCTAGGCATTCACAGGGCCGTCCTTGCGAGTGTAGTCGGCTTTTACTATCGTTACCGACTTACATATACGAATGACGTTAACTGGAACGAGGGTATATACATTTGTACGATGTAAGCCGTCCATCCAGAATTGTCCTCCTAGACTCTACCCCTCCTACCTATTTTTCTTCCGGGTCACCCTGAAGCCAAGCTGAACCTAGAGCCAGTATCGTCGAAATCAACATTGCAACCATCTGTAGCTGCATGCCAGCGTGTTACGCCTTCTTCAGACACATCACCGAGCAGCGCAGTTCGTCCAGCCCGGTTCATCATGTCCTACAGCCCGAGCTTCCCAATACGTCTTCTACGTTCTTCGTCAAACAGGATTCCCCTGCATGGCTACCGGAACTTAGCCTTGTCGAGCTCCGTGATGTTAGAGAGGACGGCTCAGGCAATGGATTACGAGATGTAGAGACTGAGCCTCTATCAAATGACTCCGCTCCTCATAAACCAGGAAGCTATCATGTAGTATGAGATTCATTAATCATAAATTTGGGTAAGAATTTAGCGAACACTGATGATATTTATGTTTGGGGCTAAAGGGGTATTGGTATATAGTACTACAGAGTTTAAGGGGTTAAGATATCCTTAAGTAAATGATTCACATTCCTACTGCTCAAGTTGATCGGACATTCACAAGTGTTTCTATATTATAAATGCAAATTAACGTAGTAACGTTCGATGTTTATATTAAATATTATGGTATAGAGCTCGAGTCCCTATTTTGTTACATATCCTCAACGACAGCGTTGCTGGATTCTTAGTAGTCTTTCAGGGAACTCCCTTCCAAGGGCCGTCCAATCTAATATTTTAGATTGGCAAATTCAAAACTAGATAAATTAATCGTCGAGTAAACCGTTGGTGGATAGAATTTCGTCTAGGTCTTCGATCACGAATTCGATACCCCAACCATCTTGGATGGTGTCTTCTGCAACCTTTACGATATCTATGTCTGGCAAATCCACCCTTTGGTCGGCTTTCTTTGCCTTGGAAATCTTCCGCACGAAATGAGTCAACGCACATCGGCCTAGGGTCTTCCATACACACTCGCCCCATTGCACCGAGGGCCAGTCTCTATCTATTTCAGACAATACCTCGTGGATAATATATAACCCGACCTCGCGGCGCCAGCGAAAAATCATCCTGGCCAAAAGTTGGCAAATCAACTGATCGACCATGTCATACATTTCTCGACAACTGTAACCTACGTTGAGGATCACAGTTTTTAGGATGTTGTAAAGAGTGCGTGTGTTTCTAAACATTTCCCGCGGTGCGCTTTCTACGGCTGCGATGGTCTCGATCATGGAATTTTCGGTATTCCATCGACAATGCGGGCAAAACTCCTCGACGGTGTGATTGGTTTCGTTCTTCCAGTCGTTGGGATACTTGTACTGCAGAACGATTTTGGTAAGGAGCTGCAACCCAAAAGACTCCTTGCACCAGGGGCAACGTGAGACACTTACAGTCATGGTGAAATTAGAATTGATAGTATGGGAAGCACTAGTGATGTTAATAGTGATAATAGCTGTGATGATAATGATGATGAGAATGGTGATAGATTGATTGTCTTGCCCATTAGCGGATAATTTTCAATAATTTTATATGCCAATCCATTAAACTATTGTTCCTTAACAATAGCCTGTAGCGAGTCTCAAACAAAAATCCAGGATAGTGAACAATTAGCAGACAAAGATACTGTATTAACGGTTTGACTGAAGATGAGCACTAGTTCAATCAAAGATTACCAACATCAACGGATATCAAAGAATACTTGCCATTTCCGATCTATATCATATATCTAGATTACAGTAGTACATATTACTGCTATCGAGATCCGGCCAACCTCCACGCCCTCAGCGGCAGACCCTGCAATATGAGGACCTTCTTCCTAATGTACATGGTAAAAGTCAACAAGCCCACGATAACGCAGAGAATATTGACAATGTAGAACCCATCGTGAAGGATCTCACAGCTACCGCCGCCGTGTTCGCACCTTTCCCTCTCGGCCTGGACGGCGCAGGAAAACGCCTCCGTCACAAGCGGCCCTTTTAGCGTTGAGCTGTCGAGCTCTTTCGTTGGGGGGTGACAGGTAGCCTGTGTGAAGGCATCTACTAAGCGCAAGACGAAGTACTTGGGGAACGTGCCGCCAAGATTGGAAACCCTATTTGAATGTTAGCTGAAAGTGACTAACGTCGTTTCAGATGGAACTTACGTTGCAAGAAGTGTCATGTAAGTCCCTCCAATCACGGGGTCGGCGACCCTAGCGTGGAAGGCAGAGATTGCAACGAACATGACGGTTGAAGTGAAAGTCGAGAACACGTGCTCCGCAATAACCAGAAGTAGATACCAAGACTGAACACCGCCAGCCGGGAAAATGCTGACTGTGATCTGAGCAAAAACGGCGGCGATGAGACGACCCACGAAACCCCAGCACCATAGACGCATAGGGGTATATTCCTGAGACCATTTGCCAGCGTAGTAACCCAGACCAATTTCAAAGGGGAAGTCGATCAGAACTGTCAGTGCCATATTTTCCTTGCCGAACCCCTTTTCCAACAACTTCAGGTTCGTGACCCCGTCATTGGCCTGAAACCCGATCTTCGCAATGAGATGAACGATAATGATGGTCTGGATATTCCGTAGCTTTAACACATCCCACATTATCTTATAAACATCCCAGATCCCGTCCTCGTTCCTCGTCTTTTCTTCCTTCTTGAAGAGTGCGAGCCCAATAGTAATAGCAATATAAGCCCAGCCCCAGAACGTCAGGTAACCACCTAAGCTCATGATACCCTCTTCCGACGGCACAGAGCGAAAGTACCGGTTGGCGAAATCCCCGGAATTGAAAGCCAAGAACACAGTGTAAGAGAGGAATTGCCCAGCTGTGAGACCAACCGTTTGGGCCGTTGAGGCGTAGGAAACATTCCCAGGAGTGAGAAGGGTAAGAGCCCACCCGTCGACGGCGATATCTTGCGTGGCGCACATGAAGACTAGGAAGAACCACCAGCCAGTGAAGCTCCAAACACTCGGGCCGCCCGGTTTGCCAGTCGTGGCCATCAAGTCCTCAATCATGGACCCCAGATACAACATTCCGAACCCGGACATGAGCTGGATCGGAAGAATCCAACTTTTCCGCCTTCCAACCTTCGGACTCCATACCGCGTCCACTATCGGACTCCAGAATAATTTCAACGAATATGGGTATGATGCCAAGCTAAAGACGCCGATCTCGCCAAACGAAAGATGCTCCTTGAGAAGGAACGGTACCGAACCACTCGCAAGACCCATAGGGACGCCTTGTAAGAAATACAGCAACACCAACAACATGAAATTCCTCTGGTCTTGTATAGGAAGTTCCCAGAAGCCATGATTATTCGCAACCGGGGTTTTGGGAACATTTTCGTCAAGAGAGAAAGACTCCCGGGCCATGAGGTTTGCCGTGACCTGGCCCGAGTCTTGTGGTACGTTTTTACGTCGCAACTCCATGTTATTATTCATGCTGCCGTTTGAGTGACCATTTACGCGGCCACTTGTCGAGACAGACAAGTCGCCTCCTTTCTTAGATTTAGACCGTCGAGTTTCGACACCCATTCGTACTTCGGCGCAAAGCGTTTTAGAGCGTTCGGTTGGGAGGAGACGATTAATCGCTAGGCCTTCGTAGGTCTCTAGGAACGTAATGGGGCAAATGGCAACAAGTTAGGATTGAAGTAAACGGTACAGAAGTTGTGTAGATGTCTAATCAGATTAAATGGAAAGTATTGATCCGGTCTAATTAAGTCAACAATACAATGAAGTCAGCAACCGTGGCCTTTTTGGAATCGCGCCTCCAAGTGGCAAAGTGGATCTTAGAATGGGAATGTGAATATTGTATAAGTAACGAGTGATCTGAAGGACGAAACGACGAAAGACGAAAGAAGTTGTAGAACCTCAAAACCCACCAATTGATAGTTCCTTCTTCAGTCCATCGTGGCTACACGGGATTGTCTCAAGCGAACAAGCAAAAGCAAGAAATAGGTGGACGTGTTAACTTTGGCCCAATAATATTCTACCAAAGAAGAGAAAACCCTGGTTCAATTAATGACTAAGCATACCAGGTACATGGTCCAGGGGCATCCAGACCCCACCATGATCTAGATCTCCCCACTTGATACCCTCCTTATCGTTATCAGTTAGGTCATCAATTGGAACGCGTCTTCCGCGTCGTCGTAGAATAAATCAACATTCAACATTAAAACATTGTACATTCAACCTCAAATAGATGAGATCATCGAATCGCACGTAAATATGGCAACCGAGGAAATTCAATTCTCAGGGGTCTCTACAACATCAGGGCTATCCGTCGCAGATAGACTCGACAACGAGATCGCAAGTCTAAGGGACCAAGGTAAACATCCCATACACCCCAACCCATATCACCAACACCATCATCCAAAGCAACCACTAACGCCCCAGCAGTCACATCCCTAAAACGCGACCTCGCCCTGCAAACCGCCACCCTCCTAACCTCGCCCTCAACGCACCACCTCCTGCAGCAAGAAACCAGCGCGGCGAAGCGATCGCGATCAGCGCAGCAGAAGACCACCCACTCCCACTCCCGAACCCAAGACCTGCTCACCAAAGCCGACGAGCAAACCGCGCACCAGCAGCGGTGCCTATACCGCGCCTGCGCGTCCGTGACCGCGTTCCGGGTGCGGGACCCGGACCCGCGGGCGGCGGACGGCGGCGCCGTGCTGGGCCTGCGCTTCGAGGTCATGTACAAGGCGCGCTTCCTGCGGCCGTACTACGTCATGCTGAACCGGCCGTACGCCGGGTCGCGGCGCCTGCGCGTGCACCGGCACACCGTGCCGCAGTGCATACCGCTGCCGGGCCTGTCGGCGCGACATCTACCACCACCACCTCCTCCTCCTTCTCCTTCGCGGACAGCCGATGATGAGGGGGAGGAGGACGAAGCGACGGGGAAGAAGCAGGACTTGCCGATGTTCGTGCGCGCGCTGAGGCGTGAGCTGGTCCGGTACCATAACCGGACCGCCGTGATCGGCGACCTGCGCAGCGAGGCCGGGCTCGAGAAGAAGCCGCGGAAGGAGGGGGTCGAGGTCCCGATCGTGGATATTAGCGCCGCGGACGCGCAGGCCAAGCAGATCCGCGTCGAGTGGGGCGATGGCAGGTCCGGGCGCTTGGTCATTAGCGACGATGGCGATATCGTCAAGATGGTTGCTCAGGGGGAGAATGGCCAGGATCGCGAGGCTGTTAGACAGCTCCTTGGGGGCAGCGTGAGGGTTGAGGAGGTTGTTAGGCGGCTTGGTGATGTTTGAGTACTTGTAGCTACGGTGGGAGTTGTTGCGGGGATGTTGGTTGTCTGGGTATATCCTTGGAGACGTTGTGTCGCGCGACTGAGAACTTGGTGTGCGAGATCTCTACTGGGTTCTTGAATGGAATTCGTTCGATGACTACTTACCTTAAGCAGCTCTGGAGAAGACCATGCACGCAAATGCCATGGTTCTAGGCGCGCCATGTGAAACATGATTTGCCTTCTATCAATACCTATAGCTACAACAATGCATACATTGAAGATTCTTTGGTCTAACGGGCTTATAACGGGATCGCTTTGTAACTCGGTTAGATTTGGAGATAGAACCTACGTTAGGTTCACTCGATAATAAGCTAGACATCGTCGAGTATAGCTATATAGGCGAACAGTCTATATACATAATTTCTCTTTCACTAGCCAACGACGAGGCGACACGACGAGAAGACGATTTCGTAATAATGGTAGAATTAAACAGTCGTGATTGATGCCGTCCCTCCTTAATCGCCTGATATAAAATCGCAAATAGGCCGAGTTCCCATCGTATCCAACAAAAGCACCCGCAATCTCGGAAAAGGGGGCAGGCTCGGTTATTTTCATTTCCATACTAGCGCCAGAAGATGCAATAAAGCGAGCAACTACCAAAAGCCAAGGCATACTAGTGGAGCGCGGCTGTTATCTCTTAGCGTAGCCATCCCCCCAGTTCCCAGTCCCCGACTGCCAAGTTACGAGATATCCGAATATAGGTCGAAACGAGGCTATCCTGGACCCCTAAGTTGAATCAGGAAATGTCGCGTGGACTTTCTGGAAGAAGTAAGGACTGAGGTTTTGAGGACTAGGTTCTTGACGGGAGCTGATATGCTTAGCGTTATCGCCAATTGCTGTGGAGACGGAAGCCCTGGGGTTGATAACGGGCGACGCGGAGATGACAACTTGTGATGTGGGAGGACCCTGTGCCTGACTCACTCAGATATGAGATGTAGAGCCGAGGAATATGATGGCTGGGATATGAGATGAACTACTTCCATGGATACGTTGTTGTCGTCGTCGGTCAAGATCTTGACCATTGTTACCGTACTGCCGAACTTATAGAAACATAGGCTTTCAATATGCATATATTTTGCTAGTTTCTATGAGAAATATGTAGTTTGCACAGCATTGTAATTCAATAATAGAACAAGAAGACAACATGATATCTATTTTCTCCAAGTGACTCTCAATATTTCAGCAAATGAATAGTATTAAATAATTGAAGTATATTCTATCACTCTCTAACAGCCCCAATCTATATCTTACTATAAACACACTCGCCAAAAACCAACCCCCTTCACAATGTCGAACTAGGCCAATGGTGCCTTAGACATGGACCCCCTTTCCACATCCGCATCCTTGCCATTTCCACTACTCGCAACGCTTCCCTTGGAGGCGTCGACGCCTTCCACGCCCATGAGCCGCTGGTGGAGCATGTGGTGCTCGATGTTGATCTTCGGGCCCTTGAACCACTTGTGAGCGTCGACGAAGAACCAGATGACGACGAAAGCCATCGGGGCGCCGTAGACAAGGGACGTCCAGTTCATCGCGTCCGGGGTCAGGTCGTCGCCCCTCACGCTCGGGAAGCACAGGATGGGCATCATCACCACGACGAAGACGCAGGCCGCGATGCCGGACGGTAAGCTGAAAGCGCCCAAGTGCCAGGGTCCGCGGCGGAACTTGTTCCCCACGAACACGATCTTCAGGAAGATGGGGGTCGTGAAAGCAATGTACGACGCGATAGCGCCGATGCTGAAGATGGCGTCGATGGCGGTGTCGCCGAAAATCAGGAGGAGCAGCAGGATGCCAATGGTCGTGTTGAACCAGACGGCGTTAACGGGCGTAAGCGTGTATCGGTTGACCTTTTTCAGGGGCCCGCTAACGAAGCCGAAGCAGTCGTCGCGCGCGTAGGCGAAGCACACCCGCGACGCGGCGACCATGCACCCCTGGCCCATAGAGTACGCGCAGACGATGGTCATGGCGAGGACGGCGAGGGCGGTGTTGCGCGGGAGGATTTGGATTACGTATGCGGCGAAGGGTTGGCCCTGATGATATGTTTAGTAACAGCTATGTAGATATATTCTTGTCATTCATGTAATTTCTTACCAGATCACTGTCCATGATTTCCCCCACATCCTTCACCGTGTATGCGATGAGTGTGTTTAGAATGAAACCAAGGATGGATCCTGACGCCGCGGTCATGACGATGGATCTTGGCGTGGCGATGGCAGCGTTCGAGCATTCCTCGGAAAGGTGGAAGCTGGCGTCGTAGCCAGACATGGTCCAGATGATTGACAAGAAGGACATCAACACAGCAACTCCATCAGGCCAGTCCGTTCCATTTTGAATACCCCACGCCCATTCATTAGGCTGGAACTTCGGGTCGCCAATGGCGGCTGTAGGGATGATAATAATGACGATGAGGAGACAGAGGATGTTGATAGCGGTTCCAACGGAATTGAAGTTCGCGATCCACAACGTCGGCATACTGCTGATACAGGCGTGTGTCAACATGATGAGACACGTCAGGAGGAAGGTCTGGTAGTTCGTCGGTACGTATTCCGGGTACACTATCGACGCTGCAGCCAGAATCATGGCAGCTTAAAAGCAGGTAAGGGATTAGTCTCTGAGCCCATTAGATATTCACGAATAATTGGGACTCACCACATCCATAGTCAACGCTGGGAGCTCCGGTAACTTGCACGAACCAGTTACTCCAGCCTGTAATCCAGGCCGCGAATGGGCCATATTTCGGACCCGCAAGTACGGCAGCCGCATAGTAAAGACCGCCAGATGTAGGCATACTACTTGCCAATTCGGCCATCGAGGCAGCGACCTATTCAGGGGAAGTCAGCTTGAATAAATTCATACACAAAGATCGGTCGAGCACTTACACATAGAATGAACACAACAGACAACAGCCATCCCCAAGTATTTGCCGCAGGACCAGCTGCATACTATATCAGTCCTTCGTTCTCCCTATATCATTCCTTTAAAATAAATCCATGGTATTAACTTACCATATCCAAGTCCGTACCACATGGTAGTAGCGATACTCGGTAACAATCCCATCACGGCGAAGCTGACAGCGAAAGTAGTCCAAGCCGAGAATTCTCGTTTGAACTCTTGCTTGTAACCGAGCGCGGCAAGTGCCGCCTCGTCTTCGGACATCTCTGCGAGATGATCGGGTACATCTCCGTCGGCAAATACGGTCGTTACGGGCGGGACGTGCGACACCTGTCGCTCCATATCGTTGCCCGTCATGGTGAGACTCAGTGGGTGGCACCTAGTAGCCACCAAATTCCAGTACTGGAATTATCGCCACAGGTATTATCGTGAAATAGTTGGCTAGGTAGAATGAGGTGAGCCTCAATGATAGGTATAATAAGTCGAATATATTCTATCAGGGAAGCCGGATTGACGGTCGACGGTTTTCATGAGGGATTGTAGCTGGGGAGACTGAGGAATTGATGTGCGAGACGTTGCGCAGCGTTGCGGCAGCAAGCCTTCTTATTTAACCCATATCCTGCATCATAGATATCAGATATCTTAGATAAGTTTCTGATGTACATACGTAAACATAGACCGGCCGGGTGTTGGAGCACCAGGACACACCCCGGCCGCCAATCAGTCGTGGGGTGCAGAAGCGTAGAAGCGAAAAGTCGAGTTAGACTAGATCCCTGAATTGAGAATACGCGACGCTTATTCGTCGACGGCATGAGCGACACGAGAGATTCAGACGAGTTCAAGTCCGCCTAGTCCAGCTGCGTAACTCTCTCCCGCTGATAAGAAGTAGGGCCACCATGACGATCGGCCGCTGCATGGGCAGGGTTCCAATGGTCCGATAGGTATGTCTCACTTGGGCGAAACCTGGACTTTGTTATCTTTGGAGATAGCTCAGCTGCATACGTAAGTAGATCAAAATAGTTCAATTTTTCGACCTAGTTGTATCAAACCAGCCTTATGCCACGGGAATTAGAACATCTCCTATAATGATATATTCGCATATCATGTACGTAGATATTCCGGTGATCCGAGAAACCTTATGTACATAGTAGCGTTGCGAGTGGCACAAGTAATTGAAGCTGGATTCGATGTGAATCTGGTGTAAGGGTCGATGTCAGGGTTGAGTGTTGATCAGATCCAAAGCTTGGCTCGAGAAAGCAGGTGCTCATTCATCGCCTTATCTCGTGGTTATCGCCGAAACTCATAAAATTATGGCTTTATCCAGTATATCCAATACTAGTGTTCAACATGCGTGTATCGAATTTATTTCAGGGGCAAGCCTATCATGTACCTAAATATTCAGATATCTTCCTTTGCAAGAACTTGAGCATAATTGGTATTTCTCCTTTAGGTATGTAGAAGCGCATGAAGGGACAGGGGATTCATATTAAGCTCTTGCTAGGTACTATAGTGGTTTATGATGTCGTTAGCTTGGGCTTACTCCAGGAGCTAGGGACTATGATCTTGTATTGACTTGGAGAGAGATAGGCAGATCGCGAACCAATAACCGAAATAGACCGGCACGTATGATAATCCGGATGTTTTATTGTTTCTCTTGCACTTTGTTGTATACGTACGATGGACAGTTCTCATCGTAGACGCCATAATCTACATTCAAGAGTAGTCACCCCGGGAAGTGCCAGCTCTCCCAGGAACCTTCTCTCATAGCGTTCGGTCTTCACTTGCTCACAAAAGGGCTCGTCATCCTCGTCACCATGAGCCTAAGTAGATCATCGGATCGACTTCGTAGTTGCCAATCCTGAGAATACGGAGAGAGGTTCGAGACTGGTTCTAGTGTCTGATATTACACATTAGCCTATGATAAGAAACACGCCATGCCATCCTTTTTCCACTACAAACCCGATACCCCAGAGATGTTCGAGCCGCTAGCTTAAGTCCGCTTCCCAGGATTCAACTAGAGATTGGAAGAAGAGGCTTGACCTTTTTCCATTGGATCAGCATCACCCTAGCATTACTCCAAGATACTTCCTGGACTTAAAGAGGCAAAAAGAAGCGATATTCCGCAGATTATGATGATGATCAGTATCATCATTTCTCTAAGCCTTGTGTCTTAGAGGAGACACTCGTTGTCGTATTTAGTGCTTGGAGGGCTGGTAATTTGTAAATGATGAAGGAAAGTTTGTTGAATCTTATTGCCTAATTTTTATACGCCGGAACCGGCGAGCCCTGGACTTCGGGACGTGATATATCCCGCCCGATTTGGATGATTCTGTGGTAGTAGGTCGAAATCCAATATCGGGGCTCACAGAAGAACAGCGGGAGTGACTTTTGGAGTTATCGACTTCCAGGCCACATTCATATTCGATATTGGTAACCGAAGACAGTAGATCTGTCTGGTCGGATATTTCATCGTCCATACCAGTCATCTTCTCGTCTTCTACAGAAGTATCTAACTCCAAATTGTCAGGGTCGAGGCCCAACTGGAAAGAATTAAATAGAGTATGATGGAATGAAGATAGAGGGCTCGTTGTATCGTCTTCCTCTTGGTTAGGCTCTTCAAGTTCCGCGGAGAGCACGTCTATATAGTATTTTGCGATGGATTTACTACTTATTCGCTCATTGGAGTCTCTAGCTGGTTCGTGCGAGTTCGCAGCAGGATCCGCAACAGTTCCAGTGGTTGTAGGCAATTCACGTTTAGCCTCTGCCGAAGTTGGATGTACATCGACGTCTGCTATATCTGCTCGATCTGCTCGCTTTTCCGTTTCTTCGCCCTGTTTAGATGCGATTGGCGGCGATAACTAATCTTGCAAGCATGTGTTCATGACCGTGATGGTCCAGCGCGTTTGATTACCCAAGCTGGGAGGCGGAGAGGATGGCGCAGACATGCGATAGAATAAAGGATATCTCCCCAAGTACATTTTGATGGTACACTCGTTGGTTTGTTGGAAGATGATGCTAGAAGTCCAATATTGTCGGTGAGTATCGGTACGTGATAGATTCCTACGATGTAGGTGTTTGTCTCTCAAGCCTTAAATTGCTTGTGTAAGGTCGTGCAACGCTGTATCAGTTTCCTAGCCTTGTACCTGCCCGTGGAAATAAGTAGGCAGGTAACTGCTGCCATGTGTCTGGATCATATTCGCAAAGAAAGAGCGGCCCACTCAGGTAGGCATCGTTGCTTGCAAGCCACGAGTTAGCTCCTTATGTATATTTGGTGGTACGCGTTACTTCCTCGCTCGGACATTTGAAGTTATTCGAAAGTCCATATATCAGGAATATGCTCATAGGCTCGTCACGAGCTCGACGTTTGGACTCTGCTGTAACCTGCATATGTAACCCTGCCATGGTACTAGGTATCAGATGTCCTCCAGCCTTGGCATTTATGGATAGATCCGAATAGAGAACTAAAGCTAGGTACCTAGTAAGGCATGACAGCATATTTTTGATTGGCTGTTGGCTGTCAGGGGACGTCGCAGAGGTGGTAGGTGGTTATTCGTCCATCTATTCAGTTGATTCCTCAAACCGAAAATAGGTATTTTTCGTATCATCCAATCTATGCCAACGTAGTCAGCGTAGTATACTAGAAGAGGTTTAGCAAAAGTGGAATGCGACACGACTTCAATGTTGAAAGGACGCTATTGATAGACATATCGGAGATCCGAGGTCGAGTCTTCAGTTCCTCCGAGTTCAACAATTCATCTCAACTTTGTTGAGAGGGAACGGTCGCCTATTGCTGTCGTGTCAGGTGGCAGTGTGTGTTGTGTGATATCCATGGATATATAGTATAGGTACAGCATATTCCATGCTCCATAGGGCTGTACGGTTGCTTAGCAAATGATCGGCTGGAGGGGTTTATTAACGGGATATATTGATTTGACTTTCGCGTTACTAGTTCTGGTGACTAGCGATTTAAACTCGTGACCGTTGGGAACCTTAATGGTTAAATGGTAGTAATAATATCGCTAACTTCCCTAATATTCAACTCGAGTTATAATTTGACCTTGGATCCTGCACCTTCAATGTTCTTTCTTTACAACTTCATATCATTTCCAAGTAATTGGTAACACTCCCACACTTGCTGTGTGACGATCAAGAAAATAGTTCCTGAGTCGTATACCTACTAATACATTTTCAGTTAGGGCGGACAGGACAAGTAACATGAAGACTGGATACGTTTGCGCCTTATGACGCAGCCTACATGTTCGGCGTCCACAATTGGTCTACTTGGTGCCTTGAATGACGAAACAAATCGATTTCATCCCTTGGAGACGGACACCTCACAGGTGGGTAATTATTTCTATTGTCATCTTGAAGACATAGATATTTCAGCATTTCCTACCTACATTCCGTCCTGTTGTTGTTGTAACATGCCCTGCATGCCCTTCTCTCGATGCGGACGTATTAATTTGGGCAAGGGGTGGATTTAATAAATGCCAGTGCGACCGTCCAGGGATAAAGTTCCTAGTACCAGAGATACCAGAGATCCGCCTAGATGGTACGTGGGTGCTAAAGTACCTAAAGTAACTTTAGTCTAGTTGCCGGGGGGCTGAATTATTACGGTAATTTTCTTTTTTTCGCTGGCTGAGAACGACACGAGGCAACACTACACTACACACTACACAACACTGCAGAACACTGCAGAACACTCACACCACTCAAATCTACTCAACACGACGAGAATACCAACCTAATTTGCAATTTCACTTACAGATACCGCGATCCAGCTTCCTATGACAGGTCCATTCATCTGTTGTCTTCTTCGCAATCGACGTCTCACGTCTACCCCCTTTTCCTCTAGCTAGTTAGGCTGCTTGCGCACTGCCTGGCGCAATGAACGCCATACAGCAAAAATGTCGCCCGAAACACCAAGTCCTCGTCCTCAAGTGCTATCCTCACACCACCAAGGGTGCCGTTGATGTCAAACCAAACTCGAGTGAACTAAGTTACCTTTTATTCTACGCTACCTCCCGACGGTCTAAGATCCAGAAGGTTGGCCAATTCCTCGAGAAAAAGACAGCTAGTGATGTTTGGAGGGTGCGCATTGGGTACGTCAGCCACTCCTGTTACGAAACCACGCGAACCGATGTCTAGCCCCTTAACTTAGAAATGCAACTGTCATATAGTTCGAAGAGAATCAATAAGCACTAACCAAACCAAATCATCTAGAAATGTCCAAGTTACCTTACAAATACTAGCTGCCATAATCGAAAAAGCTCCTAAAGACCTCCCCCTATTCGCCCAAAATGTCCTCAGAATCCTGGACCTCGTCCTCCGGTCCAACGACATCACCATGGTCGAGGCATCGCTGCCGACCTTTCGAATCTTCTGCGAACACCATGATGTCTCCTCTCTTTTTGCCGATCAAGCTTACCTCCGTCAATATGAATCGGTCGTACGCGCTTACGCCACCTTCGCGTCGACTCGTAAAAACCCTGCTAGGAGCCCCTCTAGCAAACCTGTCGCTATGAGGTGGAGAAATGTAGGGTTGGAGGCAATCAAAAGTGTCGCCGAATCTGACGCGCTTTCGTCTGTTGCCGGACGTCAACTTGATGTCATAGTACCTATGATTCTAGAAAACCTGTGGACCGACAACGAAGACTTCCTGGATATTTTGTTGCAGCGTGTGCAGCTAGAAGAGAAGGTCGATACTAACGCGTTGTTACGACGTAGAACGAGTGTTTCAACCGTTAAAACCGCTGACACTGGAGGAGACGCGAACCCGATAGCTATTTCCGGCACATCCGTTGATATCGACAAGTTGGCCGAAGAAGATATTGGCGTCGTGGCTATGCAATGCCTAAAGCAAATATTCGTCATACCCAACAGGGCACAAATTAGTGGGGCGACTTCGGCCCTGTTGAAATTCATTAAGGAACGTGTTCAGCAGAAAGAGACGGTGGTAGTCGAGGCCAAGGGAGATAACGGACGTGACCATGGCTGGGCGATCAAAATTTTCGAGTTTGTCACGAGATGGGCGCCAGTTCAAGACCGTTACGTTATGATGATTACCGCTACCGACGCGCTACTTCGAAACCCGCCGATTGACGAGAACATTCCCGATCAAATCGTACTTACTGCCATAATTGGATCCTTACTGAGCTCCGACATCAACCTGATCGGTTTAAGTGTTATGGATGCCCTCCTAGGGTTGATACAACATATGAAGCGAGTTTTGAAGCACTCAGGAAGTTCGAGAGGAAGTGCGGCGTCAGGGGACGAAAAGACCTCTGCAGCTCCCGATCTTTCGCAGCACATCGCTGCTCCGTATAGAGACCTCTTGGCTCGGATCCAGAAGTGTATCGGGAACCTGGCCACTCACGTATACTATGCGGATCAAATTTCCGACATGGTTTCCGGTATTCTCATGAGGCTCAAACCTCATCCAAGCACAGTGAACGCTTCACCGACCCAAAAGGTCGATTCTTCCCCGCCCGGGGCCTCAGCAGGCAATATTTCGGACGACCAGTCTCATCTTGATAGCTTCTTCGCGTTGGACTTGGCGAAGACTATCGCACTTCAAGCTATAAAGTCTATTCTTCTTGTTGCTAACCCGAAGACCAAGATCAGTGGAAATGTTAGTTTAACTAGAAACAAAGTTTCCATACAGGCGTGGGAGGGTACACACTGGCTCTTGCGTGATCCGGATGGACAAGTTCGAAAGGCATATGTCGACGCCCTTACTACTTGGCTCGAGAGAGAAACTACGAGATCTGATCTGGAAGCGCGAGATGACATGAGCCAGAGACCACGAACTAACACCAAGGAAATGCCAGCTGCAACTACTGCTCGCAGAGCTGTCTCCAATGCTTCGGCTCGTGAGAAGCCTGTCAAAGTTCCACGCTCCCGTTTTCTAAAACTACTCCATCTTGCCATCTACGACAACGCCTTGCAATTCATGGAGTTCGAAGCAGATATTGCTCTCCTCCATGTCTTGCTAACAAAATTAGTCAATAAACTCGGTGTTAATGCGGCAAGATACGGTATTCCGGTAATATTTCGGCTCCAGGAGGATATATTGGAAGCGGAAACACCTACATCTAAAGTCCATCTGGGATGTCTTTGTCACGGCTATTTCTGGGCTCTAAGCGAGCACTTTGAATTCGAGGGGACGCCGGCCGGTCGAGCAATTCATAATGAAGTGGTTCGCAGAAGAAGCAAAAATTTCTGGGTTGAAGGCGTGCACATCCCAACACCGTCGCTAGAAATTTTGGGCACTCCGGGTATGGCTAGAACGGAGTCGAAAATCCCCACGCACGAGGTAGAGTCAGAAGCACTATTGCCCTTTGACGACCGCGCTGCGATGGTAGATTGCATCTGCGCCAACTATAAGGACAGAGCGATTTCCCCTCCCGCTAGCCCTTCAACGTCGCCTGGTCGTGTGTTCGCACATCCCGCCCTGGGCTCTACTCTAGGTCCTATTCCACCTGCTAATGACGAGCATGACCTGCCTGAAAAGTTTAAGGAGGAAATGTTGGCAGAATGGAATCGAGAGGCCGTTGTCATCGCCCTTCAAGCAGAAAGCAAGTCTGCTTCGCTCAATGGGTCCAAAGCCGGGACGACTACCACCAAGGGAAATCACCTTACCGTCAATGGGCCTTCAGCTAATGGCCTCCCTTCAAGTAGGCCAGAGTCTGCCTATGCTCGACAAACCAACCTGCGGCCCGTATCGCATGCCAGCCACGCTGCTGCTCTGCGAAATTCTAGCATACAGAGTCACGGTTCAGGGAGGAGTGCCTCTAGTAAAGGCTTCGTCGCTTCTGTCGACCAGCTCAAATCTGTGTTGAGTGGGGATCCAGTCAGGCCGGGTACATTCCAGACGTTGCGGGAAGATGATGACAGCAGCGAAAGCATGGCGAGTTGTGATTTCACGCCATCAGAACTTTCATGGAATCCCCAGGCCGAGGGCGTCAATGGTCATGAAGCAGCTCTGGGGCGGTCGAGATCAAAATCCAGGGAACGAAAGGCGTCCGGAGACTTGGGAGGTCCTCTAACGTCCAACCCTACGGAAGGTCAGGACGAAAATGGAGAGCAGGTGCCACCAGTACCTCCATTACCACCATCCTTAGCAGGGAAATCACCTCCCCCCGAGGTAACCCTCGCCAAGGTTTCAAGCCAAGATCATGCTTTCAAGAGTCCTAAGAGGAATATCAGAAGTCGAGGAGGCGATAGCGTCCTCTCAAGCAACTTTGCCAATGCTGGCGCCGCTAGCATGGACCTTCAAGCGATGCTTAAGGGCATCGATAGCAAATCCAAGCAGAACACCCTTGGAAATCTTACCAGGCCCCCTTACTAGTCTAGCAGTATACACTGTAACAAGCTCATATGTACTTGAAACCTATAACTTAAGTTTTATGGAGGCGAAGGATTGGGGTTAAATTCTTAATGGCAACTTTTAGGGGACGGGCCTATTCGCCTCATGGGTTGAGGCGTTGCATATAGTATTACGCCGGGAAGTATCTACGGAAGGCCTAGCCGCGTAAAAGAAGGATGGAACTTGGAACTTCGTAAAAGATTATCACTCGGGGCAACTCTATCTAACATATGGCTGTATATATTAACACGTCTGTCTTGTTCCTTTGTCAGCCTCTTTGCTTCCAGCGTGGTCGGTGTTTTTGCTTCAGATTTGCCGCCTTGGTTTTTCGGCTGGCTGTTTCAACATAGAGGAGTAGAGCATATCAATAAAAAAAGCAAAAAACTAAGTTATAGAATCTTGAGACTTTGAAAGTTGTGACAGTAGGTAATATCGATTTCTCAAATACGGTCTGACTTATGTCAGCAAACCAAAGGTGTTTATGTAATCAAGATACAGGTAGGTAAGTATGGGACCTCGACTTCTTATTGGCCAATCCACATTCAAGCATGTCGAAGCTCTTGCATAATCGATAACAAAACACATGCGTAAATTTATACAAAGTGCCACTTCTCTCATAGAACTTCGACTTCAACACGATCTCCCTTCTTCAGCCGTATTCACAATGAAGCCGCCAATGCGAATAGCGTTGCGCTCGGCGATTCGCCAGCAAATCCAATGCTCACACCCAAACGCAACAGCGACCCTACCCCTAAGAGCAGTAGTAACGCGACAACAGCGCAACATCCACAGCACCACCCCCGCGCCCGCCACCGTCTCCCCAATCCACGGCACCGGCCCACCCCCCGAGCCCCCCGTCCCCGCAGCCGACAGCGCAACCGAGCGACTCGAGCGGCGGAAACGGCAAGCGGAGATCTTGGAACAGGCGCAGGCGATCCGACAATACAAGTCTTCCTCTTCCTCCTCTAATAAGTCGGCGACGCCGGGCTCGAAGAAGGAAGCCAGGGACAACGCGCTGAGGAAGCGGTTCTGGAAGGACGTGCACGTGCGCGAGGTCGATGGCGCGTGGGAGGTGCACTTGGACACGCGGCCGCTGAGGCGCCCTGAGACGAAGGATGTTGTGAGGATCCCGTTGAGTAAGCCGTTGTTGGCGGGTGCGCTGGCGGCGGAGTGGGATATGCTGCTTTCGCCGCAGCAGGCGACTAGGTCGCATTTTATCCCGCTTACGGGGTTGGTGTGTAGGGCGCTTGATATCGCGGATGATGACGCTGCTAGTTGCGCTAGCGCCGGCGGCGGTGGTGGGAGTGGGAGTGGGAGTGGGAGTGGTAAGGGTATCAACGAACAGAAGCTGAGGGAAGGCATCGTCAAGGTACTGCTCAAGTACCTCGACACGGACTCCCTGCTGTGCTGGGCGCCGCCGCCTCGGCACGAGGACGGGCCCGGGGAGAGTTTGAGAGATAGGCAGAAGAAGGCGACCGAGGAGGTGGTCGGGTTCTTGACAAGTCGCGTCTGGCCCGGCGTGACCATCGAGCCGGTGCTGGACGGCGAGAGTATCATGCCGAGGAGCCACCCGGAGATCACGAGGCAGATCATCCAGGGGTGGATCATGGGATTGAGTCCTTGGGAGCTGGCGGGGCTCGAGAGAGGTGCGCTCGCGGCTAAGTCGTTGCTGGGCTCCGTGAGGTTGCTCGTGGAGTGGAGCGAAGGGTTCGTAGGGGCCGGCGTGGGAGACGGCGCGAGTGCGGGGGAGGGGAAGAGGTTCGGCGTGGAAGAGGCGGCGAGGTTGGCGAGTATCGAAGTCGATTGGCAGACTGGGCGGTGGGGAGAGGTCGAGGATACGCATGATGTCGAGAAGGAGGATTTGAGGCGGCAGTTGGGGAGCGCGGTCTTGCTTGTTAGTGGGACTGGGGCAAAGTAGCTTGTGATACCTACCTGCCCTTCTAGTGACATAAATATGTGTAGAAAGTTAAGGAAATATGCTAGAATGTATATTACTACTCCTGTCTGTCAGTCTCCTGGCGGTTCGACGTCAAAGGTTATTTTCCGATGGGGTCTGCAGTCAGGAAGTACATAGTTTAAGGATATGGATACTACTCGGCATGATCCATTGTACGTGGACTCACGCTTACATGCCCTTCTCCTAGGGTATTATATACACACAATATAGGTCAAATTAACTCACTTAAGTTAACTCATTATTTATATCCGTGATTGTCCAACTATGGAGGCATGCGGTTCCATGCTATCAGGTACGTAGGCGGGATGAGAATTTACAAGTTGGGATGAATGTATGAGAGCAGCCAATGCTGGAGTTGATTCTTCAGAGGTTTTTGAATTAATGATAACCTGTCACCATCCAAATATTCTAGTCGAATGGAGTACTGAATTAGTTGAGTCCTGACAAAATTCAGATTTTACCCCTATGCATTACTTCTAGGGAAAGGGGCAAATTACCTAGTGTTGGAAACCGTCAACTTTAAGATATCCATAGGTATCAAATTTGAACAATTCCGCTAATGCTTCATATATTAGTTCTATCTATCCAGAGACATGGAAATGATTATTGTATTAATAGATTTGTTCCCTCTTCTTGTATGACATGTATGGTAGGTACCTATATGTGTTCTGAGGGCAACATAATCCGTCGTCCATGATTACTCGATACCTATATTGACCTCGCCATCCCGGTCTCACTAGCACTACTATCGGATCTATCCGATATTCTCTCTCTTTCATTCACCTGTAAGTTTCCCTTCACTTTTTAGTTTGCTTCCCTTTCAGGAATCATATCCTGGGTATATTCATACAACATTAATATCACATATAGAAACTCTATCAATTAATACTACGTATCATTCCATTAAGTCGTAATCCTTGACAACGTCGCTTGGTTTTTTTGCCCCCCCTTTACTTTGGATTAGCCGTGCTTATTTTAGTAACGATGAATCGAAATCTTCTATTTGCGGAGTTCCCTACTCTTCAATATATTTTACTTCTTCCTATCGTATTTAACCCCGGCTCTTCTAATAATCGGAACTGAATAGATATTCGATCAAGGAGCCAATATTATTGATAGAACAACATCAACAGTAAACCATGGTTTTGGGGGGGGGGGGGGGGTTGCCATCTTACCCTATTTATACCATTCGACAAAGACGCTAGAAAATTCAGATATCATCTTGGCAGTTAAATGTCATACAGTATGTTAACAAACTACCCTAAGCTATCTCGTAATATTCCTTCGATCCATTTTTATTGACGTGTGACTCAAAGCTCAGAGGTCAAACAGATCTCGCACGGAAAGGAGTTAGATAAATAGATCGAAGGATCCTTTAAGATAAGTAGTACAAGACCCAACATACTTTGCTTCGATAATTCAACGTACAAAATGCAAAAGTGAATATAATAAGATCTTGTATTTATGTTAGTTATGTGTATAGAGAATACTTAGTTAAAGTTAGAGGAGCAACCCCAAAGTCTTATAAAGCGCCGTTCCCACCCGTATCCGGGCCTGGACTTTACCGTTGCTGTGTTCCTACTAACAATAACTAACAATAGAAAAATAACTTTATCTTAACTACAAGTGTTAGACGGATGTGCTTTGATCAGCCTGTAGCTCGAGGTCTATTCGATATTCCAACTGCCTCAGCATTGGGCGTAGCCGTCTCGCGTCAAATTTTCCGTGACGTCCAAAATATGCTCTAAGTCGTTAATAGTAGTTATCTAGAGTGTCATAATCTGCCTTGACCATCACGTTGATTGTATGTTTGAACTTGACTCAGTTTGTTATGGCCTATTGTGTATCCAGAAGGAGCTCTTTGACATCGTTCAGGGGTTCAATACAAGTATATTGCTTGTCGAAAGGGAATCCGCATACTGGTCCTGTCTTAGACTTACCACATGCCGAGTTGTCACAAGCAGAGTCACTGCCGACTTAGTAGTAAACGCGAGCAGATTCTTCCGGACTATTCTCTGATCCTCTTGTTTAGTCATATATAAGGCAGTCATGTCTGTATGAGCAGCTGTGGAGCTGCAAAGCTTGGACAGGTAGGAGCCGTCAGGCGGCATGTATACCGACTTCGAATAGTCATTAGCCACTTGACAAACACCCCCGAGGGTCTGGGAGTCGATTTCGAGGACGGAGAGGCTCCTGGAAGGGTATATAAACCCATTCTTCCTCATGTGTCTGAGATTTCTAAATTCTTCCCCGAGCACATTCATTTCCTACTCGCACCGACAACTTTACCCTGCTACTTCTACATCCTCTTACCAAAACAACTCTTCTTAACATCGACTGACTGTAGCCTCAAGCTTCCCACAGGCACAGTAAATCATTCACTCATCCTCTCGTGACCTTAGATCATCGTCGCTTATTGCCAAATATCCTCGTCGATTTACCTAAGTGTCACCCATTTCTCCTTCTTTTTCTATCACCGTATCCAACACTCGTCTTTCACTGCAAAGGAATACCTATCGCACGTAAGCCAAGCTTCCATCAACCATTAACCATGGATAACTTTCTATTCGACCCTTACGTTCCTCCTTTCCGCCGCGCTGATCAGAGCGGAGCAGCAGAGCCTGAGGTGATGCCTTACAACTACGTCCCCGAGCGCATTCGCGCTGCACAAAGTGACGGTTCTGGTCCTTCGAGTGGCGGTAGTAACACTGGCATGGCGGGCGCTAGTATGAACTACACTTCCGGTGGTCAGCGAGGTGGTAGTGGTCAGGCAGGCTAGGTGCCTCCAACCAATACCAGCACGTTCATCGATCTCACCGGCGACGACGACGACGATACTCCCGAACCCAAGCCTGCCCCGGCCCCTGCTCCGGCCCCTGCTCCCGTTGTAACTACATACTCTCGTCGCGACATCGAGACTTACTACAACGGCGAGGCCTACGCTAACTGGCCCAACCGAGCTCATTACGTGCTCAACAGCGCTCAGCCCGATCCAGCGCTTGCGTACCTCTTATTAACTCCTGAGGACAAGACTCACTTCGCGATCAACCGCACCGTGTTCACCACCGACAACTTCGAGACCCTTCCCGAGTATCAGCGTCGCAGCACCAACCCCGGCATCCCTCACGTGGCCTACTTCGAGTACAACCCGAAGTCCAACAAGCTCGTCGCCGCGTTCCAGGAGCAGCGCAACAGCGCCAGCCTGATCTCCCGCTTCAACTTCGTCGGCTGGTACAAGGTCGAGTACGTCGGCGTCTTCTCCCCCACGACGCCCCGTCTGAGCGAGATGCTGAAGCTCCGAGCCAAGCGCCTCAACGAGGCCGGCGCGTTCGTCCAGGGCCCCGTTCGCAAGAGCGACATGAGAAAGGTGTGGGCGATGGTCCACTTCGAGAAGCAGGAAGGCGCGAACGTGCCCGGCGCTCCCGCTATCGGTCATCGTGGCAATGTCCTGCCCAGTCTCCGCTTCCCGGAGCACAACGCGCTTCCGCCGCCCGCCCACGTCTCCGAGCGACGCTCGAACGTGAACTTGAAGAAGCGCCGTCGAAGCGGTCAGGATAGCGAGTCTAGCACCCAGGCGCAGGCACAGGCGCAGGCACAGGCACAGACGCAGGCACAGATGCAGACGCAGACGCAGGTGCAGACCCAGAACCAGTCCCAGCACCAGCACCAGGGTTACCGCCCGACTCGCGGTGGAGGACAAGGAGATTGTCCTACTGGTGATGACTTACCTTCACCCTTATCACTCGATACCTGGCGACGCCGAGATGACATGGCACCGACTCTTGCCACTGCCCAGGCTAGCGGTTCTCAGCAAGGTCTCCAGCTTACTTATGACGCCCCCCAGGGTCTGGGCGCCCAGGCACATGCTACAGAACAGTCATCCTTCATCTTCGACACCTGGTCCGGAGACCAGCAACTGCAGAATCCCGTCCCTGCTCAGGACCCGCCTCAACTTTATCCTCAGTATGTGGATCCCCGAGACGTCTGGGAACAGAACCACGCTCAAGTCCTGCCCCAGGCTCAGGATGAGCCCACCGCTCGTAATCAGATGGTAGAGGTGTGGCAGCCTATCGGTCACGATTCGTGGATGGGATCTGTCAATCACGAGGGTCCCGATGTTCCCTCTGACTGGCCTTTGCACTAAATGGAGGACGGCTAGATGACAGCATTGAACTGTCGTAGGAGGTGGTTAAGGGGTCTGGTTACGGATATTCTTTTGCTGCCGATTGGCGACACAACGACATGAGAAAAGGAGAAGGAAGAAAAACCCAAAAAAAATCGTACTAGGCACAGGAAAGGTGCATATCGCAGAGGGAAGTTTCGAGCTGTAGCACAATGACAAACAACTGCAAGTATCTCACATGCTGAGAACCAATACAAAGATTCGCTATTATTACATTGGTGTTCCTTACGCTGGCCCATAGTTTAATTGGATTCGTACGTGACATGGAATTCGTTCGCTCGCGCCTACTCATACGTAAAAGAAGGTACTGTCATAATCGTAAATTAAAGGAGTTAGGTCCTATGTAAGCCTCACTTTAAACGCGACGGCTTGCTCCCTAAGATTTCAGCTCACCTAGATACATATCCGCTTATTCGCCACTCTGCTAATCCATAGATCAGAATTTTTGTGCATAGTTTAGATATGCTGAGACAGGAATTTCAAGACTGTTTCGTAGCCGCGGATGTACTCGGCCTTCACACGCTCGTTTTCGAGGTCGGAGCGCGCGGCCATCCAACCGTGGATCTGGTCGCCAAAGGTCTCGACGTATTTGGGACCCGTAAGGTTCGCCTCGAACTTCTTGACATCTTCAGGGGTCTCGTCCTTAGAAGCTAGTAGAGCGAGGGGAACCTTGATGTTCTCAGCATCAGCGGGGTCAACCATTGCCGGGTGGGCTTCAACGCCTGCTTTGAAGACGGTGTCTGGTTTCGAGGTTACGAGAGAGACGACCTTGCCTCCCCAGCAGAACTATTGTAACGGTTGTCAGCGTCTATTGTGGACTCCTTATATTTTCTACTATGGTTTATAGGAGTCTTACTCCAAGAATAGCCCATGACTTGATTTCGGGATACTTGGCCGAGACGGCACTGACGTAGTCTGGAACCTTGGCTGCTACGCTTGGAGGTGAGTTCTTCTGGAAGAAAGCACCGAGATTCTTCTGTTTCTCCTCGGTGTCGGGAGGGAACCACGAGAGGGGGGCGGGCTCGCCATTGAACCAATCCGGAATGAAAACCTTGTACTTCTGCGAGTGATCCGAAGTTGAGAGAATGTCGGCACCCTGGAGTGTTTGCGGATAATACCCGAAAATATCGTAGATGGTAATTATGCCCTTAGTTGCCTCCTTCGGACCGGTGACGTCTACGATCGGCAATGTCAGCCATCATGAAGAGATTGGGTGGAAGAGGTAGTTTACATGATTTGAAGCCTCCGAGTTCCTCATAGCTGCCCTTTGCGCTATATCCCGTCGCAACTACGGGTGGAATGTTACAGCAAGCCTCAGAATGGCCGTGCTGAGCTGGCATAGTCGACATCTTGCAAGTATGTTTGGGAGTTAACTGCTTCAGTAGATTTTGGGTTTTTATTGACTGAGAAGTGAGGTTCCTATTGTTTAGGAGTGGATACGAGTTTGATGAGATTGAAAGATTAGAATTGGAATTAAAGTCGGAATTAGACCTAGAACTGGAAAAAGAAGGTGGGTGAACTTGAGAAGCAGCTTCTGGTGGAGCTACTAGGCCTGATGTTACGGCAGCAACTCTTCGGGATCCGGAAAGATGCTTGGATAGAGACATATATCACACTACCCAGATGTAACACTGTTAGGGGCGGGATGTAGGACGTCGAGAGACCTGGTCCCTTCTAAGGTACAATATCGTAAATTTGAATATCCAAGCACCTAAAACCTTAGATACGCGGGATTAGAGCGGGTTTATTCGAGTTTACATCTGGATGACTGAATGATACAGGTCTTCTGTTCAAATTATGCTCCCTACAACTGAGAAGCTTCTAGCAAAACAACCTTTCGAGTTACACATTATCCCAGGCGTGAGGGGTAGCTTCAAACAAAGCTGCTGAAAAGGTGTGGGGTAGAGGATTATGATATTTCCCTGATGTCATATATCATTGTTGATCGGAAATGGCCGTCGGCTAATGGTGGGTCTAGACCTAGAATGTACTAGCGCCTCTTTCCCTTCAGCAGGTTCGAATTCATAGGGCTGACAACCCCTTTCTTCAGGAAACTGCCGACCTGTACTCGGAAGCTACCCAGGTTAAATATTATTATGAGAACTTGACCTTTTCTATGTGCCGTGTAACTAACAGTAATACAGTCCTCTCATGACCGAGAACATGTCATTTACGGAATCATGAAGAGTGCAAGTCATCCATATGATATATCGTTCGACCATTCCAAAATTTGTCCTTCATCAAAATCATTACCCATCGAAATATGAACCGTGTATCAACCTCAATTTATGACCCGAACACCTTTTCTCCCTATCATAACACCACTTGTTCGCTTTGTGGCCTTCTTATTTTGGTTCTTGACTCCTTGTCCAGTCGTTTGCTGACATGCTTCGGATGTACGCGAACGCGATTCGGACCACTACACGAAAGGGGAATAAGCTGCCCGTCCAGAAGTTTACATAGGTCAAATACTCGTTGCTTTGGACCAGGAGTACACGGTTTCGTTCTCCGGAGAACCAAGCAAAGCCAAAGAATACACAGTCATTTCAAGAAGACCGGCAAGAGTAAAAATAAGATTCACTTACTAAATTTTTCATCTTCGAGCTTGAGTCGAGTCAGCGCTTCCTTTTCAGAGAACCAGAAAGTTGAGAATTTCTTCCGATCTTCTTCTTCCGTCATTCGAGTTTCGTCGCGTCTGATATCTCCCAGGGGCTGGGCTGCAAACCAGTAGATGTGTCTCCAGGCACCAGTAGCAGGATCCGGATCTAACTCGTATTAATGGAACCTTTCAGAGTATTATGGGACGTGAAGGGAAGCGATAAGGAGCTTTTCAGGACGTACTGTCAGAAGCATTGTCAGCTAAGCCAAACTAACGCGTATCGCAGGCAATACAAAATTAGGGCTACGTGGAAGGATGCCGCATAACTCACCATTCACTGACACCAATACTCTCGTTACTGTACCCCTCTGTGATACCTGTGAGTTTATCCTCGATGCCGTACCTGGTTTCTCTAGCCTGATTCTGGACCTGGACAGGTTTTGGTGGCGTGGATCTGGACCCGAATCTGAGCTTCAGGGGTTGGACGGCAACTCCGGCCTCTTCCGCTGTCTCGCGCAGCGCCGCGGCCAGGTATCCCTCGTCAATGTTTTTACGTCCTTTAGGTAATTGGTATATGCCAATATTCTTGTTGAAGACAATCAACACCTTTGGGCGTAGCGAGTCTGCCTGATCGACTGTGACGGTTCCACAACTGACGAGCATCTCGTCGGCCCGATGGTAGAATCCCTCGCTATTGATCTTCTCCCAGACTCGGGCATCATTCCAGTCGACCTGACGGTCGGGGTCCTCTTTGGTCCATAGCTCTCGTCGCACTAATCCCCCAAACTTTCTCACCATCTTCGTAACATCAGATTTCAATAGCCGGACCACATTCTGCTTGGTTAATGGCCGAATGGGCTTTTCATAGGGTCCGTGGGCCATTGGTAATTGTTGGATTAGATGGATGTATCTCTTAGAAAAATTGTCTGTTCGGCCGGGTGCGGACTATCAGAACGATTGACAGGATCATTAGGTTAAATAATCTCTGGGGAAAACGGCTTGTGGGTAGGGACATTATACCCAACATTTATGATCTTTAGTTTTCCAGGGAGCCGCCTATCACACTAGCCCGATCTCAGTCGACTTAGGACCGTTGTCCACGATAGGTATTTGGTTCGCGTACCAAACCTACCTACTTGTCGGCCGAACTTACTTGTGTAGTTCCATCAGAGCTTTTAGGTTCGCAACTTGTTCCCCATCGGGATACTAGGCTTGTGTCTCCTTCGGCTCCTATCATATTGATCTGCAAGTTTGGTCAGAAATCAGATAGATCACTTCATGTTCCCCGGGTTCTCCGTGGGACCAAAGTAGGTAAACAGGATTTAAGATCGAGGCAGGTTTCTCCCAATTCAACCTAGAGTACCCGGAGGCGTTAGTAACCCAGGACTTGGATAGGTAAACCTAGGAGCTCATTCGTGGAAAGCAAAGCCTCCAAATGGTTATGGGCCAACCTCGTCTCTAGGACCTGTGCTTGCCGAGTAGGATCCATTGCCATCAACGTCATGCATGCCTCCTGCATAACAGCTCGAGATTTTCGGGTGAGCAACATCTGCGGTCATCGGTTAATTCAACGTGCTCAGCGGGAGCTAGTTGTCGTAACCCACCCTCACGCAAGGGAAGGCGGCTTGCGTGACACTCCTTAGGCTTATGTCCCTTAACCTAAGCGTTTCGCCGTCGCTGAAACCCCCGATGCAGAAATAACAATGTCTCTGCCACCGTCACTTCTAGAATAGCTCCTCATCGAAGGCCTGACCGGCTCGGAAGATAAGAAAACATGAAGCCCTATTCGGCGCCCGCTTACCCGCAAGTCGATGTAACGCCTCTCCTCGATAGGCTGGGTGGTACACGGTGAGGATGACAAGGTGCTGAGACGCTGAACTATTGGGATGTGACAGCGTGATACCGGTATAGGATCAGCAGTGATCATGGGAATGTAAGAATTCCCATCTCTCCAGCTCTCTGCTGTGTGATGTGGGCAGCAATAGGGGGTCGCTTCAAGTTGTAGCAGCTCCAGGTCATTTATATTAGCCTGCATATTCGCTGGAATCCACTTTATTACCTTGTCAGTATACCGTCATCGTCGATGAGGTAAGATGACTTGCATATACTACCAGAGAACCGCATTTCTAGCCATATGATGCAGCGCAGCGATAACCCCCTTCCTCTCCTTGTAGCGGAACTGCAACGTGGAAACTGGAGCGATCGTGACGATGACAACGTTCCTCCACACATTTAAGTGATGTATCCCGAATCACATATAAGTATCCCAGTGGTCAATACGTGGTTCGAGATCTACTCTATGACATATATGATGAAGCTTTTCTGCCGAAGTTGGCACAGGGTATCAGCTCTAGTGGGGCAGAGGCTCTAACCCTACAGGCGTTTTTTGACAAAACAAGAATAGTTGAACACTTTGAGATAGCAATCTTTGGGTTTATACATCATAGAGATTCCTATAGACATCATATCAAAAATTGGTTTTGGATATTGCGCTCATCCAATCGCTTACGCATTGGAGCTAGGTCCGGTACTGATCCGATATACCAACAAAAAGAAAAGGAAAAATATTACCTAGCGGAGCAGCTCAGCTTACCCAAGTAGCCTTCAACCACTAGTTCACGATAATTTGTGATATATCGCAATATCGGAACCCAGTTTCTTCGTGTGATATACATATAATAGTTCCTAATATTCACACCGGTCAGCAGCGGCTAGATGTGCTCCCTCTTTAGGTATCACAACATCAGAAAAGCCGGTGAGAAGTGTTAGCTGTTTTTCCTCCGCCGTAGTCACTTTTTTTTCTTCCCGTCGCTGAGGCAAACAAGAACAGTTAGGCAAACTGTCGATCGAATTTATTTCGTCTGGCCGTCCTGCCTCCTCCGCTCACCGATTACGTCGGCCCTTTCTACGGTGAGCGCCATGAGACGGCGATAACCGCTGACGGTGCGTAACCCGAGTCGTTAGATAGAATAGGTGCATGTACGCCCCAAAGTATCGGTCACTACCTATCTGTCGTCATTTCATCTGCCCCTTGGGTTGCCGGCTAGCAGGAGTCGTCCCTAGTGGAGCGTGGTGTAAATAGACTCAACCCGCCCAGCCCATGGGCTGCTTTCTTGGGATATAGCGGCTGAAGATAGCCAATCCGCCCACGTTCGTACTCGGCAAATTTAAGGCATATGATCGCCTGCGCTGACCGATCATCTAGCAAACCGAATCCAGAGCTTGCATATGTCGGGCCCGGCCAGACTACTACCGTAGCAGTATGCGAACTATTCCGAGCGTCTAGTGATCGCATAGAACTGCAGTAGACGGTAATGATTTACTTTGTTCAAATGAACGAGGCGATGAATGCGATCATCCAGATCCTGAGAAGGTTCTTCGGCTTCTTTCTTGGTACTCGATAGTTGATAATTACCTATTCGCTCTAAAAGCATTCCTTTTTATTCGGGATAAATGGATGGAATGCCTTTATGCGGAATAGAGATCACATGACCCGTTCGCGTAGTTACATGGGCAGATGAGTTGTCTGACTAGGTATTCGACGGAATATTTTCACCAATCGCGGTAAGTCGCTTCTAGCTGTTCATACAGATATGCTGTGTGAAAGGTTGCCAGCCAATTATATGATGCCTTCAAGTGATGTATGCCGCATATACTTTCCTCTTGTACCGATAACAGCTGAGGACCAGCTGGCGAGAGTTGAATAGGGGCCAAATCGAACCTCAATGGAACGTCGAGGTGCCCAACGAGGCTCTGCTTACGTCAATCTTCTTTCTTCCAATTTTTCGACATCAATATACGATCGCGATGAAATACGACCACGATGTATTTGCTAGACGTCAGAACAATCCAGTTGCGCGAGTTTCAAGGCAGCGCTATCCCTAAACGCAAGTATGCAATCCTTTCACACACCTGGGGCGAAGACGAGGTGAGCTTTCAGGACCTACAAGCCGGAACGGGTCGCAACAAAGAGGGATACCAGAAGATTGTTTTCACCTGCGAACAGGCGAAACGTCATGGCTATAAGTGGGCTTGGGTAGATACTTGCTGCATCGATAAATCAAGCAGTGCTGAACTCAGCGAGTCCATCAACTCAATGTTCCTATGGTATAAAGAGTCTGCTATATGTTACGCTTATCTCGTGGACGTCGAACAGGTATGTTGACTAATATAACCAGCATAGTAGTATGACTTTTGTAGTTGATGCTCATACTTTCAAAGTCTCAGTTTCCATACGCACGCTCAAATGGACATGGAGAGCCACAAGTCTCTAGATGGTTCACTAGGGCTTGGACGTTGCAGGAGTTGATTGCACCACGAGTACTCTGTTTCTACTCTCGTGGATGGAAAGAGATAGGCCACTGTGGGGAACGAATAGCACAAATTGTCTCCGATGCTACTGGAATTCCAAAGCCCTTGATAGAAAGCCACAAGTCCTTATCCGAATATAGTGCCGCCCAAAAGATGTCTTGGGCAGCCCATAGATCAAGTACCCGCCCAGAAGATGTAGCATACTCTCTTCTAGGATTATTTGACATCAACATGCCGCTTTTATACGGCGAGGGCGAAAGAGCTTTCATTCGCTTACAGGAAGAGATTCTGAAAGAGACAGATGATCACTCGTTGTTGTGTTGGACGGTCCCGAAGTCTAGTCCTAGAGCGTGGACACTTCAAAGCGTGTTTGCCACGTCACCTGACGACTTCACAGAATCAGGACGGATCAGGGGGAATCTTTTCGATTCTGGACATCCGTCCGCAGTCACCAATAGAGGACTCCAAATTCATCTTTCGCTCTCTGAACGAATCTACGGCGAAGGTTCTCACCTATTCCATGAGAACGCTGCCTGTTCTGTCTTTGATGCGATGCTCAATGCAGGCGAGTGTGAACCGGGCCATGGCACTGTCCTCTATCAGATATCAATACAGCTAGTTAGAACACCGCAGATTTCCAGTCGTCACCTACAATCAGTCAATAGGTACGCAAGATTGGCTACACCTTCGTTTAAACGTATCGGTATAGATGCGCTGGGAATCAACTCGGCGAAGACTAAGAAAGTCCAGACTGGATTAATATATGTCCACAAAAATCTCCTTGATTGGGAACGGCATCGGTTTGGGTTTGGAGGTTTCCATTTGCAAAACATCCCTATCGCGAGGAGTCTTTGTCCGTTGTCTACTCCAAAAGTAGACTCGAATTTGGATAATTTATGTATCAAGGCGATAGACTATTCTGGACTGATAGAATTACTTGAAGATGTCACTGTTGCAGGTATTCCTCCCAATGTGGGTGCGGGGATGACGTGGTCTCCTATCTACGGGTGTATCACGTTCGATTGCGAACCTCATCGAATCTCTGAATGGCCATTTCTCTATGTAATCTTTGGAGTAGAATGTTCTTCTGCTAGGGAGATGCCGTTCAGCGTTTTACTCGTCTGGAACACAAATTACGTACACTTCAGCCTACGGCCAACCGAGGTGCAGAAGTCAAAATATGCAACATTCGAAAAATATTGTTTCGAGAAATCGCAACTCTGGACTACACTAGAAACCATGCCACCTGACGATTTCACGCACAAAGTAGATTTCTGGGCGACGTACGGCGAGATAGCTAGGACGCGAGCAGTCGTGGGGAAGCTGGATATTGAGTTGATCTTGGAACGGGAAGATCCCAACACCGACGATGGAAAGGCGGCAGGTAACCGATCGCACTTCCTGATACGAGCTATCAATCATAGTTATGACCCCATTACGGGCCATAGCTCTGACGACGGATCAAAATGGATAGGGCAGATAGAAGCCACAGATACCACTCCCGGTCATTCCACAGATGTTATGTCGATAGAACGTACGATATAAAACATGTCACGCTTCTCAGAAATATATAATTATTATATTCATCTCGCGTCTTGCAGTTGATATAATGTTAGGGGTGGCTTATGTATCGACTTAGCAACCACTCATGATTTGTAGACCCGACCTCAATTGAATTTCACTTCTGATACTATATTTCCCTAGACGCCGGCTCCAATGCATTTGCTAAACGACCTAACCAGGATCATGCTCCAAGATGCGCGTATTCCTTATTAAACGCCCTCCCGATAACCATGCGGCGGATCTCCGAGGTTCCTGCCCCTATCTCGTATAATTTGGCACTAGTAAATAGGTAGGTAGTCAGTAACGCAGCGTAGTGCGAGTCCATGATACTTCAGATGTACCGGAGAAGGCGAAGGTGAAGGAGAAGGATACGGATGAAGACGTTAAAAGATATCAAAAAAGGAAAAAGAAAAAAAGAAAAAGAAAAGGCAAAGAATACTCACTCCCTAAGTAACCTCGAAGCCGGCATCTCCTCCACGTACCCCATGCCGCCCAGCAGCTGCACGCAGTCGAGCGCGCACTCGGTAGCCCGCTCGGCCGCGTACAGGATCGCGCCCGCGCAGTCCTGGGTCCGGACCGCGCCCTCCTCGTCCACCGCCTTGGCCGTGGCGTACGTGTACGCGCGCGAGGCCTGCAGCTTCGTGTACATGTCGGCGAGCTTGGCCTGGACGAGCTGGTTGCGGGCGACCGGCGCGCCGAACTGCTTGCGCTGGTGCGTGAAGGGCAGCGCGACGTCGAGCGCCGCCTGCATGAGGCCCAGCGGGCCCGCGCTGAGCACGAGGCGCTCGAGGTCGAGGCCCTCCATCAGCACGCGCACGCCGCCGTTGACGTCGCCCAGAACGTTGGCCGAGGGCACGAACACCGAGTCGAATATTAGCTCCCCCGTGTTCGAGCCGCGCATGCCCATCTTGTCGAGCTTGCGCGCGCAGCTGAAGCCTGAGGAGGTGGATGTCTCGATGATGAAGGCCGTGATCCCTTTCGACCCGGCCTCGGGCGCCGTCTTCGCGTATACCACGACCACATCCGCGTCCGGCCCGTTCGTGATCCACATCTTCGTCCCCGAAAGCAGGAACCCGCCGTCGACCTTCTTCGCGCTCGTCCGCATGCTCACCACATCGCTTCCCGCCCCGGACTCCGACATAGCTAAAGCGCCTACCTTGGTCCCCGCGATCAGGTCCGGGAGGAACTTCGCCTTTTGCGCCGGCGTGCCGTTGAGCTGCAGCTGGTTGACGCACAGCTGGCTGTGCGCGGCGTAGCTCAGCGCGATGCTGCCGCTGGCGCGAGATAGTTCTTCCATCACCACGCAGTGCGCCTGGTACCCCAGCGCCAGGCCCCCGACGTCCTCGTCCGCCGTCATGCCGAGGAAGCCCGCCGACCCGAGTTTCCCCCACATGTCCGCCGGGAACGCGTTGCTGCGGTCGGTGTGGGCTGCGACCTCCGGCGTGATCTCGCGCCGCGTGAAGTCTTGCACGCGCTCGCGCAGCTCGGCTAAGTCGGCTGTGCTGGGCGGTGCGAAGTCTTTGGGGTGTTTTGAGGATGCGAAGGTTCGGACGTGTTGTGATGATGGTGATGCGAGAGAGGGTGAGAATGAGAGGGATGAGGTGCGTGGGACGGGGGGCTTAGTGGGGGAGAGGGGGACACGTGTTGGGCGTGTGAGAGCTCGGAATGCCTTCATGCTTGCCATTATGATATTCTACCGAACTATTGTAACAATTAGGTGAGGTATCAAGTTTAGGAAAGGGAAGTTTCGATTGTATTACAGAACAATGGTTGACGATAATCGATAGTCGGTTTATCGAGGCGTAAGGGGCGCCGTAGGTCACAGCGGCTGGGCTCGGCATAGCGGCTACCACCGGTGTGCTGCATTCCTTCCCTGGAATCCCGACGTCAGCTGCCTCGGCTGCAGATACCTACGTCTTTCAACTTCTTAGTAAACTCAGGTAGCTTTTAGCTCTCTTTTATACTGAAAGACTGCAATACCAGTATGTAGCAGAATACGCAATACCTTCAATATGTCTGTACCAAGATGCTCGAGAGACCTGTGGGGTTTCTCTCGCCAATTGACCCGACAATGCTCACGACGCCCCCATCGACCCTTCCGTCTTCCCGCTCGAACAATCGCGTCTTACACGGCCCCGTACCAGGCAAATGCTATATCCGTTATACAGAGTAGCGTTGACTCGACATCAGACGAGTTCAAGGAAAATGAGCGGCTTATGGGAGAGGCCATGGCCCGTCTGGAGCAACTGACTCGCACGGCTCAGCAGGGCGGCCCTGCAAAAGCTAGGGATAAGCATATTGCGAGGAAGAAGATGCTGCCGCGAGACAGAGTCACAGCTCTAGTAGACCCCGGCACGACGTTCATGGAACTGTCGCCATTGGCGGGTCACGAACTTTATCCAGAGGCCGATGTGCCTGCAGGAGGCATCATTACTGGGGTTGGGGTTGTGGAGGGCGTCACGTGTGTGATAGTAGCGAACGACAGCACGGTAAAAGGAGGCACGTACTATCCCATCACCGTGAAGAAGCACTTGAGAGCCCAGGCCGTAGCCCAGGAGAATAAATTACCGTAAGTTAAGCTACAATATTTCACGGTGAGACGAGACAGGTTTAGTATGACATACATATATTCTAACTCGATGGCAAAATAGCTGCATATATCTGGTGGACTCGGGCGGTGCAAACCTTCCTCACCAGTCAGATGTCTTCCCAGATCGCGACCATTTCGGCCGAATTTTCTACAACCAGGCGAGGATGAGCTCTCAGGGGATCCCCCAAATCTCGGTGGTTATGGGTTTATGTACTGCAGGCGGAGCTTACGTCCCTGCTATGAGCGACGAGAACATAATCGTAGAGGGGCAAGGACACATCTTCTTAGCTGGACCACCCCTCGTCAAAGCAGCTACGGGCGAAGAAGTATCAGCTGAAGAGCTCGGCGGTGGTGTGATGCACACTTCGGTATCTGGCGTATCCGACTACCTAGCCGTAGACGACGCACACGCCATCGTGCTAGCAAGACGGTGTGTTAGCAACTTGAACTGGCCGCATAAGGCAACACCTCCTTCAACGAGTTATTCCGAGCCTCTCTACCCAGCATCGGAACTTTTAGGCATAGCATCCACAAACCTGCGCAAGCCGCTCCCGATCCACGAAGTTATTGCGCGGATCGTCGACGGCTCGCACTTTTCCGAGTTCAAGCGGGACTACGGGTCGACGCTCGTGACGGGCTTCGGCAGTATTTACGGGCAGCGCGTGGGCATCGTGGCCAACAACGGGATCCTATTCGGCACGTCGGCGCAGAAGGGGGCGCACTTCATCGAGCTGTGCGCGCAGCGCGGGGTCCCGCTCGTCTTCCTGCAGAACATCGCGGGGTTCATGGTGGGCGCGCAGGCGGAGCGCGACGGCATCGCGAAGCACGGCGCCAAGCTCGTCACGGCCGTGGCCTGCGCCGACGTGCCCAAGTTCACGGTCGTGGTCGGCGGCAGCTACGGCGCGGGCAACTACGGCATGTGCGGCCGCGCTTACGGCCCTAGGTTCCTGTGGATGTGGCCGAATGCGCGGATCGGCGTCATGGGCGGAGAGCAGCTCGCTAGCGTTATGGAGACGGTGGGCCAGAGGGCGGATCCGGAGCTGAGGGATAGGATCGAGAGGGAGAGCGACGCTGTGTACTCTTCCGCTAGGCTATGGGTGAGTACTGAGTACTACTTTATTTGCTCATCTCTCGTATCGCCTCGTTCTTTTTTTGGTGTTGTCTGCTAACCTTTGCTCCTCGTACTGTAGGACGACGGCGTCATCCCCCCACAGCATACGAGGCGCTACCTCGGACTGGGATTGAGAGCCGCGCTGTCGGGTCGGAACGATGTCCAGCCTGGTGATACCAGATTTGGGGTCTTCCGGATGTAGCACCTCGCACCCGACGGATGGGGCCTACTTTTCCAATCTATCTACGACTCGATCTAACTCTACGTCAGAGGGTTGCCTTGCCAGTTTGCCTAACTTTCGAAATATGCAGGCCTGTTTTACCCACGCCGGTCTTACGCGTGATCCCACAAGGTGACTTTTTACGAGCGAGTTTTACGGTTCACCTAGGTGCTGTGCCCGAGGGATTGGGAAGCGGTGAAGAAGAATGGAGGCGGAATTTTCGAAAAAGTCCTTTGGGACTTACTTGACCGCCTCGTCTTGTTTGTAGAGACCCCCCTCTAATACGAGCAAGTTACGATCCGCCCAATGGCTACGGCTCAGCTGGGCGATTAGGTGATTTCTCGTCAGGGTTCGTCCATGTAAGAGGACGGATAGGGATTTACGGGTTTTAAGGCTCGGCCAATGGGTTAGAGAGGCTCTTATCAGAATTTGAATGGAATTTGATGATCTTGTCTTTGCTCGTTGACTGCAACGGCGGTGACCTAGAGGGGTAGCGAGGGGGTGTTTGTTGTCCCTTTTTGACGACAGCAATTACGGCGATGACATTTTCCCGCATGATTGTAGGCCATTGAGCGGGCAGGACGGATTATCGGTTATGGAGTAATAGATGGGAATCTGTGGTTTCTTCCTGTTCCTCCTTACTCGATACACAGAGATGAGATGGGATGATACGGCGTCATGTGCATAGCCGTCGAGTCGCCAGCTGGTCCAACGTAGTGTATCCGTCTCGCTGCTCACCCCATCCGGGTTCGTCGGAATCCTATCAAGTGAGGCACCGAAAAGGATGAGAAATGGAGCCATTTTCCTTTCTGTGATAACTCGGAGACGCCGTTGCATTTTTGTAGGTCATGTTGTCTCGTTGCCTTACACGTGTACTTCGATGTGATAATTGATATCCCCATTCCCGACGTCGCTGGTTCTTCGTGATGGTATGTACCTGCGAGGGATCTGGACACTGTGGGATGTATACACCCAAATTGCACGCAAGTAAGGTGTAATTCATATGAAAATTCATTGAGAGGCTGTTACACCAGGCCCGCAACGTGGGGTTTGTGGGTCCTCTCCCGCATAACCTAGTAGGATTGGGGTTTGCTGCCGGCTAGCTGTAGCCCTGAAGGTTAGAGTTTTGGCTGTTCAAGGGGGCCGGGGACCTGAGATCAGCGGTCGTTGTGTACGGGTGCGCTAGCCTTGAAGGTAGGCACATGGGTGCATCTTTACTTCCTAGAATAGCAATCCAGCCTGCCAACCTACATTCCCATCTCTTCACTATTTCTGCATTTGTAGGTATTAGGCAGTCACATTTCACCTGAGAATTCTTTTACGGATCTTACATAAAAGGTCCCGGGATCTATTATTCTGTTCTACCGTGTGACTCGACATTTATTTTCTCCCACTCGACGCAAGAGTGAAGCGGTATGCGGTGTAAGCTGACATATGACAGAAATAGTGAGCAAGGGAATAGGTTTGGGCGAACCAGCAAACGCGCAGAACCCGAGGTCTCGTTCTTGGATGCCTATAAGCTCGATGGCAGCATGGCTTACTAGGTACCTAGGTAGGTGCCTAGGAATTTGTCTTACATAGCTCTCTGTTAGCGCAGCAGCTTTAGGGATGACATCCATAAATCCTGACCGTCCCCTGAACAGGTGAGCAAATCGAAACCTGGCGCACTAAAAGCGAGCGAATCGAAACACAGCGCCGTCCGCCTTAGGGCAGGTTGCCTGGAATCCTTTTGGCGACGGTAGGCCATCCCGCTTTATTGGCCCCCACGAATCTAGGAAGGACGGGCTACTAGGGTATATAGGTGACTAAGGTGAAAAAATACATAGATCTGCAGAACCGACATATTAGAGATCTTACTAAGGTCGGGAAAGATTCAAGGATTAAAAAATACCTAGGTTAGAGAGAAACTAATGAGAAAGGAGAGAAAAGGAAAACATTTTCAAGGATAAGAAATTTTATTTTATTATTATCCTATTTGACGACGACACCGCCACGGCCGGTCCGCACGGCGGAGCTGGCGATCCTTGGTCTTTTCGTCCTTGATTTTTAGTGATCATGTACCGCGCATGATTTTGACTTATTATGTGAGTTCTATCTTGAATGCCCTGGTGGACTCCTACGTCACCGACGGGTCTTTGGGTTCTCGTCCTCGTATACCACCTACCTAGGTACTCAAGCGCGCAGTCGTTTCGTCGCCTTGGACGCCTTCGCCACATGGCTACTACATATGTAAAGGGAGCGATCGGAGTAAAGTGTGGGAATATCGGCGCGTCCGGACTCCGCACTAGAAAGGTAGGCGGCGGACACAGTACCCAGGTTGTGGCGGCGGAGAAGAACAAGATAGATAGAAAGTGGCTTTAGGTAGATATCCGATATACGAGAAGTTGACACGGATATGTGTCTTGCTTGTTAATTTGTTCTACCCATAATACTTACCGGTATACATAGATAGAAACATTAATAATCGGTAACGATGTCGTGTCTCCCACATAATTATGGAAATGTCCATTTTATTAGGTGTATCATCATATAATTATCCTTATCAACTTGGTAGTATATGCGTACGTGCGCAATGTGGGTTGCTCGTTCGTCGGTCAACTCTTCGAATCAACTTGGGCATGGCCCGTTGATAGAACGTTGCGCGGCTCCGACCCAGGGTAGATCCGTTTCCTCAAGGGTTTGCTTGGTCTTTTTTTCCGAACGGGAAAAGCGAGCCCTTGCCCTGTTCCTTTCCGGTGAACGCTTTCGGGTGCCCGCATGGCCGCAGAGTTGTAGACGCCGCGTCGCGCGTGGGGGGAGGGAAGGATGGGGGCTTCTTTTGGTTCTGGAAGGTCTTGGCACTTGGCGGCTTTCAGCACTCCTGCATACAAATAGTATTTTTGGTTTTTGCTAGGGCATACATTAGACAGTCTTAATCAACCATCAAGGTTGGTATATAGATAATCATATGTATCCTTTTTGAAAGGTATGGCGCCGTAGTCTCGGGATGCGACAAGGTCATAATGCGAACGGATGTGTGCTTTAGATTCGATTGCGATACAACTAGACCCTGGGAGTCAAGAATTCGACATTAGTAATTGCAATTCTCTCCTGCTGATGATCGACAATCCGTTAATCCCTGTGACCTTGTGACCTCGTTATTCTGTTCTTGGTCTTATTTTCCTCTTCCTTCTTTTCTATTTCACCTATCAAACCCTTACCTATGCTCTCCCCCCCTTGGACTGTGTCGAGTCAGGGCCGTCGGGTCGTTCGGGATATTTGTGAGATATCGGCGAAATAATCCCTTGTTCCTTCGGTCTGGGTTCGGTGCGAGTTTTGAAAAGGGCGACCTTGGCTGGCTAGGTACGTAATTTGCCATGCCACGACTTGTCTTGCCTTGCCACCTACCTAGGTGAGGCAGCCTGGGCAAGCCCTGGGAAAAAACGCGACGGAGGCGACCGTAGTTTGATGGAAGAAAGGAACCTTGGAAGATTTCTAGACCCGGCAGGTCAATTAACTTTATCCTTGCAAGGCCATGCTCTTTTATCCCACGTTTTCCATCGGTTTGCGGCGGCAATTATACCTATCCTTGCAGCCAGCCTCGTTAGTCAATCAATGTTGATTGATTGATGTACATGTGTACAAATCCTGGATCCGTTAGTCCTCCCATCTCCTGACCTCCGGACCGTGCAAGGGTTTGAAAATGTAGCGGAGCTAATAAAGAGTAGCTTGGAAGAAGAAAAAAATAAACCCCTCGGACGACTTGTCATTGCTAGCATTCCACCTACTAATAATAAGAAAACAAGGGAAATTTTCGTGTCGTAGGAATGCGCTCAGCTCTCTCGATCTTTTTAGCTCCTAACTTATCTGCAGACGGTCCCAGTGAACAATGTTATCCATACCCTTCTTAACTGAATAGCCAATATTCCATGAAATAACAATGAAATAAGTTCGGAAAAAAGCGCATTCACATGTAAACGGTGATTTGTCCAACCAAACGACCTGAATATGAACATGTATTTCGGTGACATGTACACTCCAATATTTCGCCGCTACACTTATTCCGGATGACTGAAAGCAAAAAAAAAAAAAAAAAAAAAAACCCAGCGCTGATCTGATGATATTCGATGAAACGCCGGCGCAATGCATCGTATGTGAATGCCAATGCTTCTGTATAATCCCCTATCATCTCCCCTTTTATGTCCTGGAAGAACCCTCTAAAGAACGCGCTTCAAATATAAATATACACTCATGCCCGAGTACTTTTCTAGGCCCGCTGTAATCATCCTGTATAGTATCTTTTAATCGAATAGAAATGGTGGCGAAAGTTGAGCCAGTATAACAATGAACTCATCGGCGAGTTTTCTTCTCGCCTTGCCGCTCGAGTAGGAGGGTAAGTTGGCTTTTAGATCGGCCAAGCGGCACGGTCGGTGCTGTGCTTGGTTGAGTAGGGGTAAATCGTGTGTCACGTATGGAGTTTCCAGATCTTCGGGAACTAGACTCTGTATCTTCTTCGTTTCCCTGCATCGCGTTCACCATAGCTTCGTTAACTGGGTTCTCATCAAATTCAATAATGGTACCTTGAACTGTTGTGTTAGAGACGGTCGTCGTGCTTGATGATATCAAACTTTGGGATGGTGGAAGACCATCCTGCGAGCTCCGCCGTGTAGCACCCACATCTGATCTCGATCGAGTCATGACGGGGGGTATTCCTGGGCGAGGTCGCTCTTGCGCATCACTTCGCCTGTGACTCGCCCCACTTTGGCTCGTTTTCGTATGCCTAGCATCATTCGCGGATATTTTCTTAGGGTTATTGACTGAAGAGTCTAGCTGCCCTAAGTGAGAGGCCGCGTCCTCGCTTACCAATTGACGGCTGTGAGTACCGCCAGTCTGGGAACTGCCGGATTTTGCGACGCCTGGTTTTTCAGACGATGATCGAGCTGCTGGTCGTTTTCCTGCCGCCTTCGCACTTAACCGTTCGCCTTCTTTAGTCGTCGTCGTCGTCGTCGTCGTCGAAGCCCCTCCTTTACCCGACTTTTCTAGAATCGTTGGGACCGAGGTCTGCGACCCCGAATTCTTCGAACCGGAGGAAGAACTCCCGTCCTTTGGCCCAGGTTCAGGCCCAGTAACAGCACTAGAAGATTGAGAACTAATGCGTCGCGGCATAGCGGGTCTACGCCTAGAGGCCGTAGAGGCTACGATCTTCTTCTTTGGCGTTGTGTTGGTAGCCTTCTTCCTTTCCTCCTTGGCTGTCGAACTAGTAGAACCCCTGGAATCACCGCTGTGGTTCACCGCTGTGCTCCCGGATGAGCCAAGATCGCCCTCTTTACTATCTTCACCCTCCCCATCGGATCCCGGTGGCGATACAAATCGAGCTGTAGGCCGCGGTCCAGAACTTGAAGGTCCCCTAGGCTTCTTCAGAATGGGATGTGGCTGCTTTGTAGATGTTGGCGTAGACTTCGTAAACTTCGCCTTGCCGTTTGACCCGGATTCAGAAGGACCCCCCACCGATATCTCAGAGCTAGTTTGGACTATAGGGGGCGATTGCACTTTCGATTCAGGTCTAGGAGGTGAAGGCTTTAGGGTTAATGGTCAGTAAGGATCACCACTCGACGTCACAAAACTTACTGGCTCGTATCGATTTGGTGGTCCACGTAATTTGACAAAGCTTTCCTCCTCGGATATGCTTTTAAAAAGTCGTGCAATAACTGTTCCTGGAAGATAGCGACGGTCACCACCTAAGACACGAGTCCAAAAATTCTCAAGCCGTCTAGCAGTAGGGTCGACAAGTTCCCGAGACGTCGTGGTGAATACTGCAATACGATTAGTATTAATCACACCGGATGTGGTTAGGATGTATCTTGACCATGGCAAGCGGCATGTATCTGTTCTAGTGGAACAATGTCGTACTTGGCTATTTCTGCGTAAATGTCGTTTCTATTGAACACAATGCCCTTCGGCAGTATCATGTCCGTCATCTTGAGCGGATATAGCTGGGCGGAGAACCGTCGACCTGGAAGCCCACGGTAAATGTGAGCTTCCGGCAGCGACGAATATTAAAAATATCGCGATCTGTAGCCCTTCGGACTCTGCAATTCATAGTTGGCACGTCAGGAGCTCATACAATAGGGCTGATCGGATCGCCTCATCAGCTTGGAGCCGCCGTGGTGGTTACCGCCAATACTCGCCAAGCTATTCCTTGCTGAGATTTCAGCTTGTCCAAGGATGGATACTGCTCCACACAAGTGGTCTCACTCTAATGCATCGAGTAGCCTAGAACAGCAAGGCTTTTCTGGGCCTCTGGAAGGTGGCCGGCAGCCAGCAAACACGTTGGAGCCCTAGTGAAATGCTGAGACACGAAAATAGTAGGCGGGATCTGGTCATCTGTTTGCCTGTCCGAGGTGACACATTACCAGCTCTGGACTATGAGCAATTGGATATCGGAAAGTCCAGGTCGTTCTGCGCCCTAAGTGATCGACTGGTAGATGTAGAATTAGTCGACGAGATGAGTCGTCGAGATCGAAACGTAACTAGAGAGTAGCTACATTGGTGAGAGATGATTAAATATGCAAACGGACTGAGCAGATTTGTCGGGGTAAGTTTCTCTCGTCTAGACGAACTAGATGCCAGCACCAAAAAGGGATATTCGACTTCCGGAAAATAAGTAAAGGACTAATAAAGAGAAGAAAAGATACAAGTTAGGTGTTGCCGATTATTCGGGATAAATTAGTATTAGGCCGTCAATGGGCATGATCTAGTTGAGGTCAACGAGATATGGTAAATGTGGTGAATGTATTGGTAAAGAAATAAGTATGAGGTGTGTAGTTGGGTTAGTTAGAGAAAGGACGGGATGTAGACGGGATGTAATTTGAGCTTGTGGTAGACGAAAAGAGGAAGTAGTCCATGATTTCACAAGCTTCGGTGGGAAAATTACCTACATCCATAGGTAGCTCAAGGTATCTTTAGACCAGTAGGTCAGGTGTGTATCAATGTACCTGCCTCCCAAGGGATGGTAAATGGGATGGTAATGACACTGACAATGAGAGGTACCCGTTACGGTACTACTAAGTCTGGCTTGGTCTTGCCCTTTTGCTGGATGTAGGCATTTTACTTTGTATTTCCCTCTTGCTTGTGAGCTGTGAGCCGCGCAGCGCCTTCCGCCTTGGGTCAGTATTATGGATGCATCATGTATTATAACCCAGCAGCTGTAAATGATGGGTACATCTGGGCAGTGAAGCAGGAACATCCATTAGAAACTTTGGAAGCACCTGGGCAGCTGCTGGGCAGATTTTAGTAGTTTCGGTAGAAATCAAGCACTAATGTTTTAGTGTCTATGGTGGATACGACCCGCTAAAGATCAATGGACCCTAGTACATAAAGGCCTTCCAACGAGAGAGTGGGAGCAGGAGCATCTAGGTAGACCAGGTGGGAGGTCACAGCATCATCCTCGGCCTTTTTTTTTCTTCTCATTCTCCATTCTATCTCCGTTCCTCCCTCCTACCACCTACACCTATGAATCCTCTTTCACCATAGCAGCACGGCTAACTCGACGAAAATTCATAGTTAGCCTCACATTAAGCTACTTAGTTTAAAAAGTCCAATTGCAATAAAAGTCATCTTGCCCACCATCCAACGGAATTAGTCAATTTTTAGACTGCTCCGGAATCTCGGACAGTACTCATGACATGGTTTATCGCCGTCTGCCTTGATCCTTGACTTTAAAGACTACTTTAAATCACCAGGAACAACGTTAGTGGTAGACCGGTTTCGCGGAACCGGGTCGCACGCACATATGGACAAAACCTTATTAGTCGATGGAAGAGCTGAGTGCCTCTCAAGATAAGGGGGAAATATAGTATGAAGTATTTACATTCATCCATCATGTCTTTGACCTTGATGCGGTATGGGGTCAGAGTTTGATGGTTGACGGTTGATCGTAAGTACGATTGACATCATCACCATGAAGGAATCCGTCCTTCCTTCTCTGCTCAATGTCAGAGACCCGTTGCGTTGCGTTGCGTTGCGTTGCGGCCGTGACTCGCACGAAATACCCCGGTATCCCGGAGACTTCGAATTACATGCCGCCCTCAATTTGGAACTTGGAAGGATCCCGACATTTATCGTACGTACGTAGTCTGTCTGTCCAAACAAAAGGCAAGGGCTTCGGCTTCGGCGTCGGTCTGCCTTCCCCCACGTTTTTGGCGGACCCCAGCTGCTATTGTTGGAATCGCCCAGCGTTCTAGAATGCTCAGAAGACATACCTACCTAGGTATGTCCGTCCAGTTAGGAGCCCTTCCGTCGGACGTCTCATCGATGACCTAGCGAAGAACAGCCCCGTCGTTTCCGCATCCAGTCCACGTGAATTAGGCGGAGTTGAGTTGTGCTAAACGGAAAATACTGATGCGACAACGATAGGAATCACAGGCAACCTCACTTATCTGGACCATGTCAACTCGTCACTTGACCCGGATGTCGTCACTGACCGGCAAGATCGACAACGTATTCCTCTTCATCCATAACTCGGTGTTTTATCATTATCCGAGTCCTCTTCGCAATGGTAAAACGTCCTTTTTAGAGCTATGACAACCTAATGGTCCCTATCATCCGGAGCGCCGCGCTCCTTTGGTGTTAGGCGTCAAGTCAGACCTTAAGTGGATCAATACAGACACGACGGACGTGCACTTGATAATTCCGCCAACTCCTACTCTTCGCACACCGCTATCTCAAGCTTGAGTAACGGACTGATTTTTAAGAGCGGTGGATGGTGCTACTATGGTCGCTATTCCACTAGACCGTTACGCCATTTTTTAGGGAGAAGATGGGAAACTGTCATGTTCAAGGCGCCGGCTTAGGGGACCACACGGGAAATTCCTCATTGCAGGCGTTGTCAAGCGACATGTGAGATTTGAAAGCTACTTGCTAATCTAGGTCTCGCAGGTCTCGTTGGCTAGCTAAACGAGCTGCCGTTCTCTACCAGCGCGTCGTCAAAGTTTCTTGCACCATCGATACCCTTCATTTCCCTTTGTAGGTTCTTCCTCATCTCCGGCCTCAAGATCTACCCCCTTGCGGGGGACACCAAGGGTCGTGTGACCTGCTTGACTACGGCGCTTCTCTTGAGCCCAAACGCCAACCATTGGCCAGAATGTAACGCACAAGCATCAGAAAAGCAATCCCCGTGACCTTCTAGCGGAGATAAAGGCTAGCAATAATGATTTTATCTGATTTTACGTCAGGAGGACCTCCAGCTGTTACAATTCCCATGCTAGGGTCGAATTAAACGTTTCTTTACCAAAGGGTCGCATTCGGCTGAAGGTTAATAGCTCTCCATTCCCCGCCCTTTGCGCGCGGATGTCTTCAACGATCTACAATACCTACCTAGGCACGCTGCAAGGCTCAGTAGCTAAGGGCCTAGAGACCTAAACATTAATACAACCACCGTACGGAGTATCTCCACCTTTTCGGCAGAAACCATGTGCAGAACGCACGGGTACTCACACCGAATGCCTCACTCTCTCTACTTGCTTCGAAGAAGCTGAACTATCATGTGATACGCAACAATTAGTTTCGCAAGTTCGAGACCGAATCGCAGAAAACGAGCCGAGGGGCCTCGAACAGCATATGGCTTTTTTTACCCTAGCTATAGTTACATACCTAGGTAGCCACATAAATACCTATGCTTGTCATGAATGCGCCCAATTGAGAAGAATGGAATTTGGCATCTTCCCGATTACCTCTTTGGACACAGAAGCTAGGTACAGTTTCAGCTTTCCGTAGCCATGCCTCGTTCTCGTTTCTCAATCGCAGACTCAAGACCATTCCCCAGGCTTCCCCTTTAGGAAAGTCACCGTTTACTTCTCCCGATTGGTCTAAGCGAATCGGAGTCCGGCCACGAGGCTCGGTGATCACATAACATTACTCGTACATATATAATACTCATTTTGCGCACAGCATGAGAGATCAGAGATTGGGAGATTGTACTCTCCATCCAAAATCAAGCAAGTAGTCTAGAAGCCGTCAAAGAACTACTTGGCGTTTCTTGTAGCGGCCATAAGCTGAGCTGCGTCAATAGCGCCGGTCTCCTGGGGCCTTTCTCGCGCCATTAATTGCCGTATATTGACTCTCCGGTCCCCACCTGCAGGAACGCGCATACGTTGCTCTCAGCCAGGCCAATCTCTTCCACATTCACATACATCTAATCCACCGGTGAACGGTACGTCGGTCAGAGCATCTTCTTTGTGACTGACAGATCACACGAATCCTTTCGGAAGCGCCGTCGCGGCCCGGGCTGATTATAGCAGCTCTTGTATTATCATCCCCTAGGGGTGCAACTGCAACCCTGATGTCACTGAAGCTTCCGAATTGCGTTCCCGGCCAAAGTACTCCTGCGGCGTGGATAGCCTTGTCTTAATGGCTCGTATCCCGACGGTTCGGCCTATGGTCCGGAGAGGAGGCTGATACTCGTTACAATAACATTTCTAGCCGTTACACAAAAGGTAGTCATCTGCGTGACTTCTGCGGGAAGGTTACAATTTTCAAATACGGACATCACCATCCTTATCATCGACCGCAAGCTAATACCATCTCCATCTCCTAAGACAGCAACATCAGGTAAGCAATAACGACACAGAGGGTTATCGTTAACATATTTCCCCTCTTTCTTCAATTGATATGTTATACTTGACTCGTACAGCAGTTATCAAGCATGGAATCTGTCAGGTGAGGTCCCGATTCGGAGACTATTTGCTTAATTTTACACATGAATAGTCCGTTGTTCATTGTTATTTCCTCAGAACGAGGGGATTTAGGGGAAATACCTTTCGCCAAGTTCTACCTAGGTCTAGAAGCTACCTAGGAATGTAGTTAATATATCACGCTTAGTAAGCTATGGTATTACGGAACCTATCATCATCTCTATTTATTATTTATGAACTCCGAGATTAGCGCGGGTTTCGTGGGTCCCACCACTCTCACGGTCTATCAAGCCACGCGGCGCCGGATACACCTCCTTCCTGTCACTGAAGATCTATAACTGGGGGAGATCCCTTCAAACTGAATGTCTTACGTAGAAGGCGTCCGTTTAGTTAAAGTTTGAAGGCGGGTTGAAGCTATTGAGTTGACAATTGTACTCAATGTCGCAAGTCTGGTTTTTCGTCAAATGATCAGAGGTACTTACAAGACAGTATTCGAAGGTAACAAGATGCGAGATGACACACGCAGGCAGTATTGTTATCCAACGTAAGGACTTTCGAATTTTCCACCTCGTGAAAGGAGAATGACGTGCGCTGCCCCTGAGGCCAGCGTCATATACCCGATTATGATACTGCCAGGAGGCTTCTACTAACTGGAATTTTGTCTAAATGAAACATAAGTGCTTACTCGAAACTTACATAATATGAAGAATTTTCTTTGCGATTCTATTTGTCCTTGACTTTTCTTTCAAGTTTAATGTAACATGGTCGAATGTAAGATTTGGTAGTTGAGCCCCTGAAAACCATGCATGACCAATCATATGGGACGTCAACTTGAATACTTCAAGCTTAATGAGTGTTAAGAAAGAGAAAAAATAATGATATATTATCTCTTCGATTGGCCGTTGTCGCCAGCCAGGGATTAGGAGGCAATATACAGTTTCACATGATCTGATTAACCAGACCCAGCATGAATGGTACATGGTGTTATATCTATTCTACCTTGAATCATATGTACCAACAGTGCCCTAAACCGAGGTTTTGTGGGTGTTTAGTTGTATTTTTCCTGCTGATCCCTGGCTGGCGACAACTGTCAGTTAAAGAAATATGGCTTCAATAGTTATGAATATTGTCCGACGGGTAAACATTGCCGTCGAGACAAAAACATGACACCAAGCTACTGCAATGGAAGTTATCATCCGCCCTCTTCATTCCGAAAAGAAAACAATGTCCGGCCCTAAGTCTAGCATATGATGTGCTCCTTAGCAAGCACGATGATTCTGCGGTAATGTGGCACTCTCAGCGGCGTGGGTTAGCAAGTTTGACGTTGAAATAGCCAAGAAGAAACTTGTTCAAATCATGAAATTCGACGATATTTGGCATGTAAGCTTCCTTCCAGTTTTCTATGTCACATTTGAAGAAAGATTTAGGTAGATCAGACTGTCTAAATACGAATGTATTGGTTTTATCTAAGGGAAACTCAGGACTCTTTAGATACTACCTAGGTACCTACTCATTCAATCTAGGTAGCTGAAAAGTCATTGCTGCTAATGATCGTATACCTATCTAATATTCATTACGAATATTCCCGCCAAACATCGATACAACACAAACGTACGTAGGTAGGATTGACATGCTTTGTCGGATCTGATAAGTAAAGTTCTGTCCAAATTCTCCGAGCTGAGTTTCATTCTCAATGCCGCGCGGCGCCCCTGGTTGAAAATACCAATCATATCGTACGCGTCAAGTAGCGTAGCACTGCCCTTCGCGATGTACCGACTTCACGACAGTCATGATTTCTAAGCTGGCATCAGTATGGCCAGTGCGTCCAAAGGGCTGCATTCAGAGGGAAACAAGGCAACTAGAATAGCGCAAGGTCATTCGACGCTTGGTTGGATCTTGCGAGTGGCTACGTAGCTGTAACGTAATCTCGCCGAGCGCAGCCATGGCACGGTCTACCATACAAAAAGCCTGAGAATCAAACTTAAAAGATGGTTGGCCCGAACACACGAAAGAGAAATCCAGCCAAGGGAAAGAAGCCTATGAAATGATGGATTTCGGAAGCATTTACCATGCAGATGATATGGTTGGTTGAAACCCGGCGAATTATCGTGACTGGGCGCGTGAGCCGTGAGCTGTGAGGCCAAGATATTCCGGGGAGATGAAAACAGTGGTTGGAGGACAAGGGATACGATCAGACCGAGAACCGGTTTTGTCGAGGTGAATCTTGGTTCGACTAGAGCTGATACATCTCAGGGGTCACCGAGTCGAGGGAAATTGCTTGCGGGCCATCCCCTATGTTCAAGCCACCTCGATGCATAGTGCGATTCCGTATATACGTACGCAACTAGGGTGTAGATATCACAAAAGTTCGATCTCTGTAAGTAGACTTTGGGTATCAGACGTCAAGTTGATATGAACGATACAAAGAGCACAGTAAAAGTGGTTGGTAGGACGGACGCTGACAATAATGGACCCAGCTGGAGCTCACATATCAAGCGTAACAACATGATACTTGCGTACTCGAGATACGAAGCTTACCTCAGATGGAGGCTCGAGCTAGTATCAATAGAAAGTTCTGTGTTCACATGATCTACAATGCTTTGCTTAAGCGAGAATTTAAAATTTCTGTAACATCTATTCTCCTCGGCCGGGACCCAACCTAAGGTGAGCGAGAAAAGGATCCTTGTTAATAGACGAGCCAGACTCTCGGGTCAGGTTCACACCTTCAACCCCCTTTTTGCGAAAGAATCTCCCGAGCGTAAGGCATCAACGCTTTGCGGATCCGGGTATTTAAAAGCACGGCCCGAGCTGTCTGGGTTCTGGGGGGTTTTGCTAGTCGAGATCGTCCCGCTTTCTAGAGCGGACGTTTGCCTCTTTTTTATTTGCTTTTGCCGTCCGTGCGGATAGCCCGGCAGGGCAAAATGGGGACGGATGGGCCAGGGTTTTATCACAGGCCCATCCCAGCAGAGAGGCTTCTGCCCAACGACCCCCGGGGTGTTGGGCTGTAATAAGTATCTCTCGTCGAGGCAAGGTATGTAGGTCGGAGAACACCCCTTCGAAGATCACAGCTGAGAGAATCCTTAAGGAGCGCGTCCGGACGAGCGGGTTATGTCCGCAAATGGTGTTAGGACTTAGGGGATTAGGCTAGCTGCCTTGCGGAAGGTGCGGAATATTAGACCTGCAAGGTAGGCACTCGGATGCTCTTCACAAAGATTCACGGTGTGCGGAAGAGGCAATGTACCTTTTTCTTCACTGCTCGGGAGGGATGAGAGGAGTTGGGCCGTGTTGGACTAGGGTTTGAACACACAGGTGAATTCGACTCGCTGATACGACTTGTCATTTCCTATTGGACAAGGTTAAGGGGGCCGAGACTTTGTTACGGTCCGAGAACAACAACGTGGTCTATTGTTTGCATAGAAACACAACTATTGTTCCATAGCGTCGGGCACCCGCTTTCCTTCTCTCTGCCCGACGACGAATTTCACGAACCAACTAACGACCGCGCTGTCGACCCTCAGATGCAGTAGCGCTTAATAGTCCTTTCGCGATATAGCTCATCGGGGACACCGAATCTCCACGCGCCAGCCCCTAATACGCCCCTTCGCGCTCCTGCCACGCTGGCTGGGGAGACGACCAAGGTTTTCTGTAGCCAGACCACAGCGGCATCTCCGGCTCCAACGAGAAGCCACCGAGCTTCGCCCCGCCCACGTCGAGAGACCAGAGCGTAAGCGCGACGGTGTTCGCGCCGTTATGGTTCAGTATGCCCTCCGGCACCGGGAATGTGGTCTGGGGCCCCAGATTCGCGACGTACTTGCCGAACTGCCACCCATTGACGAACAGCTGGCAGCGGTAGTTGGAAGCGATGGCAGCGGTGGACGTATTCGCGAACACGAAGCTAAGCGGCACGTCGTAGCCCGCGGGGACGTCGAGGTCGAAGGTCGTGGTGAAGAAACCGATGCCGGCAGATTTGATTCCGTTGATGATAGGGTTCGAGACCTCCCAGTCCTGGCTCGGAGGTGAGGGCTGGTGATACCCTTGCCGCTCTGCGAACATGGCGCCCTCGTTACGCGGACCGCGCGCGAGATCGTGGTACGACTCGCCGCCGAGATTGCCCGTCAGCTTCCACGTCACGTCCGACTGCGCGTGTCCCGCCAGGTCGAAGTTCATGATGCCCATCGGCGCTTTTATCACGTCCGTTCCTGGCGCTTCTTCGTCTTGACCCATGTGATCGATCACCAGCGTGAAGACATACGGTTTCCCGTTCCCGAGTGTGTGGGAGGAGAGCGAGATAGTGTCGTTGTGCGTGGGCTCGCCGCCTCCTTCGTCCGATCCGTCCCAGGAGGCAACGAATACGTCGTTGAGCCAGAGCGAGTAGCCGAAGGCATTACCGCCCGTTAGATTGAGGAATAGGGTCGATTCTTCCCCGTTAGCAGTGAAGTGGCCGCGATATATAAGTGATCCGCTGTGGAAACCGTAGTCGCTTGCATAAAGAGAGGTGGGCGTGAGGAGAGATTGCGGGTTGTTTGTCGATGGGTTCTCACATGTGACCCAGTCTGAATCGTCGTAAGAGTCTTGGATCTCGGGGAGGGAGTCGATATATTTCCACTTCAGAGTAGTGAAGTCAGGAAGAGTGATTTCAGGTGCTCGGAAGTCCAACCGCGCTGTAAGTTTCCCGTCTCCATTCAGATCTCCTTGGAGAGGTTCATCGTTGAAGGATATATGCTTGACTTTGCCAGTAGGTTCATAGATGAGCTCGATATCAACGGTTCTGTTGATGTCGCCGGTGAGACGAAGTGTTTCCCCATCTATGACTGCTGTACGGACTAGATAGGGGCCCTTCACTACCACGGTAGATTTTGGTGGAGAAGAGTAGTTTGCGGTTGGTGCCTCTGCTGGGAGCTCCGTAACCCAGTAATTATATGCATCGTTGCGCCATAGCAAGAGTACCTCGAAGTCGTTGCTAAGTTTTAAGATTCTCCTATCTGTAGAGACTTTCCACTGAACGACCAGTGCATCGGAATGTATCTTCTGAACTTTCACATTAGTGTCATTTAGTTTTGTCTCTATAGATGCTCTTGACATGGTTGTCAAATCAATGGCAAATTCATGAACTTCTTCAGCTCCGCCATAAAGAATCAGTGTTCTTTTGCCTGACACATCTTTCGCCCATGTAAATATCTCTGCTGTGCAATATACCAGGTTAACTCCTCCTACATCGTAGTCGGTTACGTGGATCTTCGAGTCTCTTCGCGTTAGAGTCAATTCTCCGCCAAGTTGAGGTATCGACATGTTTCCAATACTTGTGAGAATGTTGAGCTTGTAACTGGTTGTGTCTGTCGAGGTCCAAATAGCGTGACGAATGATGTAAAAGTTTGTTGAAAAGTCGGTCCCAAATATTAGTGTCGTAGCGATCTGATCTGTTGATACATATGATCCATTGGACGCATTTCCAGCAATTGCAGTTAGATACGCGGGCGATACTTTGAAGAAGTTGGCCTCGAGCTTTTCCTCTGAGTATTTCTCCCGCCATATATGACGATTCTCCTTTATTGCAGCACCATAGTCATATGAGCTATCACCACCTCTGTATCCCAAGTTCCCCCAATTTGTTCCGCCATATGTCTATAGTAGGTATCATTAGCATAATATAATAAAATATTGACGGTTACGAAGCAACCTACCATGTAGATATTGAAAATCTTGATAGCAAAGCTGTAGTTATTCTTCCATAGAACGCGAACCGACTCCTGGTTAACCAGCGCATTGCAGGCATCCGCATTGACACTGCCGAAGCTGGTGCCAGATCCTCCCTGGAATTCAGCTACGAAGAATGGAGTGTTGGGGCTATATTCCTGATGCATCGTTTGCCAGTTTTCGGGCCATCGAATCGTAGGCCAAATGTCTGGATGTGCGCCTATTTACCTATGATTAGCAATCAATTTTTCCGAAATTCGAGGGAATTCCTTGCTCACAATCATATCGCAGAGGATATGCGTCGATTCCATAAACTAATTCCGCTGTTAATGATCATGCTCGATTCTCTTTCAAGGAAAACACTTACTTTCTGTTTCGCCTAGCCCACTACCCGGCGCCCAATTGCCCTGATAGAGATGGTCGTTTACCATTTGTGGAACAACATTTCCAGCTCTTTTGAACTGTTGCTTAACATGTTCCATATATTCTCTATTCTCTTGAGCCGGAAAGTCAGAGTTATTCACATTAGGCCAAGTATCGTATTCGTTCTCTGGCTGTAACATAATAACAGGGCCTCCGTTCGTAATCTGCGCATCTGCAATCAACTTTCCCACGGTGGCGGCATAGAGCTCGGTCGTATTTACGAATTCTGCGTCGTCTCCGCGAAGAGGTGCTCGAATCCGCGCCGTCCATCCTGGATAACCACCCATAGCCGTTTCTGCATTGATGTACGGTCCAGGCCGGGCGATCAGATATATTCCAGCTTCCGCAGCAGCTTTGAAGAACTCATCAAGAGCAAATACGCCATCGAAACGTACTTGCCCTCGTGTACCTTCCACGAGACCCCAATAAGTATAGAATGTCACCGCGTTGAAACCCAGCGCCTTGATTTTCTGAAAGATGTCAAGCCACAGGCCCGGGCTTGGTAGACGCCAGGGATGAAATTCTCCAGAAAATATGAACATTCGTTCTCCCCGAATAATCATGGAATATTTATCCCATGTTATCTAATTAGAATTTAGCAATGGGTTGGAACAGGTCTGGGATAGTTCTTACCAGTCCCTCCAACTGGTCCCTTGATGCGAGCTCAGATTTCCCACTATGCGCTAATATGCTGTGCCCTCGCCCATGTGGCAGCAGGCAAAGTAAAAGACCGAACAAGATGGAAAATAACATCATCTTGATTATTATGAGGCTCTCGGCAGAGCATGGTGAAGTTGACCGGTGCAGTGCCAGTAGAGCCTATGATAACACCCCCAGAGGCGGTGCCGCCTGCTTGGAGGTGTGAGCGTTACATCCATTTTGAGCTCGGCGTGTATGTGAAGTTGTAAAAGGAGTAAAGGTGAACAATATCCCGAGCTGTGGGGAGGGTAGTAAGTACCGGGATCAAGATGATCCTTGAAGGGCTCCGCTATTCCAACTTCTCCCCCAGATTTGAAGAACAGATGCGGGGTTTGATGGTATGGGAATCCTTATCATTGGTGCAAAATCTGTTTGGTCAATTATTTCTGTTTAGGTCAACTTCATGTCTTTGTTTAATCCTTGAAACCCTTCAGAAAGAAGTTTAGTTGCATCATATGAATACCCACTGAAGCATATATGTCTAGGGATAATAGTAAGGGATTAAGTTGATACACCACACATTTCTCTAGCCGTAATGTAGTAAACGGCTATCTAGGAAGAGTTATCATGGTGTCTTGATATAAATGTGTAAATTCTTACTGAGGTACGTAGATAGAGAAGATACATGATAGTCTTCCACCGGACACAAATCCATGGCAAGTCGGCTCATAGCGGACCGCTTCACTTGCAGCGGTAGTGCGCGCGGCTCTTCCTTAGTAGGTAAGTTGTATGTATTTACTCGTACGCTAGGTCATTGTCCAGGATAAGCCCTTACGTACCTAGTTTGTATCTACCTACCTATGTTACAGCATGAGAGATAGTAGCGAGGGGATTACCGCCGGCTTCTTAGCATTGTCTTGGGTAAGAAATGGCATCGATCTGAGCAAAGCCTTTTCTAGCCAAAACTCTTTGAACATTTGACAAAGTCGAAATACCTAATCAACTCTTCGACCTGGACAGGATGTTGCCTCATTATGACTTCTTTTAAAAGCCAGAGTTGCAAGTTCAACTTTTATAGATCTCATAGTTCCTAAGTAGGTAAGTAAAAAAAAAAAAAAAAAAAAAAAACCGAAGGAATAACAGCGACAATATTTGTTTGTTAAGGAATCATGCCCTAAAATTTATGATTGTTATCATTTAGGGAGCTATATCAACTACTGACAAACATCTGCGTAGTGAAATCTTAGGAGTTCACGCTGTGAAAATTTTGATCAACAATTTACCAGTGAATGCTTCATATTGAAATTGGATCTTCCTATCATATTCCATTAAATTCCTAACATTAGAACAATTCACATTTATAATTTCAAGTCCTGACCCAGAGAGTATCGTAGCATAGTGAAAAGGTGTGTCTGAGTCTTGCTGTTGGTCTTTAATATATGAATAATGAGACAGGATTACGTAAATACTCAGATGATCAGTGAGATAAACATCATAAAAACGTGTGATATCTAAGTAATAAGATATTATTGAAGTTATGAACCCCAATTATGTTTATTATTTTCATTTACATAATTTCAACTTAGAAACTCTGTGCACGTATAAAGATGCCGAGTTTCAACATCACCACAATATCTAGGAAGAAAAGCAATCAAATAAATTCTTTTTGGAGTCTGGGAATTATAATACACAAAACTACCATAAATATATACATCAATACATATAAAATACTTATACTAGGTAAGAAGCTCGAATGCACATCGTTTCGTTTAACGATTAACGAGGCATTTTTGGATGAGTCTACACTATCGAGGTTTATGATAAGTACTATGTCCTTCCTTATTCACTACGTACTTCTGAATGTCAGTAGGTAGGTAGGTAAGTAGACACGATGGAGGTTGATAATGTCACATGACACATAAGAAGCTGGGCGACGCTCGATACGACAGTAAGGGTAGGTATTACAAGCCTTCATTTGGCAGGGAAAGATACACAAGCGCCATCACAGATGGCCCCCTTATTAAACCATTGGACAGTGGGCAACAGCTCGCTTACCACCCACCTGGCTGTGGTAGTGTGCATAGATCCTTCTCCAAATGGTTCATGTGTCTTGTCCTTCCTCATCTTGTTCTCCAGTGTTAGGTCGTTAAGGGAGTTATTTAGGTCGCCTAAGTCATTAGGAATACCAGTTTCTGCACTGCCCTCCGCCGGTTCGTTGCCTCGGGGGAAGCTGGTCCTTCCATCCGCCAAAGCTTGGAACACGACTAGCTGGTCTTGCAGATGTTCATCAACGACTCCGCGAATCGTCACCTCTTCTAGAAGTCCTTTGCAGACCTTCCGTGATATCTCGGCGCACAAGGTTTCAGGAGCCTTCTTCTTCCAAGCTCTGTCGTACATGTAATCGTGACCCCATCGTAGGCCGGTCCGAGAATGTGCGACTAACAGGGTGTACAGACGAGCTCCGTGACCACTGTCCTCGAAGAGCATGAAGTTGATATCCACATCAGGGAAAGTTTTGGTGAGACTATCTGCAAGGGTTTTCTCGAGAAATTCTCGAAGGAACGCCGGCACTAGTATGCTGACGTCGATCCTCTTGAGTCGGAAGTCTTCCGCACCAAGTATTTTGTCCCACGGTCCTTGAAGTTTCAAGGGTTGTCCCGGTGGGAGAGGCTGGAATTTCAGCTTGATACACCCCCTGCTTAGGGGACCTATCGCCCAAGCTCGCTTTTGCAGTTGCCTCTCGACTGTGATCCCGAATTTGTCCTGTAATGTAGGCAACAGAACTTGATCTAGATATTCGTACGATAGTGAGAAAGACACATTGGTTCCACCGTGTATCTCGAGCTCGATAGGTTCTCCGCTTTCGTTACCAGAGAACAGCAGGTATGGGAAGATTGCCTGAAAGATAAGCAAGGTGCTTGAGGCACTGTTTCCAGCTACAATCTTAAAATCCCGCCCTTTGAGAGCGGTTGGGGGCAACGATGGCCTGAATTCTAGTGTATGGCTACCGACTGCTAGCCCGTCGACTTCAGCTCCAGTAGCCTCCACGAGCCATTCAATAGCTGAAACATGCTGAGCTTTCAGTCCTACAAGTGTTGCTAGTTAGACGAATATATACCCTCAAAAGAGAAATTAGAATAACAGCTGACCGCCGCCTCGGTGACCTTGCCTATTCCCTCTTACATGGTCGATGCGGATAGGTTGCGAGGTTACTGCCGCCAAAGCGCAAGCAATTCTGACGAGCTGACCTCCGCCCTCACCGATTCTGCCGTCCAATCGTAGTAGCTTTCCTGATGCCATGTTGCATTTAATTTTTGTGTAACAATAATAACGGAGTGATACCTAAGTATCTGTGCGAGTAGTGAAAATTCGTCGGTGGGTATCTTAGAAGTGTAGGAGGGCCATTTTCCTATGGGAGTTGTCGCTTACTTATTGAAGGAACGTCTCACAGCAATCGATTGTATGAAAGTGAGTCATTCGGCCAGCTACGACGCGACGGATCCTTTTCCAGTTGGACAGATGATTTACAATGATACTTACTTTTTCCATATTCATATAACAGATAAGAATTTTCGTAGTCATTTCGTTTTGATGCTTTGTGTACCTCGATATTCAACAAGATTGTCGGGCAGTTGTTTTGAAAGTTTAGATGTGAGAGGCGGAAAAGTCCCGGTCCATTGAGCAAAGCATTCCGCTTTGATTTTAGGAGAAGTCTTTAGGTAGGCGAATACACTACAGTGGATTTTGGCGCTAGTTTGGTCGTGAACGTCCCAGGACCTTGGTAGGTAGTGGGCCGCTCGCCCTGAAATAGATCCATGGATGGGGAATGAGGCGAGTTATGGAATATGGATCCCCACCAGTTCGAGCTTGCAGTTAATAGGGACATTTTAGTCTGTTTCGCAGAGTGTGGTTCTCCAAATTTACCAAGAACGATTCTAAACTTTTCATCTATGTAATCGTATTCTGAAAGAAAATAAACTCATTATATCTTTGGCTACGTCAAACGTTATGTTTCGTATCTGTTGTTTGACGTACCCGTATACATTGTGGAGAGAACGAGATTAAGTCTAACAGAATTCGCAATCTAAAGCCAGTTTCACCGACGAAGATAAGCTAAGATGCCTGTCATGCGATTCACAGCACGAAATTTCCCATCGAATTCTCCTTCGATTATCAGCACGAGTAGTACCCTCTTCCAACATCTATGTGGTATATCGCCGGTCGGATCATGGAGACCTTCATCTGGTGGCTTTGAACGGAGAGCGACCGTTTGTTCATGTACCTCCTAGTTAATTGCCATCAATTGCATACGCCTTTTCAGCTCGAATCGTCGACCCACTATGGAGACCTTTTCATCATCGCGGGTCTCTCCCCAATAACTCTCTAGGATCGTTGTCCCACCCATCGACGTATGCGGCGCACGCTTTAACATATACGACTTCATTGCGAGAAGAGCCATAGCAATTTCTCTGAGGCATACTGCGCAGTATCTCACCATCTTAGGCAATCTGTATCCCTCGCAGCGTTTTCTGCGCGTTAGATCCACTCGGTAGCTCTAAGTGAAGTGCGAGCCATGAATATCAAATAAGCAGTAACCCGCAGTAGAATCGACTTCAACATTAGAAATTCTCCAAGAACGTCCGGTGTCGAATGTTCCTTTTGGGGTGCCTGCCCTAATCGCCTACCTCGAGTTCAGCTCTCGGGTTACCACGATCCGAAAACATGTTTCTCCTTCGGTCGAAACAAGGGTGTCCGCATATTAACCATCGTATCGGCTCTGTCCCCGGACGAAATATTACGGGTATACGTTCCGGACTCAGAGATCGTAGTTCAGAGTCGCGAGACCGTTTAAACGGAAATTTGTGAGGGGCCTGTTTCTTTCGCGGTCACCGACGATGACGATCTCATATCGCAATACCTAGTCCTGCATCGGAAGCCAAGGATCTGTCATGTTGAGCCAATCGGACACAAAATAACATGATATTGGTCTAACGTGGGAAGGGGAGAAGGAACATAATCCGACTTCTGGACGGGGAACTGGTGTTTCGTGCTCCTAGCAAACGACTTTGCCCCATACCGACATTACGCACGCCTATGGGAAATTGTTCCCCAGGTTGGCAGTGGCAGTGTTGATGTCCAATGTCTATCTTTATATCGTCGTTTTGATAGCGCTGTGGTTCCTAACATCGGTCGCTCGCCAACTGGGACAGCTTACCTAGAGGTACCTGTCAAAGTTACAGGTAATCATAGTTAAATTGTTCGCGATTCTGCAATGCGATTCTACATGAATTGTATTTTCGCGGAGCCCATTAAGTCAAGCACATATTGTCAATTTGGGAGTCAACTACCTATATTTGAGATCACGCCTCAATGTGAACCGCCTCAGTCTTTATACACCCCACTTGCTTCGATCTCCGCAAATACGGTCATGGTATGCTGATAGATCTTCTCCGCAGTCCCGTTTGCGCGAAGTTCATCGTACTTCTTCTCCTTGCCAAACGTATCATCGTCTTTAGTCACTAAGTAAGCTCCGCCGCCGAATTTTCCATCGATTCCCGTCGCTATTTCAACGCCCTTCACCTTCCCCGCAGCCGCCTCTGTACCTTTAAACTCGAGTGCTGGGAATCTCGCCGGAGAAGCCATGAACAAAATGCGCTGTCCACACTCCTCGAAGGGTACCCAGAAGGGCCAAGATAGGGGGGTTACGATATAATTCACCAGAAACTTGAGGTACCACGGCAAGTTACTACTGTTTAAGATGTTCGTGGGGACGAACCCTGGATGGTAGTGACATAGAGCTAGGCGACCCGAGTTACGACGCGCCAGCTCTTCCATGAAGATGTTGGTCATGCCAACAAAATGCGCGAAGCGAGTTCGAAGTGTTTGGTTGCGCGGATTCCGCAAGGTTAAATCATCGAGGACGAGCGAGGACTGTATACTCGAGTTGAATACCGAGACCACGTGCCCGCCGTTTGGAGATGCGATTAGTAGTGGGAGGAATCGTTCGACGAGGCGCATACGTGAGTAATAATATAGGCTGAAGTACTTGTCGAGGCCCTCATTGGATTCTGCGGTTCCCGAGACGGTTAGTTGCATGTTTCCCCGGTTACCCTTTCCAGCTTCTTGCATGTAGGAAATATACCTTCAACCGTGAGAGACAGGACCCCCTGGCAGCACACCAGGAAGTCGATCTTCGCCGGCGCAGCTTTCGCATCCGCCTCCCGTTGTTCGATTCCGATGATCTCAGCGCACACGCGATCGACCTCCTTCAATAGTGACAGGTCGCCCTTGTAGAACCGAAATACCCCTCCCGGACACGCCGTCTCGCACTCCGCGATGATCTTGTGTGCCGCTTCCCGATTCCGACCGACAATGTACACGCGAAGGAAGCCACGATCTCCATCCCCACTTCCGCGCCCGGCAAAGGTGGCAGCGAGCGCACGTACTGTGGCTTCCCCGATCCCGGCCGTTCCGCCGGCCACGACTGCCACGAAGGGTTTCGTCCCGTCCGCGAGTGCCGCGTTCGCGCTCCGGACTACGTCAAGCTTAACCATTGTATATCATCTACACAGAAGAAAATATTGTTCTTATGATGGCAAAAAAAAAAAAGTCAAGAACTTCGTGGCCCCGCGTTTGAAGTATTCTCCGTGTCTCGAACCTTGCGAGAGCAACCGCTTTTACCTAAATACAACCAATATCCCCGGACTTCCACTCAAGTCCTAAGTCCAGCGACGCCTATTAACTATTCCCGAGGCGGATGATAGTTGCAACATTTTGTCCCGAACAGGATCGCATCTGACAAAATATGACTAATACTTCAAGCGGGATAAGGGACAATTGAAAATAGAGACGCCTACTTTAAAATCACATATTACGATTAACGACGGTATTATTATACACAAGTAAAACCTGATATCCTATGCTATCCTATGCTATCCTCTATCAATGATACTCGCTTTTTCATGGTCGTCCATGTATCACAGAAAAGATCGGGATAACGATAATACAAGTCCCAGGAGGAATAACTATTAACCTAAGACGGCGTAATAGTTGTTCCACCTCGTCACCGGGAGTTTCCAGGGATCACGTCAGATCTAGATCTAATTGTAAATAGTCTTCCCGTGGGCATCGTTTCCACATCTAGTTGTTTCAATTCAAACAAACAAACGAAGTTAGACCTTAATTGCTCTATTAAGTATTACAGATCGAAAACGTTTGTCATTATGATATATCATAACAGACAAAATGCATAACTACTTTACAAGGCTGAGATACTACCACAGCCTTCTGGTTAGCCATCATAAAGGGGATGTCAGATATCTCTATTAGGAGTTATTTACGCAACCATCCTCGAAGGGTTCGAGGCTATTCAAAATCAGTGAGAGCATAGAGAAACCCATTTTCGAACTCGTAACATACCTAGGTAGACTCTACGTCTAGGATACATCTACACAAAAGACTGAACGCCACAAGGAACATCGAAGAGCTTTAGAGGTATCATAGGACAACGGGAAGTTCGGTGAGAAGTAATTACCGGAATGCCTACCTTAACCAGGACAATGCCATGGCGGCAGTTAAATCTGTCAATTAAAGGAAGGCATACAAAGCTTCATGTATTTGTATACAGTATATATCGATACGAGGTTCCAGGTTTCGCCAGTTGGTTAATCTTGATGCGTGTCGTATCAAGTGACTAATTAGGCTGGATCATCATGGGTAGCATCAGGATTGTGATATATGTCCTAATAGGCTGCGTAATATCCAAAAGACTTACTATTGCTCGCTCTATCAAGCCTTTTCATAAGCCAACCGCCTTATACATACGTTTGGTTAAGGTAATTGGATCTAGCTACGCCCCGATATCCTATTCGAGCAACGTACTTACCTAACTTTAGCTTCTATTGTCTACTTTGATCATGATTGAATTCCTACCAGCCTGCCTATATATCAGCCCTCAATGCCACATCGTCAATAATTACGCTTACTTGCTGAAACCTGATGGAATCGACGCCGTATTAGTAGCTGCCTTCCTGCAAGAATGCCCAACCTTCGAATAATACAACCGTAGCTGGGCGTTGGTGACGAGCGATGCCTCCACTGGACTTGTGATGCTGTGTGATTAAAAAGCCGCAATTATCATCCTCGTACGGCAGATTATGGGCGATCACTACTTCAAAACTTCTAGAAGGAATTCGGTTTGTGCCTCCCTTCGTCGCACTACTTGCACCGAAAATTCTTAAAGGTCGGTTGAGATTTTCGCAAGGGACACCGGGTACCAGGCTAGGACGTAATGAAACACCTAGCTTGCTATTCGTCACTGTCACTTAACAGGCCTAATGCTGTAAGAGTCAGGTATTACGATTACTCGTTGGTTCGGATTTTCCCCAGAAAGGTTAGGAGACGATCAGTAGCTACATACACATTAACACTCATAATAAGAAAAGCCAATTATATCGCTGCAATTAGGCACCTAGGTATCGAATGTGAAACTTAATTCTAACTCTAGAGTACCTATGTGAGTATGAAGAACGAGTGTGCTATAATCTGGATCTTGTAGATTTTATGCCATTAAGTCCTACTCAATTTAGGTTCTATCCTAGATGATCGGTGTTCAAGATCTTCAGTCGTCTAGTTAGTTCAGTCAGTGGCTCCTAGGCTAGACTGCTAAATAGCTCAATACGTAGGTAGAGTCAGAGAATATCTCAAGTTTGAGGGTATTGCATTTGAATAAACCATGCTTTGCCATCTACTCATATCGATCTACAAGTATATGCTTTTCCTATCTATGCCTTAGGCTGTGATAGTTTGACTAGCTTCCAAAAAAAGTAGCCCACCGTGCTATTAGCTACTGTAAGGCAACCATTGCCTACTCCACTTCATCTTAAGGGCTGGAACTAAGTTTGAAAGCACGGACATGACTTCTAAGCGTTGGTGCGGGAATCGATCCATGGCATTGGATGTTTGCTGATAAACTGTGGTTGATTCTCACGCTGTGGACTCCTAAAATTGGGTGCCTAAGTGTGTATAGGCCGATATTGCAGCAGCTTTCGCATATATTATGGAATCATGATGCTATCTCTGTGCAGAAGCTTGCGTACTCCATCCATGTGCATCCACATAGCGTCCCTATTAGCTAATTAAGACTTAGCCTCCTGTTTGTCTCGCAGTATTTTTTTCACCGCCTATTAAACGAATCCCCATGCCCGCTGCGCTTGGGGTCTTCAACCCTGGCGGATTTTCACACTCCTTATCCTGAAGCTTCTAAAGGCCTTCCGATTGTAAGAAGCTAGCCATAAAACTCCATACCCCGCCGGTTCGTGATTCCGACCCCTTGCTAGCAGTAGTCTTGGCTTGTAGGACTACTAGACGGTAGTATTAGTGCCGCTACCGAGCACTGGGGAGACGCAAACGTAATGTAAAAATAGAGGGTGTCGCCCAGCATGATGCGACCCAATTAACGAGGCAGAAATACGCAGTCTTCGGCCCGTACAGCCATCAGAGTGCCATATGCTTTATGCAAAGCTTTAGATGCCGCGTACTTCTCTTTGCCTGCCGTGTTTCAATGCTAGGAATTCATTGATCAACCTCTCAGCCTTATTAATTAGACCCCGTGAACATAAAGGTGCAACTGATGCTCGGCTTCGAAACGTTGGTATTGTCCAACTTGGCGGGTGTAGTGGAACAATGCAACGGACTCGTGATGGCTTCCGAATTGTCCTTGCCAATACCCGATAGGTGTCGGACTTGCCGTTCGTGGAAGGACTCGTCGCCTTGATATCCCTCTTCATCAATTCTTCAAGCCAGGTTTCTAAGCACTGACCTCATATCTGACTGGGCCATGGTCTATGTTATGACCTGATCAGTGAACTATTCACAAAGAATAATCGAAACTTAGAATTCCGCATTGTGAACCTCCGTTAGTAAATATGGGATGTTATCCTTATATTACACCGCAGAGTTAAGTACGTAGCCGTATATATGTTTCATCTCTTATGATCCACCAACGGCGGACAATAGTACGAACTGAATTCGGAAAGGTCCCACCCATGGTGTGGTAATGGCATGTAGCCACCCGAATTCCAATCCGTACACCACATCGTGAAGGACATAAGCTATCATTGGAAGGCTCTGCCGATGTTAGGAAGATTGCATTCAATATTGATGTTTCATGTGAGTCCTATATGCATATAAGTAGGTAGTTTATGCGGTATATGATCAATCACTTATGAATAATTATAATGCTTTTTAATAATCTTACCGGCATGCCAGCCTATATGTACGTCACATTAACCTAGAACTTGCCTATCAGAAGAAGCCTGCACCATTCATTGCATATGTGGACCAGGACCTTAATTATATCACTGCAGAGATATGCTTTTCCGTGCGGCATGAGATTGTGAATGGGCGTACATAGACGTTAAGCCTACCGGCCTGTGTGCCCAAGGCTCATTGGCGTTGGAGGTAATTACCACTATCATGCAAAGCATTCATGGCCCAAGGCATTTAGTTCCCTATACCGGAGTTACCTGACTAACAAAGAAGTAAAAGAACGGGGCCTTCTTTGGTTGCCTGAGTCGCCTTGTTCTGCTATATCCCGACAACGGCACTAAGCAGCTGCCGAGAAATAACATGTCATCGCCCTTGCTTCCGGTAAGGATAATTGTCACATGCATACTAGGGGGTGCCGTGGATACAAGGATATCAATCATAACATCACATTACATGTAAAGTTGAAACACGTGTAATAGATCCATCATTTAAGCTTAATTTAAAACCCGAAAAGTCTTATAGTCTGAAGTAAAGATACGATTGGTACTGACGGATTTTAATAATCAAGTAATTACTCATGTGCGGGGGGTACGCGGGCTGGCGGGTACGGTGTTATATATAGATATTATAGGTAATAATGACAATATGGGAAGCAAAACAATGGGTATAAGAAGCGCGTAAACCTTGTATGATGTATTATATCCTTGACGATTCGCGTTTAAAGCCACGCCTTACTTTTCGCCTTGTCCTACATTCGGGTACCTAGATATTAATACATATATATTGCCACGATAATATGACAAACTTCAACGCGGCCCCGTAGACCCCGGACTGTGTTGTTAAGGCTTGTCGTTGTCGGTTTGCTGTTGGCTCAAGTACGCACTGCAAGGGATAGGAACATCTATGGAATAAAACACTGTACAGACCTAGGCAACTAAATCCATTCATATTAACAGCATCATTCTTAATTCGTACATATGATTATGGCGAGACATGTGTGGCCTGTTATGGGCCGACCAGCTCTCGGCCCGGGCGGCCTTTATGAGTATTTTGAAAACACCAATTCTATTCACCGGCTCTCCGTGGACATATTGAGAAAAGGTAAACTACTCTCGCCTAGGAAACATAGTATACGTATAGGAAAAAGCGCCTCGTCTTCTCTACTCCAGGGCTAGTTGCCAATAGATTTCCCACGGTCTCCTACGGGCTCCCATAGGCGGAACTCCGATCCTGCCACTAGTCCTCCAACAGACCAGACCCCTGACGTTACAGGTTATTGCTTGTATGCAACCCAATGCTCGTCATCGCCCCCATCTTGAATTTGATCATCTTCTCGGGACAAGTATCAAGCGGCTGTACCAGGCGTCCATCAAGCCGTGAAGAGGATCGTGCATCGATGACTTTGGTTATTATATACCGGGTGAAGTTGTGAGCCTTCAATAACATGGCCGAAATTGAAGCCCGGTGCATGATATGATGTCACGAGGCGGAACTGAAAAGTTAGGGAAGAACGACGTTGTTGCGCGAAGCTCTAACTAACCCCTTCCAGGGGATACGGCATACATACATGAACCTTCCTTTGTCTACAGCTAAGGGCTAGCCGCCAACAGGACGGTCTCGTACAAGCCGACTCCCGATACCTCTGACTACCAGCTCTCGTTGAGGAAGCTTCTGACATATGAGAAGTACTCAATAACTACCTATGGATGTATTTGTTGATACTCAGCCTCCTGGTTTGAAGCCCACATGAACGTATTACTAGGAGGTTGGGCTACATAACTGAGATACTTGGCGGTGAAGCCTCACGATGGCAACCTCTGACATGCAGTTAAGCCACCTATAGGTCAGTAACGCACTCTAGAGGATCATGCCGATGTACATCCACCTCCGTCGGAAGGGAGGTGTCAGACGTTATACTCCATCATAGTAATGAGAGTATATTAACACACAGCCCTTCAAGGACCAACGCTTCATTAGCTTTGGAAATTCCATTGACGCGTAGCATCCCGTAGAATGATGCTCAGCTGCGAATCGTTTACATCCTTAAGTTACTATGTGGACCAATATTAGCAATAATACAAGGAGCCTTCCCTTTCCGATATCTTCCGTCGGTTGATTCTTCGGTGAGTCAATAAATCTGATATTTCATGTGGATGAATACTTAGCTAGGTAGCTAGGTAGCTAGGTAGTAAGAAGCCTGCGCCGCGCACACCCACTTGTCGATTATTACCCATAGCACGTCGAAGAAAAGGACCGTCTCTGAAGTATGATAGGCCAGCATCGAATTAACACCGAGAGATGGCGTCTTCGTCTCATCTGACATGAAATTATGCGGCCCCTGCGAATGCAATGGCTGTTGCCTGTTGGACACCGTGAAAATTCGTCTTCCAGACGACCCAATACATTACCTATTTGAGCCACATCATCAACATATACCTGGTAGGCAGCTGGGTCCTGTGTACCTAAGGTAGGCAGCAATGCTGGTGAACGTGAATCTAGGATACACGTATCCAGCACAGCTAGGTAAGTGACGGCAATACATATATTGCCTCAGGTACCTATCTTCGCCACAGGTTTATCCATCCAAGTTAACCTCCCAAAAGTTCTGGGATACACCGCGCCCCCGTCTTAGTGTACGGCGGTAGAATCCTAGACGCTGACAAGATGTCGTCGAGCCCTAATGATATGTTTAAGATGGCCACCGAGATTGAGCCTGTAAGAGCAGCGAACAGGCTTTGAGAGGCTAGCTGAAACCACCAATCCAATCGGACCTGTATTTTCTTATCCAGGACACGAGACCTAGACTGGGTAAGCTCCGTAGATTAAATCAACTGCTTTCTAGCGGTGAATCGTAAACCTTGTCTGTATATGATGATTAGATATTTTCGTATGCACAACTTAGGGGCAATAGACGAGGTACCATTGAATACTAGAATAGAATAGGAAGCTGCTTGAAGAGAAAAATAAAAATAAGATACATGTGACATCAGTGAGGCGATTCCCCTTTCTGTCACCTAATACGATGAGGAGGCGATCTTCTGCGGAATCCTGTTTAAAATTTCGGCCAAAATGTCCAGGCCTCGTAGGCAAATATATAATTCGCCGCAATTGGGGCTATGCTTCATTTGAATGTTTCCACGTTAAATGTAAGTTGTAGCTATTTGAAAGGACACATCTTGGATTTTGATTAGTCATCATATTGCCCCTGAATGACAGGAAAAGGAGATTCTTGCCATTCTTCATTATACGAAGACGATCTAAATGCACGGCGTCGCCGATATTGGGAAACGCAATACCGATTCCAGTATTTCCGAGGGAGAAATTTCCCCCGAGATAGTCGGTATTTGGAGATAAGTCCGATATCTTAGAGTGCGAGTCAATGTTATATGCAATCGCCACAGAGCTAGCACAGCCGACAAGGAGAAAATTTGCTTTGGTAGGTACCTAGATATGGGTCAAGTTGAAGAGAAATTCCAAACTTGAAAAATTGAAGGTGGCCGCTACTGACTCACTTGGGATATCAGATGCCGTAAGCTATACCGAGAGGTCGCGTAGAGGCGTATTCGCCTATCGACGGCAATGAAGAATTCGAAGAATTTTGACCTTTTAATGACTATATGCATCGCGTAACGATACTACCATTATTCGGCAGTTAGCCCACGCCATATACTATGACTTCTCTTCTCCTGTAAAGTCAGATTCCGTTTTTATCTCGACTCATCTCGCAACCCTGTGCCTTCGAGGAGATGTCTCGCAAGGTGGACTTGACAAAGGCGGACGAATAATCATGTGACCCGGGGCGCGAAGACTATAGGCACGCGGGGATTATCGAAGGATATGGAAGCTTGAATAAGATTGCCCGAACGTACTGAACTCCATATTTGAATAGATCGAGGCAGGACGTTGAGGAGAGATGTAGTAGTGCGGCTCTGAATTGCGGCTAGAAAGTGTAGACGGATATTGGACCGAGTTAGGAAAACCCAAAGACCCACCCCCATGCAATCCGTGCAATCCGTGCAATCCGTGCAATCAGTGCAATCACAAGCGAAACCTTGGAAGTCCTAGATCTGTAGAGGGCTATTTCAGGCCTGCCCCTCCTTCATCCCGCAACAGAAACGCCCTGTAAAATACCATACCACTACTTTTCCCTGCAGACCCCACGAAAGTTGCACTAAACTCTGCATGTTTTGGTGTTGTGTAAAAAAGTATTTAAAAGATCGAATGGATTTTCGGTGAGTCCTTGTTCCTCAATGTGCATCGTATCCATATTCGTCACTTACGAGATTACCCCGAGAATACTCGGTGCCACTTATCTCTCTAACTTCTGCCTACCTCTTACATACTTCGCTACCGTGCCTAAATAGGTAAAAATGTCGAAATGATCACCTCAAGGCACCATCCGTGGTCATCACCGTGATTTGGAAATCGCTTAATTAGATTATAGTACAAAGTCCGACTGAGCCCGACAGAGTCTGACGGAGCCTGCCTAGTCTACATAATTCGGGCGACATTTACATATTATGACCGCCGCAAACTTCACCAGCCTCATAGATTGAGGGCGACGGTGCCTACTCGTTACCGACCAACATCTTTTTTTTCTGCCAATATGACTTCGAACTAATACCGAAAAGCCTCGTCGTCCGGTGTATCGATTCGTGCGTGCCTATCCTCCGGTTCCTCTGATTTGGATTGTTGCAACGCTTATTGAGGTGTTTGTTGGCTACAAGGCGGTTTGTTGGTACAGCACGTCGATAACATCAATACTAGGTCGCGGATGGTCCACGGAGGTGGAATTAAACGCCAATTGAACAATCATCAGCTGAAAACTCAGGACGAGCTGAGCGAAGAAAAAGGGCCAATAGTCAAAACAATATTGGGAGGTAGGAGATGAAATGGGGTCTTAGTGAAAGAAGGAGATGCAAAGGAAATTCAGTGAGCCGGAGGGCCTCGGGGTAATGAACTAGGATACCGCAGAGCCGCAGTGGGATGCGAACCACATCGTCCGCCTTCTTATTTGTGCACCGTGTATACTGTGTGAAAATGTACTTATCGATTTTAAGTGCAGCCTTATAGGGGCGCGAACGACGCACCTGGGAAGTATAACTTAAGGGGCCTGCTCTTGTCTTTTGACGTGTGTATGTTTTCAGACTCCAACCTGAAATCCGGCTAATGGTCTATGTTATTTCTACGCTCATAATTCGAATTGTCGTCGAGTTTGTTGAAGTTCGTCAAACGCCTCATACCGTAAATTAGCCACTTAAGCAACATCCCCGCTTTTGTCTAACTTCTCCTCCAAGAGCCTTGAGCCGATCAATCCTCAACCATCATCTCAATGAACTATAATCTCCAGCTGTCGTCTTCTTGCCTTATCCAGACGACTACAACATCAATTCTTTAGAGTAAAGTAAGCGCTTTTCTCTACTCTATCTGCATCATTCGCCGACCAATCGTTGATGGGTCACTACTGATGCATGATTTGTCATACCCAGGCTGACTTAGGGCTTTAGCGTATGAACTTGGTTGTCCATACACTCAATGGTCTCTCAAGCACAATAACCACGAACTTGGATACATCTCATGGGCACCTGCTGTTGGCTCTAACGCGGTCACTCATTTTGCAAGGGCCATATGCGCTTGTCGTTGACGATACTTCTTACAGATAAGAGACGAGTCATACATTCTGACTGACCTCTTATCCACTTTCCTTCTAGTCTCCCGAAGGAAGAGTTAAGAAAGGCTTTATTTTCCCCAATATCATTCGCAAAGTGCGATTAGTCCGCCAGGAAGTTCTGCCAAGAACTTGCAGCCTGGCCACTTTGTAATCATGCCACAGAAGGATGTTGCCGCATCTTTTACCAATTACCTCAGAAAGGCTTCCAAACTCCGCTGTCCGATCCCAGGTTGTGATGATGAGTTCCCTGATATTGAAGACAGAATACGATCACATCTACAGTCACGCCACCCTAGTCTCATAGAAGGCAGAGATATAACTCGGGTCATTCAACAAGTTAAGAAGGGAGATCTTGAAGCGCTTAGGTAAGTATTCCTATCGTCACATAGTTCGTACTAGCTGACACTTTGAAGGTTACTGGACTCAGATAATGATGTTGACCCTAATAAAAGACGTAAATCCCCATCTGGCTCGTCAATAAAGGGCCGAGCTAGGTCTACAAGTCCACCAAGACGATCTAGAGCTCGCGTTACATCAGGTCCTACCGACAATAATGATTTTAGCAGACCCACTCAAGTAGGAAAGCTTTGGAATCCAGACGATGCTTTGTCTCCTTCCCCGCGTCCCAATCAACCATCCAGGCCATCAAGAAATATTAGTCAGCCTAAGGGTCGAACAGACATTGCTGAAGATGATATTGAATCTACTAAGCTCATTAAACAGCCTGAGACCCGGCCCATCAGCCAGGAACAATTGATCGCTGAGGTCAAAGGTATTTATGCGGGACTCGTCATGGTCGAGTCGAAGTGCATTGAAGTGGATAATGCTCAATCGACGCAAAATGATACTCAATTAAACAATGAGCAATGGCAGGCTTTGATAGCGCTACACAGAACGCTTTTACATGAGCACCACGACTTTTTCTTGGCTTCTCAACATCCTTCAGCCAGTCCGGCTCTTCGACGGTTAGCATCTAAGTATGCTATGCCAGCGAGAATGTGGCGTCACGGCATCCACTCCTTCCTCGAACTATTACGACACCGGCTGCCACATTCTCTTGAGCATATGTTAACATTTATTTACCTGGCTTATTCTATGATGGCTCTGCTGTATGAGACTGTTCCAGCTTTTGAGGATACTTGGATTGAATGTTTAGGAGATTTGGGGAGGTATAGAATGGCTATTGAGGACGATGATATTCGCGACAGAGAGGTTTGGACGTCTGTTTCTCGACATTGGTACTCGAAAGCGTCTGATAAGGCACCGACTACGGGGCGGCTATATCACCACCTTGCGATCCTTGCACGGCCTAACCCCCTACAGCAGCTCTATTACTACACCAAGTCTCTTTGCGTTCCTATCCCCTTTCCCTCGGCTCGGGAGTCAATTATGACTTTGTTTGACCCCATTCTTGACCGGACGAGCCCCCAGCATTCGAGACTGAACCCAATCGATGTGGCCTTCGTCAAAGCACACGCAATCCTATTCAGCAACAAGTCTCCTGAAGATTTCATCCCCACACTCAATAAGTTTTGCAGCTCGCTAGATAACCACATTGGCAGAATTACTAGGAAATGGATGGAAGCAGGGTAGGCATCGTACCCAAACATGCCTGGATTTATTCTCCTAACACAGAAACAGGTACTACATAGCTATCTCTAACTGCTGCGGTCTCCTATCTTACGGCCAGGATGACAACGTCATTTTAAAAGCACTCCGCCCAAAGCACACGGAAGAATCGGCTGAGTCGGACCCGAGCTTGGAAAAGGCTATCTCCGAGTACAAGCCGAGCAGGACAGAAGATGGCGCCCTGATGCTCTTTGAGGGTACCTGCGATGTCGTCTTACGTAGGCTCGGCGACCTTAATGTAAGTCTCCTTTCTGAGTTAGTACTAGTATCATTGAGTACTGAATCGATTTCCACGTAGACCCTCCCGTTTTTACACGTGGTTTTGGTCTTTATATTTCATCTCACCCACTTTCCTGGTGCGATGCCCTACATCGAGAAGAGATTCCCTTGGAAACTCGTTTCTCTTCAGCTGAACTCGCTTCTTCTCTCTTACCGGGAACATCATAGAATCCAGGATGAGCAGTTTCCCAGGCCGGACAAGGAGTTTGCCCCCAGACCGTTGCCGGAAGACTTCGCTACGAAAGGTCTCGTCTGGGTAGACAAGTACTTCCCCAACGATTGGTTTTCTAATGATAAAATCGATGACGATGAGAAGTATTTTGAAGTAGCGTCTATGACGGATGACCGCAAAGAAAGGATTCTCTGGCTTGGGTGCCGCATTGCTAAGTTCGAGAAATGGCTTACCTACGATGACAATTTGCATCAATTTGGCGTCGTGTCTTCCTACGAGAAGGAGATAGATAACGTTGCCAGGGACACTGATATGATGACCGTTTCTGAGACTGCTGAATCAGCTTCGCGCGGCTCTACGTTTGATTCCGTAACCACCATGGGAATCGCGGCATCGGAGAAGGACGATGAGGATATGGTAGATGTCGACGAGGCCATGGCTTATAAGCCCATCATTCGCCAATAGCAATACATCACATTGGGCCACCAGAGGTGGCCCGACACAGCAAAGGATCTTATTGACTTCAGTGCGTGGCTGGACTTGATGCTATGTGATGTTATTATGAGGCGTGTCATGGGCTGGAGTTTCCCTAGGACTATTGAGCAAAGTGGTTATTTCATTTATATTCACAGACATATCTCCATCTTTTTACAGTTAAATTTTCTTCTATGTATTGGTATTTTTTCTTCTGGGGCGTTGACACGTTCATTCTTCATTCCATTCTCAACTACCATATTCTCAATTCTACCCAGGTACCCAACGAAAAGGTTGGTCATTTCCCCTACAATTTGTACACCACTTAATGTTTACTGTATAAGTAATTAATTTATATTTGTATAATAGGTTAATATTGAGTAACTGGAAACACTGTTCTCTTATAAAGAAAACTTGCGTATTTCATCCTTCTTGGTTGCCCTGCCTGATCTTGGGAGTTCCTCAGACCCCAGGACTAGAAGACTGACCTAAGGATCGCGGAACATAAGATCTTCCTTACGCGGACGGTGCGGTTCAATTATCACCCAGAGATCATATACTAAGCAAGGCAACCTTCCTGTCAAACGGGTCCTTCAATTCTTATGTTCAGACTCGCCAACCGATTAGTTCACGTCTACAATGGATTCAGCTGGTTATGGATGATGTCTACCATCGGTCCCAAAAATAGACGCCAGCACAGCCACCGTCCTTGATGATGCGTTCCGACCGGGTGGTATCCAGACGCGCAATGACATTGAACTTACTCGATTAAAGTGACGCGGTCTCTTCACTTGAAACTTATACTTACTACTGATCAGCGATTGGCATTGATGGATCTTCACCGGCACATGAGGCGTTTGAGGCAGCATTCCCCCCTTTTCCCAAGTTGGTGTTATCGGACTATCGGGGTTGGGATATATGCAATTAGACCTACAGTGTATTTTAATAAGCGCGAACCCCTAAGTAATGGTAGCTAAATGCGAGACAGACCGAAAATGCGTCTCACAAACTTTCACACAGTTCTCAGACGCCTTCATTTTAGGGGAGTATTAGGCAAAGACAATCAATACATTGCGATCATGCTCGTCAAAATATTAGGAAATAATTAACTCCGGACCCAGCTACAGCTGGTTACGCCCCCGCAATATCAGCCAGCCGAGGTTGCGCTTCCTACTCCAAAATGGGACATTATTAGGGGGCGCCTCCATAAGGTACCTAGTAGCCGTTCAAATCAGCTCGCTAGTAGAAATTGTCCTTACGGAACGGGCTACCTCTAGGTAGGTAAATAACTTCCTTACTAGTCCTCTTGCATAATATTCTTTGCGATCCAACCGAATAGCAAGCGCCACGCTGGAAACATTTGTGAACACCACTGGCCCAGCACGGCAGGTAAATACATGCATAATTTATTGCGCGGTTAGTGCCCCTTATAGAAGATTGCGAGGATTGTGGGATTTCATAGGTAGAAAGCAATATGTATGCGCAAATTGTTGTCCTGTGCCTCTTCTGTAGTAAGCGTTCCTCACTGACAATATATTCCCTACAAGCATACTATTCGTACCACGCATAAGCATCAAAATCTGACTGCAGTTTACAGATAAGTGTGTACTATCGCGTGCTTACTGGCAGAGAGAGTTCTGTATATTTCTAGACTTGTGACACTGCTGTGGTGTATGTACGTGAGATTAATCTTACCAAGTTTACCTAGGTAGGTAGGACTTAAGGGGTGTCTTATTCATCTGCCTGAGTTGAAATGCAGTTCAAAGACCATACACCGAGACCGGAAAGCACGGTGTTGTCTCTAGACCCGGTTACTAATGCATCCCTCGCCACTGGCTGAGCTGATACATGTATCAAACGGGCATATTTCTTTTCTTTCTTTCTTTTTTTCGCGCAAGCCTCTCGTGCCATAAACACGCAATTCTTCGTCATCTATTTGCAACTATCCGACGGTCGACGATGTCTGCGAGGCTCAGATCCCGTATTTATATATGGAGGTAATCATACATATGCAGAGTAATGTGCTGGTTGACACAGCAGTTGGGGAGCCGTTCCAAGATTCCGATGCATCTAGGTTGTAATGTATCAACCCTGCACTTTGTTGCCTTGCTTGCCTACTTGCTCGATCGCCAATTGAGTGGGATCGAACACCTTCTGATACCGAAAAGGTTGCGACTAGCCAAGCCGATGATGTTATCCTCCAAATCTCCAAAAGCCCCCTCATAGATGAGGCACACCATCAATTGAATCAAAAAGCATGAGGGTGTACGGGAAATTATCCATGAGAACTTCACGTGGTGGGTAGCCTGCATACAGGGAATGATGTGAGGGGTCGGGGTGGGGTTCCACATACCGCATATAGCGGATAGGTAGAAGATACCTGCTAAAACCCTGAAGAGTACACAGTGTTTAGCTCTTTCAGTGACTACCTAGGTATTGCGTTATACTTTTTAAGAGCAATTACTAGGATTAATGTGCAGTTCGAACGTCCGATCGATATTCATTTCCGTTCCAATTACAATTGGCTTGTTTTTCGGTGAGCAACTACCCCCATGAAAACAGATTATCTGCCGGGAGCAGGCATGAAGCCTTGACGACGAGCTAGCCGTATCACATAGGCAGCATAGGCAACCCGAGGGACTGGGCAAAGGGATATGCTTTGCCTTCCAACGGCTGGGCAAACAAGGCTTCCCGTCCTATATTCCTACTCCAAGTCTCAGCCTTCCCATTCCCTTCGAAGAGATCCTTAGATGGAAGGTTAGGTAAAGTTGAATATCCTAAAATGGCAAGGGTGATGGTGCGATAGATAACAGTGCGTGAGTCCCTGACCGATACTTCTTGTACAAGAGATAACTGGACGACGAGGCAGCCGAAGGATCGCGGCGCGAGTGCAGCCGCATATGCTCAAAAAAGAAATTGTCCTTTTTTTTTCTGCATAACGGACGGTGCAGACATCTCGATATGACAGCATGCCTAGTCATACGTGACCTCGGCGAGAATGTTCGCTAAACGACGAAGATTTCGGTGTTACGGCGAGGGTATCGGCTGAATGGGCCGCCTATTAATTCATTCGAGACGGTGAAACGTTCGCTTCTAGTATCCTCTTGGAGTCCTGAATATCAAATTCGAACGTCATGCAAAAAGGAAACCTACCTTGAAACGGCTAAGCTTAGACACTGACGTTAGAGATAATAACGGGTGTAAAGATGTTAGGTGACATGACGATTCTTGCTCACTGATCATACCCCCTGATGGCGCAGTAGGACTTGAAGAGGTTGCAACATCGATCCAAGGAGAGACTCCTGTATGTTGGTTATCTCGAAATTACGGTTGAATTCGGGCGTCCTTGAGTCTCACTGCGAAACTGGGCGCAAGGCAACAGGTCATAGCAGCCTAGCATATGCCGGTTAGCTGGAGAACTGGGAACGTACGAGACATACTATTGCCAGCAGAACATGTATGAGAAAATACATGAATCTACATAGGACTGATGAAATTGCCTCAAGTAACTCCCTCATGCGTAATCTACCAATACCGGCACTTCTTAGACGACACGGGGCTAGGAGATAAGAAGCCGAAAACGTGGGAATAACTCATAGATGCCGTCGAATGGATTCGTAATGATATGGGCTGTGTCTTACCTCTCGGTCTTGATCGCCCGAGTCGTTGGAAACTCGGGATTGCAGGTGGGGGATAAGAGATAGAGTTGATGATGCCGACAAGACTCAATATTCAGGCGTTCCAATATAATACCATACATGAATGATATTAATCCTTTCTCATAAGGAAGCCTTAAAATCCTATCGACCGAAGATTGCGATTGAGGCTGGGTTGATTGAGGATATCGGAAGTCTATGTTGTTGCTCCTATTCAGGGGTAACCAACCACACGTATCCTAACCATAAGCCATGCATTTTCCTTGTCGCAGCCCCTAAAATAAAGTCTCTCATACCGGTTCGGTAATGTTCTGAGGCACTTGAAGTTCCTAAGGGTAAGTCGCGCAGGTCCTCGGGCACGAGAGGTTGTTGTAGGTGGTTAACGAACGACGACGGTTGGGATAACGCCCCCAAAGACATGCAATGTAGATAACTCAATGCATAACAACTTTTATCAAAGTTCCATATATCCTCTAGGCCCGAAAACCTGAAGTCATCTTGCTTTGATTCATGTCCGTCCCACCCCCGAGCCTTGGTGGATAGTTGCCGTAGGTAGGTACCAGGTAATCCATCGGTAGGCGCCTTGCCCCGAAGATTTAGGGAGAGTAATGTGATATGGATGGATGGTAATAAGGTCAAAGAGGGATCTCTGTTATATGATATACTTTTAACATTTGGCTGCGGGTTCTGATGGCACGTGGCCTGTTGCTGGATTCAGGGGTAGCCAATCATCAAGCATGTCTTGGTAGTCATAAGCATTCATGTACCCCCTGCCCGTTATTATTAGTCGTTGATCCTAAGACGATTTGGGGCTAGAGCTCTCATATTTCAGGGACGAATGTGGAACTAGGAGCAGCGGGCATAAGGTAGAAGAGCTTGCGACTTACTTGCATTAGACTATCTCTGTCAATCCACAGAAGTATAAGTCGTGCGCATGTTCGATCATGTTCTGAGAAGGATTATAAGACACCCCACATTGCCTAATTGATGTAAGTATTCATATACACTGGATGTGGTGTATGAGAGAGAAATATTTCCAACCTGACTGGACTAAGGGGTTGCTTCATGGTTGGCACAACTGTTAGGGGGAATTCATGAGCCGAATCTCCTGTCACCAAGTCGACTGCTTTTTCCCTCATTATGGCCTTTAACTGACATGTACTTAAGATTAGGTTGAGCGAATCCACATAGGTGATAGTGTGGCGTGGTAGCTCTGACAGTGCTAGGCGCACAACGGTAACCATCGGGGCCTATGAACAACAAGACAAGACCCTTTTTCCAACAAGAAGTTGAGTAAAGATGATGCAGTAATATGAGAAGCGTACTTGTTTCTAAGACATTTCGTTCCTTTCTGCTGGGCTAGGTATGGGACAGGATATCCGGCAGAAGGAGTTGCTTCGATGGAAGCCCAGGTCCATTAAGGGAACAACTGATATCCTTGGATAAGGAATTTGATGGTTAATTGATGCATGATACTTTCATAGAATGTCTTTAACAGTCCTCAAAAGAATTGGGAAGGTCCTGGGCGGGTTTTGTAGCTGTGATAGAACATTTGATTGAGGTGGACCTCCGTTGTACTGGCTAGGTACCTAAACTTGTCCCAGCAAGCTAACTAGTACATCGAGTTTTTTCGTGGCAAG